AAATTTTTTTATCTTTGATTTTACGCCGAAATTGCAAAGGAAAACATTTTTTACTTTACCTAAAACTAGCAAATCTGTAATTAAAACTTCATTATTCTGGCTCAGTAGAAAGAACAAATCCCATCACATTGACGATTTTACTTTTTTGACAACGACGTCATTAAATAAAAAAAATGTTTGTGAAAAACATAATTTTAATAAACGGCAACTCAAAAAAACACAAAGTTAATAACAACCATCATTATTCAGTTAATTAATTGTCAAAGTGACATCGCTGTCAAAAAAATAAAACCGCCAATGTGAGGAGATTCAAACAGCAGAGAAAAATTATAAGTCCAAAGTTAAGAGAAAAATTAACTTTTCTTCCTACTTAATTAAAATAATAAAGTTTTAATTACAGATTTGCTCGTTTCAAATAAAGCAAAAAAGGTTTTTCATTTGCAGTTTTGATATACTCGTAAACCAAAACCAAATTTTTTTTTCTTCTTGTAAACTTAATCGGGACATACTGTATAATTTTTTTTAGTTACGTATTAAACATTTTACATTATTTTCTACTAGGAGTCAGAAAGGTGAATAGCAAGTACGGAACCAAGCGGTTTTTTCGTTCGGAAAATCTTTGTGATGAGCTCGAAACGCAATTTTAAAAATTTATTAAAAAAACCTACTGGTTAATTTTTTTATATAATTAAAATTTATTTTTAGATCATAGTTTTTAATTAAAAAAATTTGTAACAGTAGGTTGCCATTACAATTTTTTTTTGCAAAACTCGAAAACTAAAAGGATTTTCGAAAAATTTTATTTTTGATAAACGGTCCATTTTAATTGTACTTTACGCTACACTAATTATTTTTTTCGTAAAGTGGTTAGTTTGCGAAAAAAACGCTTGGTTCCATACTTTTTATTTACCGTATATATAGATTTAGGTATAAATAGAAATTAGGTACGTAAATACATACAGTGGAACTCCTCTATAACGAGTTCTGGTTATAACGAGTAAATTGTCTGGTTTTTTGCCGTTTTGTATACTACTCTATGTAAAATTCTTCCTCTATAGCGAGTATTTTTCTGGAATCGAGGTGGATATAGCAAAACTTTTATTTTGTCTAAGATTGGTAAAAGCGAGAAATTTTGAGAAATTTCCGAAAACAGATCGGTTATAACGAGAGTTCCTAGTAGAAATAAAAATCCTGCCAGTCTCTATTACGAATTGTGTACTAGAATTTCTTTGGAAATGTTGTTTTTGCGTGTTAATGGTCTTATTTTTCTTACTTTCTCAGTCTTGAACGTTTCAAGCAGAGAACACTTCGTCTTTCTGTATCAATATGTCGTCCTCGAAAAGAAAATAATTTTCTATCAAAGAAAAAATATCAATAATAAAAGAGTTTGAAAGTGGTAAAAAGCAAGCTGTAATCTGCAAAGAGAAAAATTTACACAGTTCTACATTGGCAACAATTTTAAATAACAAGGACAAATAGTACAATATAGATTTTTATCTAAAAATGCTTCATTCAACAAACAAAAATCACAGATTTTTGAATGAATGAATGTGATAAGTGACAACAGCAAAGAAAATTTGGTATTAATAAATGCAGGTTTTAATTTATTGCGCCACTGAAACATAATGCGACACTAAGTAGCTGAAATATTTTCCGGATTTTTCAGCAAATCTCATCAGTGTGGAAAGCACATTTGTCCATCCGATTATCGCATGGAAAACACAATTAATTAATTAATTTACCTGAAACGCAATTTTCATTTCGGTTGGCAGGACGAGAATGGGAAGTTTGCGGGGTGAAGTTGGCAATTGGTGGTGTGTTGGTGTAAATACGCATCCTGGAAAAGTGTCGGGGTATCGTCGTCTCGCTCCGGTGCGATTGGAGTTTTCCGTAATGTAGTGAGGGCGGCGTCGGCGCAAGAATGCAACCCCCAAATAGATTAGGCCGACTCGGGGTGTGTACTACAGCCTAAACGCCACCGGTACAATTCACCCTTGCTCACGGTTGAAATGAAATTAATATGTGAAAACTAAGCGAAATTAGTGAGTGTTCGATCGGAAAAGGCGAAGGAAAGCGATGAAAAAAACCGAGACTGATCAAGATGCCCCTTGAAGACCGCTTAACCCTCGCAGATTGACCGGAAGTTGTGTAAATTCGTTGTGAACATGGTGTGTGTGCAACGTAGGACCTTCAAAAAACTAATTTACGTTGTGGTGGTTTTCCTGGTGCGAATTTGTCCCGTTTTCATGGATCAGGGTGAAGACATCCCCCATAACGAGTAAGAGACGAATCTTCTAACCCTCTGACGTAATAACCTGCTCAAAATACGCAATTAAAGCCACGGAGCTCGAATTTTTCCCCCGCTTTGCCGAGCTTTGTGGCCCTTCGCTCGATCAACCCCCCGACGAAAACGACGCTTTACTATTTTTTATTTCACTAACAAAACAACTTCATTAAACAAGTGAAAATCGGAATCACGTGGAAAACTTCCGGGTGGCACACTCATCTCCTAAACGTGACAAGCTTAGTAACTATATTTTACCCCCATAACCTAATAAAACTGATATTTGACAAGTAAATACCACGATTTCGTTCAGTGAAAAATCAACAACTATTTACATTTTTTGACGATTTTATCACACTCGCAACACTTTATTTGCTTGTTATTAAGTCTTAGAACCCTTTTATGTTCGGTGCCATTCTTTTTATTTGCATATTTTAGAAGATACTTATTGATTTTGTGTTCTCTGACATTTAATGGGATTCTAAAAACAAAATCACCGGGAAAAACTGTTATACTTTTCTAACGATTTTGCCCCAAAATCCTTGCAAATTTCATTAAAAATAAATCCTTGTCTGCACAGACCGAATTAAGCTTTTGTATGAAGTTTCGTTTGTTTGAAGAAGTTTGTTATTGAACACATTTGTCATAAAACAATGCAGATTTGTATTTTATAGCAGATAATCGGTAATTTCTGGCGTAACGTTTGCACATTGAATAGGTGACGTGGGGCCGAATTACATTAATTTTGGACACGCACCAAATGCATTTAAGACTCGAAATGTCAAGAAACGAAAATAGCAAATATTGCCTCTTTTCCCTTTTTTACAACCGACACTCAATTGTTCTTAGCTATGTTTAATGGCGGCTATTTGCCTCTAATCACCTTGTACATCTCTGCCATTAAACTTTTAATGTAGCCGCCATTACTATTAATAATAGTTGGAAAAGTGTGCTTTTGTTAATTACAAGCATTTTCCAAAATGCTCACTTAAACATAAATTTGTGCCGGCCTAAAAATTCAAACTGACGTCGATATTATTTTACACGAGTTCCGTAAATGTGAAAAATTTAATTTTGTTTTTTTATTGTTGTACTGTCGGCAAAGATATTGGGGTTGAGCAACGATTTACATACAAATTTATTCCATTTTTATACTCACATAATGCGTACAATTTGTCAAGTTTTTACTTGTAATGCAAATCTCTCCAAACTAACACATGAGGGAAACTAGCACACCCCGTATACTAGGCCTAATAATTACACAACAGCCACACAATACTAAGTGAAAATTAAATTATTTGTTTTATTCGCGAATTTAACCGCAACTCGTGCGCCATTCTCCCTTATCTCCCTATTATTTTGCGTCTCTTTCAGCAAAAAGTCAAGTTTCGCAAAGAAATGGAAAATTTATTGGAATACTATTTGGCCCAATTTAATTCCATTTAATGCGATTATAATATTCATACATAAATAGTTACATAGTGTTTACACAAATAGGGATTTAATTATGTTAAAGCCAGGAGTCACATGTTGTAAAAACGGCTGTATCAGTGCGGTGACAGATTAAGGTATTTCAAAATAAAATATCTCCTCGAGAGGATAAGCCGTTTTATCAGTAAAACCTATTTTTGGTAAACGTTTCCATCAATTTTCCATTTGAGTCTTGTATTGATTTCAGTGGAAAGGCTTGCTATTTGACGTGTCTTAAAACCTGAAATTAATTAAACAGTGTAACCGCTTACCTTTTTCCGGTTTAACCGAAAATCTCCACTTTTCGTACAAAGAGAGATTTAATAAAATGTGCGCGGAGAGTTCAACATTCTTCAACACTTTGAAATAAGAAACATTTTATTAGAAAAGATTCATAACTCGTGATGGAATTTGGCTTGATTTAAAATTACATTCGGGTGTTTGGTCACCAGGTCTCGATATTACATTACCCACAAAGTTAATCAAGTCGCCTTAATTTATTTGCTAAATGTGCTAAATCTAATGAAATTAAGCTTGAACTAAGAAGCATCCCAGTCTCAATCCTTTTACTGTCCAAAATCTTTCACTTTCCTCTCTATTCACTTTCACCCCATTTACTGTTTTCTTATAAATCCCCTTTATTCTCTCTAGCGAGTGCGTTTTCATTCAATTTTCTTTTCGAAAACGAAAAAATCGATACATTGTTGCAACATCGAGCAACTATGTGAGACTAATAATGCAAGTTGCAGTGGTTTGTGGCTCAGTAAGTCACCTTAGGATCGCGAATATTGCTGTGGCTTAATAATGAGTTTCAGTCTGACATGGAAAAGCAATATTTTCCCATTTCCAGCACTTTCTTTTTAAAATGAACCCCAGGGAGTATTTGTTTTTTGACTGATACACCACAATTTAATTTTTATTATCGCCGGCTCAAAATCAACTAAAGTAGTGATAATAATAATAAAGGGAAATAAAAGCTTAATGCTCCAATAAAATACACAAAGGTGTTTATTAATGTCACGCCATTTCCATTGATTGGGTCGTGATTTCCCAATTTTTCAAAATTTCCGATGAGAAAACAATTAAAGTATAGCACGCGCCAGTTATTGATTTAATCACGTTTACAATGGCAAAATATTTTTAAGATTTGAGAGGAAACACTTTTATCATTTATAGATTCCTCTCAATGGCACTTTTGTCGAAATTGAAGCAATTGTGGCCCACAAGTGGTTCAGGATGTAACATCTGTCACTAAAGTTTGGAATTTTTCGATAGTTGCGTAAAATCCACGTAATTCCGAGGTAGCATGGGCAAGCTTATTAATTTTTATGTGTAAGCAAGTTATAATTTTTTTTCCCTATTTTGCGCGGCATTCGCTGTAACCATAAATTTGCAGAGACTATGGGAAATTTATTCATTAGGGAGCAAACAGGCTCTTTATACTTTGTTGATTTAAGGTGAAGAGAAATCTCGAGTGAAAAAACCATTGACACAATTAGATCCCCGTCGTCTGGCGCTCCTCCCGCCCTTAATGAAATTTCATACCTTTTCAAAAAATATTGTCATGTTGAGGGTCTAAGAACTGATTCCCGTAGGACAGCAAGGGTCAGAGCATAAGACAGGAAAGGGTATGTTATGCCAGAGGTAGAGGGTGTATTGATCTACCCCTACTATCGTTCTTGCCAGGCTAGAGGGGACTATTCTTGCCTTTTAGATTGAGAAATGCCGTAATCTACAATTTTCATAATGCTTATACCTTCATAATTTTACAGCCAAAATCGATATCGCACTCCTAATGTGTTTCAATTTCAACAAATACCAATCGCGGCGCCGCATTTAATCCCCTTTTATCTAAATACAATTCTCATTTTTGCTTTTTTATAGAGTACGGAACTGGGCGCTCAAATTCGGAGTTGATTTATGGGAGTACGGAAAAATGTCCACAAGACTGAAAGAATTACAAAGGGTAAGTACTTTTAACCACCCATTCTGTTTCAAATATTTATTCCTTTAGTTTCAATAACTGTTTTTTTCAAACTAATTACTCTGCATTTTGAATTAAAAAAATAAAATAAAATAAAAACCCTTGCTATGCAAAAAGTTAAAAGCTCTAAAAATCTATACATTAATCCCTGATTGCGTCCATTATGTATGTATAAACATTTATTTTTAGATGCGCGAAAATACTAATTTTTTTTTTCTTATTTTGTTGAAAGTATGGTGAGGGTAATGAAATTTGGATTGTGTATAAAGAGTGGTCGAGTGTGATTTGAGGGTCGGGCGTGCTGAAGTCTGGTGGAAGTAGCCGAGTAAAAGAAAATTCGATTGAAATGACAGTAATTGGTCCTGGAAGGTATACGCATCGAAATTCTCGGTTATGAGCTTACAATGAATATCGTGAAATTAACCCTCCCTGAATTTAATTGAATTTCCAATCTCGACGTCGGCGTTCGCCATTATCCAATGTTTTTGTCATTTTTAGCTTTGTCTCTTGGCTAAATCTTGAAAAAAAAAAGAAAAGTTTTTGTGAAATTTCAGGCTTGAATAAATTTGTAAATGGTCGAAACCGCTTTTATGTGTACAAATAGGGTAATCTATAAGATCACAAGAGCTCTCCCCGAGGTAAATAAGTCTTTGTGTTAGTGAATAATCCCGAAATATGTCGGTAAACCACCGTTTGAAGCTTCCCAAAGTTGGTGCAGGTCTCAGTTGTTTTATTATTCGAAGCTGGAGCTTGTGAGGATTTTATATACTGCGCAGAGTTGACCATCAAAATCAATTGCTCTAACTTTGCTTGCTTACAAACTAATTTATTCCAGAAATACCACGAGGAAAATATCAAAGTTGCACGAAAAGACGGTTTACTCTTGATAAGAGACATGGCGAAAGAAGTCCAGAATATGATGAGTTTCAAAATTGAAGCCGTTCGGGTAAGGACGCTCCGCTCCCTTTAATTCGCTAAATATTACTTTTTCCCAGAGGATAACCGAATCAGCTGAACAAGCTGCACTAACGCCACAAACAGATAACGGACAACCCTTTCGTTATTACAATGCTAAAAGACTGAATTCGTTTGGTCCTGATGGACGACCAGTTGAGGGTACAAGAGAAATGATGCTTACGCCAAATCCTCATTTCGACCATTTACCAGTTAATACTAGTCTTAGTACTGTTCTAATCCCACCAAATGTTGAAGAATACGGTAAGATAATCCCTAATCTCCAAAAATCGTTAAATATTGTTTCCTCACAGATCCCGAAGTTATAAGCGCGATTCAATGGTCCGAACATTTAGACCCCCTTTTCATACACAACTACGAGGATGATCCATCGCTCTCCTGGCAGTTTTTCGGGAGTGGCACGGGATTTCTAAGGAGATATCCAGGTAACCAGATCCTTGTTATCGGGCCTTAAAAATAAAAATGCATTCAACAGGTATTGCGTGGCCCCCTGTGGACATGTCAACTGTCTGGCAGCGTCCCAGAAGTTCTCGCAACGTTTACGATTTTCGCTCCTCGGCGTGGTACGTCTCTGCAGCAACATCCCCGAAGGATATCGTAATCCTTATTGACAACTCGGGCTCAATGAGTGGTCATAAATCTAACCTCGCCCGTGCAACAACCGAATCTATTTTAAATACATTAGGAGACAACGATTTTGTAAACGTTTTTAAGTTTTCGGATATCACTGAAGAAACCGTTCCCTGTTTCAAAGACATGCTTGTACAAGTAAGACCGTGACATGAGTCGATTTGCGGAATTTAATAAATTGGTTTAAGGCCAACAACGAGAATGTTCGCTGGTTGAAAGAGTCTCTCTCGACGTTTAAATCGGAGAATATTGCCAATTTTACGGCGGCACTTGTTACAGGATTCGAAATCTTACATAAAGTAACAGACATCAAATCAAAAGGCTTGAATCATTTTTTTTTTCTTGTAGTATAACAGGACGGGACAAGGGTGTCAATGCAATCAAGCTATCATGCTTATCACTGATGGGCCACCCTCTAGTTACAAAGAAATTTTCAAAATGTATAATTTCCCGCATTATCCAGTCAGAATTTTCACGTACCTCGTCGGGAAAGACTCGAGCAGTGCCCATGAAATGCGTTGGATGGCTTGTGCAAACAAAGGTAACAACGTGAAACTCCACCAACTGTGCTAAAACCCACTTTTAGGGTACTACACGAGAATAGAAAATTTCGACGAAATTAACCAAAAAGTCCTCCATTATATCGAAGTCCTAGCCAGACCTATGGTCATGTACCAGACAGATCACCCCATCCAGTGGACCCCCGCATACGTGGGTGGTCGAGTAAGTCCCCAATTATCAAAAAACACAATTTACAAACTTTTCACAGGCCGATAGCTTCCTAAATGACAAAGTTGGACAACTAATAACCACGGTCACCACCCCAGTCTTCGATCGACGCAACCACACGGTACCCAAAATTTTTACCAAGTACCAAATTCGTTAAGACTTTGTTTCAGGTCCGAGTGGCTAATTTGCTAGGTGTGGTTGGGACAGATGTGTCGATTGACCAAATTAAAAAACTCGTGCCGCCATATAAGGTATTTTATCCAAAAATCGTACCACGTACTAAATCTGTGTTTCCAGCTCGGTGTTAATGGCTACTCTTTCATTATCAATAATAACGGTCACGTGTTATACCATCCCGACTTGAGGCCTTTGGTAACTTGAATTTAACTCAAACCCAAATAATCCAAACAATTTTCTAGCAAAATAACGAACTATACGATGAAACACTCGAACCGCAGTATATTTCAGTCGATTTGACTGAAGTCGAGTTGGTTGAAAACGAAAACGGGCCTCGAGAGAACCATTCTGTTCTCCTCGATGTAAGTAGAGTCGAGTTTTGCAGTCAAAAATTAAATTTTTTTGCAGTTAAGGTACGACATGATCCAACAAAAAGAAGGGGAGACAGAATTAGGGGTCAAAATCCACTACGATAATGTGGTAAGTAGAAAAATTGAACGTAGTTATGAACTAAATAAATTTCCATCAGCGTCGTGTGACAACTCGAAGACACAAATATTTCTATACCCCAATTGAGGGTACCCCATTTTCTCTGGGACTAGCAATCCCGGAACGGTATGGCATGTATGAGCTACTTGCCGAGCAAGAAATCAAACATAGCCAACGAAACGGTAAGTTATTACAGCTCAAGGTTTGAAATTGGTAAATTTTGTGTTCCCAGTGACTGATTATTTCAAAGGCAACAACTGGAAAGTTCATCCTGACTGGTAATAATCGTGATAAGGGGAATTTAGGTGTTAAAAATGTTTTTAAGGGTCTACTGTGAATACACGAGTGGTACCTCAGGGGAACAATGGTTCCGAACGGCGGAAGAAAGAGTCTTGCATTTTTTATCCCGGAGTAGACGCCCGGGATGGAAATGGATGTCTTTACGCCCGCGCTCACCCTCACAAAGGGAGCATCACCACCAAACTACCAAAAAGGACAAAGACGCCTATTTTTGTAACTAGACTCGTCTCAAGTCGGTTCTATTTGACTCGAGTTGTTTCAGGCGATAAAAATTTGCTCCAGTCACTAGTACTAGATGCTATGGTGACTGAATCACTAGAACGACACCATACACGAACGGAGGATGATCAGTAAGTGTCCCGTAAATATTATGCATGTTTTTCAACACTAATGATATAATAAATGCACTAATTAGTTTTAACGAGTTAATTTACTAATTTTCTCTGCACATTAGCCCTATTGGCACACTTTTGGTACAGTTGCAAAGGTAAAGTCATCAAGAAGATCCTAGTGTTGTTCTTTGATAAGTCTAAAACAATTAGAAGCATTCATTAAACAGTTGGCACACTTTTAATCATCACTTGGCCACTCAATAATGAATGTTTCAAATTATTACTAGTACTAGTTACAGTTTCACACAATTTTCATAATTCGTAACTTCAATTTTTTCCACTTTTCGATCTAACAATTTCAAAGCTGACAGGAGGGTAAGTTCTAGTATTCAAGTGGAAAAAATGAACACAATTTTAGGTACACTGGGACACTGCACGAGTTTAGTCTCCTTACTTCATTTAGGTACTTTTCAGGGTTAATTTAGGCTTCCCTAAACGCCAGCTCGCGTTCACACACTAATATTATTTGTATTTTCAGTGAGGGGCACCAAATCTTTGGAAAAACATTAACTTTCGTTGCGACACGAAGCGGACTGCTTAGATGGACCGATCATGTCACACCAGGCGAAAAGCCCCAACAACCGTGAGTCTCACATGTTATTTTTCCCGGTTATGCCCCCTTTTAGCCATTTTAGCGAGACAAATGTGAAAGCCATGGACGAAACGTGGTACAAGCGTGCCGTCGACCAGCACTCAATTGAGCCCGAAAGTTTCGTATTTTCGGTACCTTTCGACGGTAACTTCCAGGAGAATCCCCTAATTACCGCAACTCATGCTGTTTTTGTTGAACATAATGGCCACCGGGCCCCTGCTGCTGTTGTTGGTATACAATACCAACACACAACTTTGGCCTCTCATTTCTTGAACATCACCTCGAAGGTACAAAAATTTTGATTTTGGAGTGATTTTAACGGGAAATTTCCAGTGCACCGGCACCACAGTATGTCACAAAACGTGTGCAAGTGAAAAACTCGATTGCTACGTGCTTGATAATAACGGTTTTGTGATCATTTCGGAAAGGTCGGAACACACGGGGCAGTTTTTCGGCCAAATTGATGGAACTATAATGGATTCCTTGGTCCAGGATAAGATATACAAGAAAATAACTGTGTATGACTACCAAGGAGCTTGTTCTAATAGTAAAAGCCACTACAGTGGTGATGGGTATCAAGTCCAGCCTTTTGACCCAATCAAATCATTTTTCAAGTTTTTGTTCTTATTGTTTGCGAAAATTGAAGCAGTTTATGGGACTGCGATTGCTTACGCCCAAGACGATGGTGGGTATTATCACGCTATCACGTAAGACAAGTAAACTACCCTTTTGTAGAAATCTACCCTGAGTATGACCCCAACTTTGATCAATTCCCGACAGGTGAAGACGTGATCGGGGAACAAGACCCCATACTTCCACCCCCTTACACAAATACTCCTTCCTTTATCCCTCCTTATGAATCCGACCCCATGGAAGGGGTCGATATGAGCCAATTTGGGGTCAGACCTTGCGACCGCAAAGTCGACTTATATGTCCTCCAACCAGACAAGTTGAATGTGAGTGGGCAAAGTGACCCTTTAAAGGGCAAATTAACGAATTGTCACGTAACAGCTTGCGAAAGGTAAGGATTGCTTTTGTTTAATCTTTTAACTGTTTTTGTGTTTTAGACCATTTAGTGTTCAGAAAATTCCGCACAGTAATTTGATTTTGTTGGTTGTGGACACTATGTGTCCTTGTGGGAGTAAACAATTTAGTATTACTCCACATGAACTGATATATGATACAGGGAATGGAGGCTGTTTGCATAAACCTAAGGATAGTTTATATAGAAGACGTCCACCGAAGTGTATTAATTACCACCCAGAGGTGAGAGAGGTTTTTGATTGGTTGAAATGACAATTTTGTTTGTTACAGGAGAGTGAGATAAATATTTGTGGTAAGGCATCGATTCCAGTTGCAAGCGTCGCGACTTTGCTTATTATCAGCGCAATGCGTTACATTTTGGCCGTTTTGTCGTGATTGTAAGTTATACTTATGCTAAATACCTTTAAAACGTAAAGAGGCAACTATTGTTGCATTTAATAGACTACAATGAAATTTCTTATATAACACGTTCATACTTATCATTTACTCATATCACAAATCGAAATGATTGGATTATTTGGATAGTATAGAGCAGTTTTTTAAAAAGTATATATATTGACAAAAGTCGTAAAAACTAGTTGAATTTTTTATATAATTTATAAAATGTGAAAGTAATTTTGGGTGTATTTGTACATATCAAATGTTGTACTATTAACCTGTGATTTTCACAAATGAAAATTGCAATTCCGTATTATTTAGATTAATTAATGTATTTGATTACGACAATAATTTTCCGTTGATTGATTTATTTGAGGGAAAATGTACTGATCGCGCAATCGGTGTGGTGGTGGGCGAAGTTTTTGTTATTTTGGGCGCGCACCACGGGATTGAGCGACCTGTAACTATGACAATACTTATAGTAAAACTGTGAATATTGGCATACAGGTTACTTAGAGTAGTCAACATAATCTGCTGTTGTAAATAATAAAAACAAATCTGTGTGTCGTACAATTAGTTCAAGTCTAAATTTAAATAAAAATACAACTATTGTAGTTATGTTTGATCGCGTTCATATTTTCTAATAATTACACATTGTAAGTGCCAGTTTTTCTACTGACTTCATCTTTTGTTACTTAACATTAAGACGACAAATCTAACAAGTTTTTGCTTTCGTTTGGTATATGTGTCAAAGTATTTGTACATTATAACATTAGAATTTGTACATTATTAGATACAATTAATGGACGAAATTTATTTCAGGTACTGTAACATAATATTTTAAATAATTGACATTAATTAGTCTACTAATGTACATGTAGGTAGGGTGAATTTTGTAATTAAAAGTTAATTATTTTGTAATGTGGGGTGAATGAAAATGTCATTAGTATAGTGTGTTTGATACAGCCGTTTTGGTTAGATCGAATTATGCTAACTTATTTCGTAACTTAACTACACTATACTAAAACTGAGTCTTCCAATTAAAACAAATAATTAATTGTAAGTTATTATGAAAATATAGAAAATGTAGTACTACTAATGTATTCAATTTTAAGCAACATGTGTAGAACAGTTATCAAGCATTGTTTATTTGTCAAACGTTGATTGTCTGTTGTATGTACAATTCATACTAGACTTCACCATATCTTAAATGAATTGCATAGTTTTAATTAAAAACTAATATATTTATCAAACTGTGTTTCTTTCCATCCTACCCACCACCTTTCATTACATAGGATTTTTTGAAGGCAGGCAAAAAATTATTTTATCGTAAACAGAAGTTTATTCAACAAAATAACAAATAAATTAATTTTAATTTTACGAACGGATAAAATCTGATTTTAATATTATACAGCGTGTTTGTGGATTGTGAGCAAATATTTTAACCACTAAGACAAGTTGTTATGAAAAGTCGAATTGAAGACCAAATAAATTCCGTATCCAAATTTTATTTTTGCAATTTCCCCCCCATGATTTTCACGAGCCGTTCAGTGTGTTTGTCTTTGTTAGTTGGAAGTAAAAATATCAATGAAAATAATTTGCATTGAATATTGACAGTGAAAGTTTTTATAAAAAAAAAAGAAAACTTTTTCCTCAAAAAAATTATCAGTATTTACAACTACCATTGACACTGATCTAGCTTAAAGTAGCGATAATTTTTTTGTCTTTACTCTGTTCACGTTCCAAAGTTTTTTCTTATGAATGATTGTAAACATCGTATTAAGACATAATTTTAACTCAGAAATGACGTGCTTTCGACAAAAGTTAGAATAACGAAAGTTGTTTCTTTTGACGAGTTCTATTAGGGGATAAAATATTTGCTCGCAATCCTCAAACACCCTGTAAAACTAATAAGAACATAAAATTCATGGTCAATAGTAAATGTACAATTTTCTTCAATACTTTAAAAAAAAAAGTTATGTTTGCAATTAAATTGAAATCACTTACCTGCCCTAGAATTGCAACATAAATCATTGAAAAATGTGATGCTAATAGACGCGTCAATGCTAAAATTAGAAATTATTAAGAAATAAGTCTCATTTTATTTGATACTTACTCTTCAGGTGACTCCTCATCTTGTCCATTACTAAACCTACAAAGACAAAAGTTAATACAACAAAATTGCCACAATATTTAAAGAGTTACTTGGATGAAGAACGAAATTTTGGTCCAATAACGGCTTTAAATGAACACAGCTTATTTACAATACGTTTTTTCTTTTCTCTGCAACGAAACAATTAGTTTGAAATTGTGCACATAGTGAGTTTCACCCTTCACAATCTTCAGAATTTCGTTTCCTTATATCAAAACAAGCATCTGATGACCTAATTCGCCACAATTTAATATAACCAAAAGTACGTGCCTTCCATTTACGTTTAAAAAAAGGTTTTGATTGCACTTTTCTAAAGTTTACAAACTCTCTTCTCAGTGTTTTCTTTGACGGGAAATCTTCATCGTCACATAAATGAATCAGCAATGGGGAGACTGACCGCAAACAAATCCCATTTTCAGACTCAGAATAAGAGAGATTTAAATCGTCAATTTCTTCATCACTATACTCATAATCCAACTCTTCAAAGCACGAGTCCAAAAATTCGGAACTACTAATCATTTTACCACCTTTATGGTTTTAAAAAGTCACATCTCTAGTGATAACAAATACAACTTGCTTTTTGTAGTATTGTTGTTTACAAAAAACTACTTAACCTCACTGCCACAGCAAACGGTGGCCATTTTTTCTCTAGCTGCGCATACGCATCAGCAAGTTTTTGTACAAAAGAGGCAAGTTTAAAATTTCAACTTCATAAAAAATCTCAATTTAAATGTTAAAAGTAACCAAATTGATTTGCGCATGCAGCTGAGATTTAGTTTTCAACTCCGTTACGTATGATAATCGTGCGGTATAAAATCAATGTACGGTCATAAAATTAGATAAAAAACTCATTTAAATTTCCAAATTCTCAATTTAAATTTCAAAATGCAACTACATATTAAATTATGATAATCAATTCTCAGTTTCAGTCGTTGAAATAATTTTCCAAAAAAGTTGTCACTTTTATAATCCTAATTTCGCAAAATGTGAACAAAACAACAGAATTAGGGATGCCTACACCTAATAACCGGAGTTATCGAACAAATCCTGTCCGTGACACTTTATGACGTAAAATTAATATAATAGTTGCTACAATTAGCAAATTTTCTCAAAGATTTTACAATATGTATTGTGTGCTATATAAAGTCATTACATAATGCGGGTTAAATATGTTTAGTTGATTAAGTATATATAAATTGTGGTCGGGCTTTTTTATGTTATTATTTGATAATAAAATAAATGAAAAGAAAGCGGGAGATCAGTGGGAAGTGAATTTTTAGATGCGTCATCTCAAACCTTGAAGCGCGCCACTGTTAATTCGAGAATTTTCCACTAAAAGAGTCCGGGAAGTACCAACTTGAAATGATGTTACCTCAAAATAGTAATAAAAACTGTTTACTTAGTTTGTATCGTTTTAGAATCATTTACAGCTAATCGATTGGAATAAATAAATAATTTTAGTGTAGTTTTAATTTTCCTCTAGGACGAGTAATGCTACTGGAAGGTAGATGGCACTACAAGATACGTTTCCTAGACTTTTCGTTTTGATTTAAAACAAAGTAAAAGTTGATTTTTGTGGGTGTAAAGTGTGTAATTATGTTAAAGGAAGCATTATGTGTGATTTAGAGGGGTGAAATTGTGAAAAATAGTGGAAATTCGTGTGAAATTTTCATGTTAAAATTCCCACAATTGCTAGTGCGCAGACTCAGTAGGGATGTTTGTGGTGAAAACAATGTCGGGCATTACCAACACTGACTGCTACGATCGATATCAGAGTATGTGACGTAAATTTATCTGTCATTGTGCAAGGCGATTATTTACCGATGTAAAAATGTTGTACTAAGTGTTGTGGACGTGGCAAGTGAGGCAAGAAATAAATAATTGTGAAAAATGCGGTAACAGACATGTTTTTCTGTTAAATGTGTAACATACACGCAGGTGCGTACGCAGCCGTACTAATAATTTTAACTGGGCCTGCTCCATTGCTTGAGGACGCGCGATTCACTCAAACAAAATTCCCTCGAATATCAAAGAAAAAATAAGCGCACTTGGCCAGGGTAAGGGGGATTCGCGGCCGCGACCGCCTCCTTGCCTTAACAAACCTCGGAAGCCATTTTAGTTAAATGTCTTTCTTCGCGGCAGGTCTGGCGCCAAACCTCTGCCCTTTTGCGCAAATACTGTTTATGTTCATGTGCATGTGTTAAAAATACGATGCACAAATGCAATGCATCCACAGAAGACACGATTTTCAACAATTCCCAAACTCAAAACCCTCAATCGAAATACTTTATCTATAGGGAATGTTGGGGGCAAGGGGGAACATCAATTATTGATTTTGTACTCTAGCTTTTATACATATATCCCATATTCCAATATTATATTCACGCTAATAGCTATTTTAAAACTATTGTTAACTCAACTACACTCTATTACCTAATATCTTATCCGAGATGATTAAAACTACAAAAAAACCGTACGAGGTAGGTTATTTTAGACATAACCTCAACCAATACAGTTTTATTCAAAAAATCGCCCCCATTTACATTTTTTGTTTCAGGAGGTCCGTCTTCCGCACTACGGGTAAATGGTTTTGATAATGAATACGTCTAATGGCAATCAGGCCAATAGTGAAGAAATCGCAATGGTTGTTGGTTCCCCAATGTCAATCCAGTCCGACGATGACGATGACAATTGTCAGTCATCGGCGGGCTCCGCCTGTGAGGAAGGCTCCGATTTTATGACAGCGGCTATGGACGATGAAGTCACAGCCCAGTTAGCTGCTGCTGGTGCGCCCCCAAAACCCCCCAACCACAACCTAAATATCATTTTCCAGGTCCTGTTGGAGTCGCCGCTGCTGCTGCTATAGTCTCGGCAAAGAAACGCAAAAGGCCACACTCATTTGAAACAAACCCTTCGATAAGAAAACGACAACAAAATCGTCTTCTCAGAAAGTTGAGAGTACGTCTCATCTTGAAATTTTCCTTTTTTTATTTTGAATTTCCAGCAAACCATCGACGAATTTGCAACACGTGTTGGCCAACAAGCTATAGTATTAGTTGCCACACCGGGCAAACCAAATGTTAGTTATAAAGTGTTTGGGGCGAAACCTCTAGAAGATGTTATCAAAAATCTCCGAGGCATGATAATGGAGGAGTTGGAGAATGCGTTGGCCCATCAAGCGCCTCCGCCTGTACAAGACGATCCGTCTCTTTTTGAGTTGCCCCCATTAATCATCGACGGAATACCCACCCCTGTTGAAAAAATGACACAAGCACAACTGCGTGCGTTTATACCGTTGATGCTAAAGTACTCGACTGGGAGAGGTAAACCGGGGTGGGGGCGGGAGTCCACGAGACCCCCATGGTGGCCCAAGGAACTCCCCTGGGCGAATGTCAGAATGGATGCTAGGAGCGAAGATGAAAAACAAAAAGTATACAACGGAATTGGTTTTTTTTTTTGTTAATTTAACACGTTTTAGATATCTTGGACCCACGCTTTGCGACAAATAGTCATTAATTGTTATAAATTTCACGGCAGGGAAGATCTGTTACCGGCGTTTACGGAAGAAGACGAAAAAGCCAATGCCACTGCTACAGCCAACGCGAATGTCAGTACATCGGTTGGTGTTTTAAAAATGCATTCCTCAGGAATTGTACCTACTCATAAGATACAGATCCAAGCTAACGGCTCGCCTCAAATAATTGCCGCCTCGCCTGATGGCTTGTCGGGGTCTTCTGCGCAGGTTTGCCTCGATCCTGCAGGCTATAGTTCAGATGTTGATGTGTGTAGAAATTTATACTATGGGTGTTGTCAAGTTATCTTATTTCTCTTTTAATTTTCTTTTATTAGCACCATTATTATTATCATTTAATGCCTGTTTAGCTTGGTTTTGTTCCTTATCATAATTTTTTTTTACGTTATTATGATAGTCACGTAACTACCCAATGGGAAGTCTTTGCCACTACATGCATCTAAAACATCCGAAATGTTTTGCAGGGTGATGCAAAATGGTCCATGTTCAAACATCAAACATAAGTAGGCAGCTTCTCATTGGTTTAACCAAAAATTTGGTTAAGTGAATTTTCGGTTAAGCGGATAAGTTGTTTTAGATTACAACCCAATACACCCCGACGGTACTTCACACAATTACAAACCCCGACGGAACTGTCAGTATTGTCCAAGTGGATCCTAATAATCCCATTATTACTTTACCAGATGGTACAACAGCTCACGTGCAAGGAATGGCCACTGTAAATAACCGGTTTTTCGTACGAAATGATCATTTCCGCATCTTGAAATATCGAGATTCGGTAGTGATCGTTTTGTTCAGCGAAATAATCGATTAATTTTAGATTCAGACGGGTCAGGGTGATGGTACGCCTGTTCACACAATTCAAGCAATATCTGAAAGTGGTTCGCAAGGTGAAGTTGTTGATTTGAATTCAGTTACTGAAGCAACATTAAATTCCGAAGGTCAGATTATCCTAACCGGGGAGGATGGACACGGTGAGTGGTTTGTTTACGATCTGTTTCCGTCTTTTCTGTTTTGTTTCTTGTTTTTCTTTTTATTTTGCATATGACATAACTCTGTTCAGGTTACCCCATTTCAGTAAGTGGCGTGATTACCGTACCAGTAACCGCGTCAATGTACCATACCATGGTAGCAAATATTCAGCATCTGCATACAAATAGCGACGGTACAGTTTGTGTCACTCCAGTCGTTCCAGTACCAAAGGTGAGTGTGCATTGACTGTTGCTGTTTTTGGTTCAAGTTATCAATGTTGAGTGGTGGTAAAACTTTTAGTCTGTTGATAAGGTCGAGCCCAATAATGGAGACAACATGGAAACATTGGCGGTTACACCTAGCGGTTTAACCACTCATTCTATGATGATTCAAAGTTCAGGTACGGAGGGTCCACAAGTTTTACAAGTTCTCTCATTAAAAGATGCGACTGTTTTAACAAAAGCGATGCAAGGAATTGCCGATGTTAAAACAGAAGAAACTATATTAAGTGACCAATAAACGGCTCACTAATTCTTAAATAAATTATTATTGTGTAACCACCATTATTTTTATCAGAAGTATTTTTTAATTTTACTTTTTTCTTTTATAGTTATCTGTATTATTTATATTAAGTAAAGAAGATTAGGCTTTATATTTTTGTTTCAATTGTTTTGACTGTTAAATCATGTGGTGGTGAATAAATTTTAACGATCCAAGCACAGATTGTTTGTTTCTAGATAAGTGGTTAACTTAAAATTGTGAAATCTGTACACAACTTTTATACAATTTACAATGAGAGTACTTAGGTTTTTGACATTCGCCAGGCCTCCCAAACAACGATAACTAACCACTCAGTACTTAACCGTATTAATTTTTTGGCGTCCACACTTTATATTAGAAAATCATTATGTAAAAGCAAATTATGAAGTGGGCACAAAAAGACAAACCTTCCTGTATGTGATACTGTAACGCAAAAATATTTATTTTACTTGTTTTTTATTTAGAGTTTATTTCATAATCATGAAAACAATTCTTCATATTTTTTGCCCGAAGTCTTGAAAAGGTCAATTTCCGTTTTTATTGTTCTGAGATATTAATTGCGCCTGACTATAATTTTAAATATGTAAATAATTAATTAATAATGTCTGAATAAATCCAACAGGAGATTGGCCTTTTTTCGTCATTTCGGTTAAATTTATTTTGGGTCTGTTGCAATTTTTCGCCAATAAGGTGATAAAAACGCGTTTTAACAACTAATGATCTCAATTCTGAAATTTTGTGTTTTTGTGGAGATAGTTTTAGCTGAGACATCATGGAATACTTTACGGTAATTTTAGGAGTGGAGAGTAATGTTAATTAATTAATGTTCAGGTTTTGTTATCCCACTTATCTAAAACATAACACTAAAAATACTACGTATTTTGCTAGTCACTTTTGGCATAGTAATGATGTTAGTTTTCTAATGTTGAGAAAAAGGGTATATTGTCGTGTTCGAACATATTAGAAAACGTCGAATTTTCTTATTGGTCAATCTGTGTTAAGTTATATCTTTTTATACATGTGCATACTATGTGTAAGTTTTCTTGTAAATTGTAATAATTTAGAATAATTTAATACATTGTTAATTATTTTTAGTTATTACTGGGTATTTTAATTGTTAGTTCACATGCACTAGAAAGGTTTTATGTGTGTAAACAATGGTGGTTGTTTTTGGTGTGTATTGTATGGTTCCTTTGTTATTTGTGCCATACATTTGCATTGCTTATTTCACCAGTTTTTTACTTTTTTGCTGATTTCCATACCTTGTTAATTTTTGTATTATATAAAGAACCAAATATTAATTAGGCTTGGTTTAGAATTTCGTGCCAAAGGCATATTAAAGTACCTTCATTAAATAATTTAATATTAGGTTACTTTACACAATTATTTACTGGAGTTCTATACTAGTAATGTAATAGGTGAAGTCTAGATTAAATAACCGTTCATTTCTCATATTGTAAAATTATGAACACTGTACATTGTATATTTTACAAATCTCACTGTAACTAATAACTTTTTGACAAAATAAATGTAATAGTTTGTTTCAATGTGGTGTGACATGTTAACTTTTAAATGTTATTTTTATGGTATGCATGTATATTAGAATTTAGATCTATATGGCCAATTACCTGTAGTGGTAACGAATTGTAGCACCATATAAACATCACATACACTAAAGATATCTTCCTGTTATCACTCCCATTTACACGATTTTGAAGATATCTTTCTTTTGTTTTTGTTTATATTTAATGTGCTGGCACAAGAGGCAATGTTTGTCCATAAAATTTTCTAAAAAATTGTACATTACACCTTACCAACTGGCCTTATGTTACTTATAAAAATGCCTTTGGTTTTACGCACTCTAACGAAATTTTAATGATCTTGGCCTGATCATTAATTTCAGTTGTAAATTTTATTAGAATTCTGTAATAACCAAATAAAGCTATGGATTATGTACTTGATCGCATTTTCAATTTTCCAACACAAACACAATTTAACTTATAGACTGTTTTATTAATTAATTAATAACACGATACATTGACTAACTATACAAGCATTTAGTGGATGTCATAGACTGACTGCAGGGCCAATTCTGGCTTGTCGTAACCCAACTCCTCAGGTGTATCAATTCCTAGTTCAGAGAGAGTGGGCCTGATTTCCTGGATAATGTATGGATAAATCTCGTTGACTTTCCCTCCACATTTATCTTTCACAGCTTCAATAATCCTCACAGCAAGGGCATAATCATTGACCCTACGGCAAGCCTTCAAAGCCGCAATCAGTATTTTCGGCTCGGGAACCAAATCATGCCCACAAAGATCATTAACCCCTTGTCTGATTTCCCACCCGTCGATGTCCTTCCTATTGAAGAAATTCTCGTACCTACAATTCAAAATTCGCATTTTACACACGTTATACAAACAAATTACGTAATTTACCTCGAATCGAACTGTTCGTCTGTTTCTGTGCTATGAGACGACATGAATCTTGTCACTGGGGCCACAGACGGCTTTGAGACTTGCACAGCCCCTCTCATGAGGGAGCTCAAACGGAGGGCTGTTGTACGGAACATGTTTTTGGCAAAATTACAACAAAACCTCACGATGGCGAACAACACTCGCTGTGATAAATGCGAATAAAGTGAACTACGGGTTGCTTAAATGCGCAAACGCTTTGCGTAGGTAAAAAGACCCACACGTTTGAACTAATTTCAAACTTTATCATCTTATCATTCGGCTCGTAAGAAATTTAAGAGGGTGTTATGCCTTGAAAATGCAACTTATATTACTTACTCACCTATTTTTATAAACTGAAGATTAAAACGATCCTCTGTTTAAAATAGATTATCGATATATTTTTTTCCGAAATTTTGGAGGATTTGCAGCGCTTTTTCACGAGCTGCCCCTCATTCGCAATTAAAAATTAAACAATGCGAATAAAGTGAACTACGCATTGTGTAGATGAAAGGACCGAATTGAATTAATTTTTCAATCGCAGTTGCCCACGCAAGTGATGGAGACGCTATTTTTACATTTGACATTCAGGGATTAAGTCATGCATATGAAAATATTGATTTTGCAAGAAGCAAGTGCATCATTCATTTTTAAATTTAAAATAATCGGTATAAATAAATAATGACGTAACGGAGAAGGAATTTCTTTAATTCGAACTCAATTTGGGTCTTGGTGTTTCGCTAGATGTCGCTGTTAAACACCACGCCTACCAACACGAAAGGTTTTCGTCTAAAATGAAATAAAAATGAATCATTTTCGTTGAAGTATAATGGACAGTCAAATCCTGCAAATAGATATTTTTGCCATATGATTAGGTGATTGAAAATCTGTTGAAACTAGTAGTTTTGAATCAGTGATAGTGATTAAGTGATTTGGTTAGTGAGTGTGACGACCGCCTAGACCGCACCTATCTCTGTTGTGTGTTTGTAGTGTAGTGATAAATCGTTATCATGGACAAATAACATAGATTTTGAAATAATCTGGTAAGTTTTTCTGTGTTTGTAATTATCTTGTAATTATCGAGATAACGGAGATAACGACCTGTGCAAAAAAACAAAACAAAACAAAACATCGAGTGGCACCTTCGATACATCGAGGCTTTAATTTATGTCAAAAGTAAGGAAACATTCAACGATTTGGAATGCATTGTTTTCCTCCCGAATATTAACAATAATAATGAATCACTTTCGATTGATTTCGAGGGTAACATCCCACGAAAACGTTGTGTAATATCTAATTTTAGTTAACCTAATCTGAAAATAATTTCTTTCGCAACAGTCAAGTAGCCGGTGGTTTTTTGACATTTCCATAAAATTGTCAAATGAAGTCATCTTTATTTCTGTGTCAAATCGGATGCTTCGAAGTCTGTTTATCGTGTGTCCAATTCGCCTAAATTTAATCAATGGATATAAATAGCTCAAATACTCGAGTAATTGCATTCCTAATTTATATTCATGTCATACTTATGATTTGAAGTCGCGGACGACGCGTTAAATTCATCCCACATGTAATTATTGTCAAATTTCTTTGTCATTTGACACAAGACTCTGTTTACACAGTGTGCACCCTCCGTGCTCAAGGGGTTTCTGAAACCTTATATTTAGAAGAATTATTTGCTTTGCTCTCGAAATGACTCACTCAGCTTTGATATTCCACTCGCATCCCTACAATAATGAAAATTACTAATTTAAAGGACTCGGAAGATCGACACTATTTCCACTTATTAATCAATTAAATTATGACGTAATTAAACCATTTGTTAAAGAAAAAGTGTGATAATTAGGGTAATTAGGACAAGGCGCCGTTATTAGTGACATCATTTTTTTTATTTTATTACGATAGTAAAAGTCCTGCAAGTATCATCACATTTTTCGGTTTACTTGACATAAAAACCTTAAGAAATGTGTTTATGAGCAGTTATGTCCAACCATATGTAAATTTCGCATAAAAAGAACATAAAAAATGATTGACGTTTGTTATCATTGTCGATTTAATAAAACAAAAAGAAAGTGCAGTCGGTTTGTCATAAAACCACAAAGATTAAAGCTTGCATCACTGCACTTATTTTATCGTAGTTTATAGAACACTGTAATAAAAATATTGTAGTAATGAGTTGTAAAGTCTTATCAATGCGACCCCATGTTTCTAATTAATTAAACCCAGTCTTTAAATTTGTTTTGTTCTAAAAATACATTTTCCCGTTTTGCAATTTCCAATAAGCTGTAATTTCGGTGGGAAACGCAGAAAAAGCAAGGATAATGACCTCTAGCCGTAAATAAGTCATAAATCGATATATTTGAATGTTAATTACCACTTTATTTTTGATTTAATAATTTGAAAATCACAGACGGTTTTTTAAGGGTTTTTTACCGTGATCTGATAAAAATGGTTTCATGTCGTTTTTTTTTTCGATCGATTCGGCGGGATATACGGGGGTTGTTTAAATGTTGATTGAAGTCAAACAAATAACAAAACAATTGTTTTATTAATTAGTAATTGACCACTTCATTTGAGAGGGTTATCAAGTAAACAAGGGCACATAAGTGGCTTATCCCTCGTCATTGTGAATGAATTAATGATTGTAAATATATTGTTTTTTAAATAGATGAGTTCAAGATCAAATCGAGAATTTTTTCCCTTTGTCTAATATTTAGAGAGCCAATATTTACTCTAACTGAAAGCAGCTTTTGGTAAGAATAGTCGAATGTTGGAGATATTTTCCACATGGCGGCTTTTGCGGATGTTGAAGCGAGGGTGGATGAATACAAAGAGACGTGCATATTTTTTACCGGAAAAATGGCTCTTATTGAATTTTTAAATAACCGCTATCAGTGCCATAAATATTTGTATAGTGAATGCAACAACGATCTTCCTTTGTTGACTGCATGCATTTATTCTATAGACTTTACATAGTGAGGACGTTTCTGTAACGTCCAATTTACACTTCGGCTACTATAAAGTTCAATAACTTCACGCAACATTTTGAATATGTAATGAAATCAACGGCGAAGTGTCAGTGATTTAATTCAGTGTCACGTCATCGGAAATTATTCATATTTTCAAGTGATAACTCAGAATTTTTCTACCAAAATCTAACATTCCATTTATTTACAGGTGTACCCAACATACACTACAAAGATGGCAGATCGATTCATTTTAAGTTTGTTAGTGACCGCATTTAGTTTATCATGCACGCTAGGAAAGGAAGGTAATTGGGCCACAGGGCGTCTACTAGTTTCAAATTTCACCAAAAAAACCCTTTTCAGCTTCATCTCCCCCCTACATCGTGAAACAACCCCCGACCGACGAAGTCCTCTTCCAAGTAGAAAGCGGTGGCGAAACCGATAAACCCTTTTATATCGAATGCGAAGCGATAGGTGAACCTGCACCGAAATATCGTTGGATCAAAAACGGTAAACCCTTCAAATGGCAAACCTACGACGACCGTATATCGCAACAGCAAGGCCGTGGTACATTATCAATATCCAAACCGACCTATGACGACCTCGGTCAATACCAATGTTTCGCCGAAAATGAGCACGGAGTTGCCACCTCAAACTCCGTATTTATGCGAAAAGCCGAATTGAATTCGTTCAAAACAACTCAACCGATTTCACTATCAGGGGATGAGGGTGAACCCTTCAAACTGACATGTGAACCACCCGATGGTTGGCCGAAACCGATAGTACATTGGATTTATCTCTACACGAATGGAGGATTCAAAACGATTAATAGTTCACGAATGACGATCGATCCTGAAGGGAATTTGTGGTTTTCAAATTTGACAAGGGATGATGTTACTGATAATTTCAAATATGCTTGTGCGGCCACCTCGCCTTTTAAACACGAATACAAGTATGGAAATAGTGTGTTGCTCAATGTTGTCTCAACTGGAGTCTCCGCAGCTTCAAATAAACGAGAACCTGTCCTACAGTATGTCTCAAGAAAGAACACTGTAGCATATTTAGGGAAACAACAAAAACTGTATTGCATTTTTGGCGGAACGTAAGTATTTAGTGTGACATTGATTGAGTCAAAAATTTTCCGGTTTTTTTTAGTCCGTTACCGCAAACGGTGTGGCATAAAGACGGTAAACCGATCCAGTCTTCGGATCGCATAACTCAGGATAACTACGGTAAATCGCTAGTTATCCGAGTCGTGAATTTCGAAGATGAGGGCAAATACACCTGTGAAGTGAGTAATGGAGTCGGTGAAGCGAAATCGTATTCGATCGATTTGAAAGTTTTCGGTATTAAACCCGAACTAAAAATAGTTAAATGAGTTAACTGTGTGATTTTTTAGCGGTTCCCTACTTTATCGTGGAACCGGAGCGTCAAAACGCTGCCGAGGGGGAGACAGTTGAGTTCCGATGCGAGGCCGGCGGTGTACCAAAACCCGATATCAAGTGGATACATAATGGAAAACCAATAAGCGAAGCACCACCCAATCCGAGACGACGAGTCGAAAACAATCGAATCGTTATCGAAAGACTTGTCGAAAGCGATACCGGAAATTACGGATGTAACGCTACGAATTCTTTGGGTTATGTTTACAAGGACGTCTACGTCAATGTTCTCTGTAAGGCGATGACAAATAAAAGACAAATTATTAATCACGATTTGTAGCTCTAGCACCGGAAATTCTCGAAGCACCGACTGATACACAAGCAGTTGACGGGCAAAATGTCACAATGATTTGTAAAGTTTTAGGAGCCCCAAAACCCTCAATTAAGTGGAGTTTAAACGACCGGGAATTGACAGGTGGACGCTATATTGTCCAACCAAACGGCGATTTAATCATCAAAAATGTACAGTTTGACGATAGGGGCAATTATACTTGTTTCGCTGAAAACAAATTCGGGAATGCGAGTGCCAAAGCAGCACTACTTGTCAAATGTGAGTGAGGAAATTAAATTTTCGGTGATTATTTCTCTAATTCTAGCCCACACATATATTACTGACGGTCCTGAGGACTATGAAGTGGCAGCTCACACTTCGGCCACATTCAGATGTAACGCAGTTAGTGACGATTCTCTCGACTTGGAAATAATTTGGTTGAAAAACGACCAACCTATCGACCTAGAAGAGGAACCAAGATTTGTGCGCTCGAGTGACTACTCTTTGACTATTACTCAAACGATTGAGTTAGATTCAGGGACTTATACTTGTGTTGCTAGAACTGCATTAGATGAAGCGTCAGCTAAAGCACAACTTATCGTTCAAGGTAAGTGTTTAATGTAGAGATTTTCGTATAATTGATTGGATTAGATGTTCCAAATCCGCCCGCGATGGAGGGAGTCGAATGTCACGCGAGAGACGCCACAATTCGGTGGAAATCAATGGGCGATAATCGGGCCCCAATTTCGCACTACATCATCGAATTTAACACCACGTTCACCCCTGAAACGTGGACGGCGGCTTATAATAACGTACCAGCGACTGATATGAGCTATAATGTTCCTATGAGCCCCTGGACTAACTACACTTTCCGAGTAATTGCCGTTAACAAAATCGGAAAATCGTTACCTTCAACTCACTCAGATGTTTGCACAACCGAACCAGATGTGCCCTATAAGAACCCTGATGACGTCAAAGGCGAAGGTGACAGACCTGATAATCTCATCATATCATGGACGGTAAGTTTAGAGCACGATCGTAAAATAGACAGGTCTGGAAACTCCATTCATAAATGTTTGAAATTGAATTATTTTTTCTGAATCGCGGGTGGTTTTATTAATTCACTGTTTGACCGCATTTTGGCAGTTAACAACAATTTTAAAAAGCGAATTTTTCTCTATTCTCAACGTTTCTAAATATTTTTGCCGCTTGTGCGCAGTTTCTCGGTGTTTTAGGATGGTTTTCTTTGATTTATACTTCATGTTTTCTTGGTTAATATCTTGTTTTCTTTTGTTCTGTTTAACTTTATTTTTTATCTATATTAAATATTAAAAAATATTTTTTGGTTTTGAGTTTTGGCAATCAAAAAGGTAAATATATTTGGTTTTTATATCTTGTTTACAGAAAAACTTGGCATTGCCCGACAAAATGAAGTAGTAAACAATTGTTTTTTTTTTTTGGGGTGAAAGAAAAATTGGACAAAAAAGGGCAAGGGATGAAACTCTAAATACTGTACTGCAAAGAAAAGACAAAAACTGTCAATTACATTTTGAGACAAAACATACAAAATTAGAGAGAAAACATTAAAACATTTAACATTTAATGGACTAGTGTTGTGAGTTTTGACATATTTGTATCCGTCTAAGAAGTAATATTTTGTCTTTAAAGTCCTATAGATAAATGAGTCCACAAATGTATCAAGTTTTTAAAAAAATATTTATTTCTTTACTCTGTTTACAAAGTGACCGCTCACCACAAAAATAGTTCCTGAAATTGTCTTTATTGTGACTGTGTTTTCTTTATTATTCAAAAATCTTGCTGTACACGAAGTGGGTACTGACTAAGTAAAAAACACCATTTTTATAAATCTTGGAAGATTGTCTTTACAAAATCCTTCTATTGTAAATTTTGCAACAACCTTGATCGCTACATTATTAGTTAGAATTAGATAACTAAAAAATAACTTATATTTATAAGTTACTTCAATAAAACTTCTTTTTTAAAGGTCTTAATAATCATCATAGGTAGCATCTTGTGTAAAGATCAATAACAGCAATGTTTTCGACTCTTTTTTTCTACTAGACGGTAAGGTGGCAATTAATAAATACTATGGATTGACTCGATAGAATGTACATTATTCTAAAAGATGAAGATTTGTTTAAAAGTTAAAAGATGTTTCCTACCAAAAACCTCCTCGAGGACTAAATAAAGGAAACGACACTTACCTGCCACTTTATTAAACATATTGTACTTTATATGTGGCGCTTATTAAGTTGTTTTTTGCACTGTTTTTAACAATTTTAACAAGCCCACAGTAACCTAACAAATTATGACAAGCGCTAATATAATATTTCACATTATTATTTACGCACGGCGACGTCATTTTTGGTTCATAAATACGCAGTAATTAACGTAGTATCTGTTGCTCTCAAAACCTACTGAGATCCAGATTTTTTAATTTAATTTTAAAACACGAGTTTCCAGACCTGTCTATTTTACGATCGTGGTTTAGAGTCACTATGAGTGACATATTGTATTTTTCTTCTTAGCCTATGCCAAAAATTGAACATAATGCCGATAAATTCCAATATCGTGTGTATTGGAGACGTGATATACCGGGGGCTCCGTACGAAAGTCGTGATATTACCGATTGGAGAGTTAAACAATACATTGTCGATAATCAACCCACGTTTCAACAATATCGAATTAAAGTTGTCGCTATGAACGAGAAGGGTGAGGCTAATGTCGCACCCAAGGAGGTCATAGGCTACTCAGGTTGGTATAATACACAAAAAATACTATAAAAATTATCATTTTCATTTTTTTAGGCGAGAATATCCCCATTGAGGCCCCCACGAACTTCACTTTGCTCCAAATCCAAGGCCCTAAAACCGCCCTTCTTAGTTGGAACCCCGTTGATAAGAAGAGTGTCCAAGGCCATTTGAAAGGGTACAAAATCAAGACGTGGAGTGACATATCATCTCCTATGCACAATGAAATCCAAGTTCAAGGTTCGGTTGCTAAAGCCCTTGTCGATAACTTAGATCCCTACACAATGAATTACGCTCAAGTGTTTGTTTACAACGGGAAATATAATGGTCCCCCGAGTGAAACGCTTAGTTTTAAAACACCAGAAGGTGTCCCTGAAGCTATGTCATACCTTGAGGCTTACCCCTTAGGGGCTTTTCGGCCGAATGATGCCACTAAAACCGCCTCATCTGCGTTTCTTTTAACTTGGAAAAAACCGGAAAAACCGAACGGGATGTTAACCGGTTATGATATATACTACCGGCGATTGGACGACAGTACTACCAATAGTAAAATTGCAAGAAATCCCCAAATTAGAGGTGGGGATGTCTTGAGTGCGAAATTGAGTGGACTTGAACCGGATACGAATTATGTGATTTACATAGCGGCAAGGACGAGTGCAGGGCCGTCGAAGGAGTTTTATATTGAGAGAAGGACAAGTCCAGCTGGGGCGAGTTCACCACCCGGAGTCCCGGATTTCGACTGGGAGACAGTAAAAGCCGACGAGGATGGGAAAGTCACCGTTAGGATTCAATGGAGGCCGGATAAAACCGGAAATCCAGGTTCACACTTCATTGTCAAGTACAAGAGAGAGGCGGAACCAAATTATGCAGAAGTTGAAGTTATAAATGATGATTTTGTTGAGATTCCCGGGATTGCCCCAAGGGAAAGTTATGACTTTAAGGTGACTTCAGTCGATGGTGATTATTATATTGATAGTAAAGTGAAAACTATCAATATTTATTCCGACGGGCCGTTAATTAAGGCCAATGAGAATATGGCATCGGCAGGGTGGTTTATCGGGATGATGCTTGCGATTGCCATTCTTTTGTTAATTTTGATCGTCGTTTGTATTATTAAGCGGAATCGGGGTGGGAAATACGCTGTTCATGAGAGGGAACAAGCCAATGGGCGACACGACTACCCCGACGAGGGCGGTTTTCATGAGTATTCCCAACCGTAAGTCACTCGACTTAGTCAAGGGGCGACTTAATCAAAATCGTGTTGTAGGTTAGACAATAAGTCACATGGGAGAGCCTCAATGAGTAGCGAACCTAAAGTGGGTCCAGAGAGTGATACTGATTCAATGGCTGAATATGGTGATGGAGACACAGGTAAGTTTTTGTCCCCGTCTTGTGTTGTTTTTTTTTTGTTAAGTTTTTTTACGTTACATAGAGGGTATGAATGAGGACGGGTCATTTATTGGGCAATATGGCCGCAAACGTGGTCAGGGAGAAACAACATCGCAAGGGTTTGCAACTCTTGTATAGTAAGGTTTATTTTTTTTTTTTTTTATTTTTTTTTGTGGGTTTGGCTTGATTGGTCTTCTTTCGAATTAATTTTCCTTTGGCTGGTACTAAACCATCTTGTTTTGCTTTGATTTGTGAATGCAAGTGGCTAAAAATTTCCAATTTCAGGGCGTTTTACTGAAGATGGATCTTTCATAGGTCAATATGTTCCAAGCAACATGAAACAGCTTGGCCCACCCTCTATTACGGCAGGGGTTAACAATAATGCATTGGCCACGTATGTTTAAACGTGACCACTTACACTAAACTAATTCTTTAAACCTATATTTTTTGCTAGAGCAGTGTTGTGACATTTTTCTTTTTTAGAATTTATTTTGTGTACTTGAATGGAGGAGAATCTCGAAAAAAATTAATTGACTCACTTATTTGTGAAAGATATTAATTTATTGTTTGACAATGTGTTCTGATATTTATTTCGGGTAAAAATTGAATTCGTCCATTTTTAGGTTACGCATAATTTAAAAAATAAAAATCAAAATGAATTTAATGTATAGTAATATATTTTTGTTTTGCGTTACAATTTGGAAACGAATAAGTACTGAATGTTTTTAAATTGTAACGTGCTGATCTGTTAAGTACTGGAATAATTTGTGTATCTTTATGTATTATATAGTTAATTATAGGATCGTATATTTATGATGTTTTTCATATTATTGCCCAAGGAATTACGTTCTCATATAATATATAATGAACTATAAATTTATGACATGTTTCATGCTTGAGAAATAATTATTTATAAGTTAGGTAATAAACATCAAAATTGCTTTAATCATCATTTTCTCGAATTAGTTTTTATTCTTGACACTGCCTAATTTAAGAAATATCAAGTGTGGCATTAATTTGGACTGTATTAGGCGTACAATAAGTAGTATCCAGACTAAGTTACTTTTTATGAATACAGATCTAATAATAGGCATCACAAAATTCATACAAAGTGACTTGACCAAAACTTATTGTACATAAACCCGTTTAAAACCTGCTTATATAAAAAATAATTCAAATTAATCTAAGTAAAGTAAGTTAAGCTGAAATATTTTTTTTACGATTTTCGTAGTTTGTAGTATTTTGAAAATTTACATTGCAATAATTTACCAATTATGTAGATTATTGCCTTGTTATTTTTTGTATTAAGTTAAGATTAAGGCTTCGGCCGAGATATCATTAAATTATAAAATATTTTTTGTTTTTCTTTTTTTGTGATCGAAAATGAGACGTATAATTTCTCGAAAATGGGAAATTTGACACTACACAATAATACTGTGTCAATTTGGCTTTCTGTAAAACAGGACATGGGTGCTAGTATCGTGGTTATTCATTTGTTGCATGATTGTTGCTTGTTATGTTTCAAATAACAGCTTCATTTCTTCACTTGTGAGGTAAAAGAATATGGCAAAATCACCAACTTACGAAATGGTTTTCTTTGAGAATTTTGTAGTTTGGCTTTTGTAAGTGTAAAATATAAAATGTTTTGTCGCCGAGCACGAATTTTTTTATATATTGGCAGAATGAATGCACTGTTGGATATTAGGTAAGATTCGATATATTTATTATCAACTATTATAACTGCTTTACTAGTTGTTCTATTATAAGATGATTATAGTATTTTTTTAATACGTCTTGTACAAAAGTATCTCAAAAACATTCAGTTGTGGTTTTGTAATGGCAGCTGTAACTTTACTGTATTATAAATGGAAGTAATGTAAATGTATGCTTTCAATTTTGTAAGCTGTATAAATTTGTAGTGTTCTTCCTTCGGTCTCAATAGCCTCATACAGATAGTCCACTAGTATACTATAAACACTTGATCGTTATTATTTTTATACACTTTTTTAAACCATTGTAAATGCCTTCTATTTACCCTGAGTTGTAAATTTTTTATATGATCCCTGTTTTACAAAAATATTGTCATAATTTTTGCACTTGATAAAACTTTAATGAAAATACCCTTTTCTTTCATTCAACCCCAACCCTACAATATCAAATTTTTAAACATGTTAATCACTGATGATTGCTTACTTCCGACATAGTATGGTATAACAAGTGTTATACTACTATGCTCCCAATTTAAAAAACTAGTGATTTTAATTTTTCCCCCAAACGTGTTTTTAAAAAATAAAAGAAATGTTTATTTAAATTTACAATTATACAAGCCTTGACTTTTAACAAATGCACTGCTTTTGTGCAAATTTAAATAAGGTTTGTCGTGATAATGGGCGCAAATCAGTAGAAGTCAAACAGTTGGTGCCCCTGAAGTCGTTGATGTCGCCATTTTATTGATAAGTTTGTTCGTTTTTGCAGTTGTGTTATTAAACAAAAAATGGAAACGTTATTTAACCCAGTTTTTAATTTAAAAACAAAAAAGTGAATTTGGCGAAGTCTCAAGTAAATTGGTACGTTTTATCTCACCTTCATTTCAGGCATTTGTAACGGAATTCTCACTACGATTTGAATTTATTTTTGTTTACTTTTTTTCGGTTGAATATAACCAAGAGCACAAATAACCCCTAAGCGCAATTACTAAATTCCGATCACGCATTTATTTCCTTATTTTCCCGTTTGTTTCTAATGTCCGCCCACTTTATAAAAAATTACACCTACTTGTGTGTGTGTGTGGGCTTCAAATAAAGCAATGTTTGTAAGCACACTCCTAATTAGCGGCATTTTCAAGATTACTTATGAAGAGGAAGAGGGCAACTAATAAAATGGAAGACTTTTCCAACGTTCTGGTCAACACTGGTGAATTTATTCCAGGTGAGCTAGAAAATTGCTAGATTAGAAATCAACGACTGATTTTAGGACGCCTTTATTTTGTCACACTTAACACTAATGTGGCCCCGAAATCAACCTCAACTGTTCATTATTTTGCCGTGGACACTGAACAATGCTACGATAGTTTTTACAATGATTTCGGTCCCTTGAATCTTGCAATTTTGTTTCACTACTGCGGGAAATTAGACAGGAAATTGTCAAATGGGACGCTCCAGAATAAGAAAATCGTCCACTACACCGGCCTTGATGAGCAAAACCGCGTCAACGCTGCGTTTCTCATAGGGGCTTATGCTGTAATTAAGTTGGATTATGACCCTGAACAGGCCTATGAAGTGTTAACCAAAGGGGCCCAACAAAGCTATATCGAATTCAGAGATGCCTCAATTGGGGAACCCTACACTCTCTCCCTACTTGACTGTCTCAAAGCCGTGAGAAAAGCCCTTGATTGTGGCTTTTTCGACTTCGAAAACTTCGATTTTTTCGAATATGAGCACTACGAAGTAAGTTTCAAAACTCAACCAAAACCGATTTAATTCCCAATTTTAGAGGGTGGAAAATGGTGACTTAAACTGGATCGTTCCCGAGAAATTCATCGCGTTTTGTGGCCCCCACCACAAGTCCGTTATCGACCGGGGGTACCCCATTCACTCCCCCGAGACATATTTCGCTTATTTTCGCAGACACAACGTCACGACTGTCATACGCCTAAATAAGAAGGCTTACGACTCCAATCGTTTCGTACAAGCGGGTTTTGACCACAAAGATTTATTTTTTATTGATGGGGGAATCCCCAATGATCGTATTCTAAGCAAGTTTATTTCCGTTTGTGAGAACGCAAGGGGTGCCATAGCTGTACATTGCAAGGGTGAGTGTTACCAACTTAAAAACGTGGTTTAATTCTTTGTGATTAGCGGGGCTTGGGCGTACTGGGACCTTAATTGCGTGTTATATAATGAAACATTACAAGTTTACGGCGCAGGAGGCGATAGCCTGGATCAGGATTTGTAGACCTGGGTCGATAATAGCCCACCAACAGACTTGGTTGCTTCAGTAAGTCACAAAAATCGTAAAAATTGTTTGATAGTTTTTGTTCAGGAAACAGGATCAATTGTGGGCTGCCGGTGAAGAATATAGGCAAAAAATGAATATGACGGGGCCTATAAAACACACGGTGGGAATATACGGCCTACGCTCGGTCAATAATAACAAAACCAAATCAAATGACAATGTAACAGGAATAATGAAAAAAGTTGATTCGATGGAAATCAACGATAAAGATTTTGAATCAGAAGAAAATAAAATCACACAAGGAGACCGACTGAATGAAATCAAAGCACAAAGGGCCAAAGCGAAGCAACCCCTTTTAACAAATTTGTGAGTTTCGACATTTGTCACAACTCGATTAGCCATTAATTATTTTAAGGACTGAACGCAAAGCGTTTCGATCAAAAGTCATTTTAAACACGACAACTACATCTCCGGTTAGGGTGGGGAGAATAATGACAAACACAACCAAGAGCACAACTTCTACAACTAGAGTTTTAACAAAAAGGTTTGTTTAGGGTCACTGCTTTATTTTATGTTACCACAATTAGCATGACTGCATGATTTTTTCTAATCACAACGGGAAAATATTGATACGTTCACTAATAACCAAAATTCGATTTTAAATCGTCTCTTCTCTCCAGCCGTAATAAAGGGGCGAAATTGGCCTGAAGCTGAAACAACATTTTCCAAATTCCCAGCGAACTAATTGGACCAAAGTCGACGTAAGAATTTTAAGAATCACATGACCACAAAATTGCAAAAACAGGAATTCCATACCAAAACGATCATTTGTAAATAAGTTATTTTATTAGTTTGTTTTTCTGGCGAATAGTAAAAAATGACAAAAATGGGGATTTGGAGGTTTGAAAGTGGCAGTTTTGGCATGGGACTCTCGGCTTGCGGTGTGGTGTGGTAATCAGCTATCAATAAGTTCCTGTGTGTGTGTAAATGGTGTGGATTAGCGTAATTTTGGCGTAGATTAGCGGTAGTTTTATGTAGCGCATGCTTACAGTGCACGGACAGCTTTCTAAATATCGTAAGAGGAGTAATTTGCAATATCCGCGATATGCTTTTGTTAACAGAAACGAGCTGAACGAAAGTCAATCGTCGCGACGTTGCAGCCAACGAAAAGTCAACGCTTCTATAATAACCCTCGGCAAAAGTAAAGTACCGGAGACGAAATCGTTACCCAAGAAAAAAGAAAATTTAAGTTGGTTGATTAAAAATGGCGCACATGAAACTAACGTTGCTAAGTGCAGTTCTGATAATAAAGTTGAAAATACGGTAAAACGTTGTAAAAGAACGCTTGCTTTGGAAAAAGATAAAGCAAGTCCGCATTCGGTTAAAGTGTTACGGAGGTCGCATGGACAGACGTCGAAAGACACTAAAAAAACTGATGGGAAATTACATTTGCCATCGGTCAAAATCAATAAAACGATTTAATTTTTTCATTTGTGTATATAACTCGAAACTGTTGAAAGAGTTCAAAGTTTTATTGTAAACACTTGGTTTTTAAATATTCACAAAAACACTCAGTGTTAGTACTTAAAATGCTATAAGTGTGGCTAGATTTAGTAATGCCAGTATTATTTTTTGTACAAGGTTTTACGAATTTTTCGGCTTTAATCTTTTTAACAAATCTGAACTGAGTGTTTCCTTGACTTTTTGTTTACAAAAACTGTACATAGATGTTGAAATACTTTAAATAAATGTCTATTTTATGTTAAATTCTGGACTGTTATTAATAAATATAATATTGTTTATGATTAGCAGTACACATTTTTATATAACTCACTAAAATATTTGTTCTATTTTATTAATATTGTTTTTACCATAGGAACCAAACACGATTGTATGCTTTTAGTTGCCATTTTAGTCTACTAGGTTTTCACTGTTACAATTTCAACTTATTTTTGTAATGAAATTGTAGTCATATTTGTAATAATCATTGTTCAGTATTTTTTTAAATCAGTTTTGTCAATAAATGTTTCATTGCTAGTTTCTTGTTTCTTTGTAAAGAAAAAACGAAAATTTAGAAAATTAGTTTATTTAGTAAAAAACGAAATGACTGGGATAAGCCAGTAAAACTATATTTCAAATAAAAACAACACAGGAACAATGTTAGTGCTTTGGCTTCAAAGTAACTGTAAGCACAATTTATGTGGACTATGCATATTATAAAAAATGAGAAGTTTTCTCAACATTGACTATGAAGCATAATAACTTGCTTCTTCATCTAGATTATGATTAAGAAGTCCTTCTCTGTCTTCATCCATATGCCTTTGAGGGAACGTAGCCCCGTCGCCCAAACTAAACAACAGAACAACAATTACATTTAAGTCTAGGTAGCAAACGGATCAAAGCTGCAACTAAATCTAGGCTCCAGGAATGGTAAATGAAATGTTCTGTCATCAACAATAATAAAAAACAAAACTAAATTATAAAAACGTTTATTACAAAAGAAAAAACTAAATGGTTGTTAACAACATATAAGTACAATTTTTGTTGAATTAATCATGTAACTACGTGTCCGTGGTTGAGCTTGCTTGTCTCTGAATCAACCTCTCGATTGCTGTTTAACAAAATTCAATTTTTATGTTAAAACAAAAGCTATCACTAAAGCCTCATGCACAAACTACAATTAGCGGTTAGTTTTACCAACACCTCGTAATTTTAGTGGTTTGTGTAACTGGTAATCAATAAAACTGGGTAAAAACATACTGAATTTATTGAAAAAAAAAAAAAAAAAATACATGAGTGATGAATTTAGTAGCAAAAATAACAATAAATCAACTGAGTAAAATCAGGTGTCAGGCATTAACTAATAACACTTGCTTTAGCTAGCGTTAGCTAAATATTTATACATCTAACCTGTTCTGTGTGTTCTCCATGGACTGATAAGAATTCGCCAGATGACGTGAGTTTAGCGGGAATTCAATACCGTCACCCAAACTACAAAAACAAAAATTTCAATCCCCGTTACGGTGTTGGTAATTCACGAATTAAACGTTTTTATATTTTAGTTAATGAGAAAAAAAAAATAAAAAAGTGGGTTAGTGTCAGTGCAATGATAACGTACCTAGTCTTAATTGGAAGTAACCAAGTCCTGGGATTATCACCAAAAACCTCCTGGAAATTATTATACCGTCCAAGATTAAAACCCCTCTTATCCGGCCCACTTCGGAAAATCGGTGGACGAAACGCTTCTACAATTTTCACCACTCTAATAACCACAATAACCAAAGAAATGACTCACCAAGAGTTGTACGATTCTCACTAACCAAGTAACAGTGGTAACAAAACAACGAAACAAGACTTACTCCAAACATAATCGCGACGAAAAACAGAAACAAAATGTGAAATCTCCCGTTCCCTATTCCTTCCAAAGTTCCCTGAAACCCAAAAAGTAGCCAAACTAGCCCCCACTGCACCAACCTACCCTCCAAAACTCGATGAAATAGGGGAGAGACGTCAAGGCGACATACACGCAATAGAATAGCGCGTATCCTAAGAACAACAAGAAAAACTTATAATTCGTGAAACAAACACAATTGTTGATCCAGGGACAATGATGGTCCATTTTTAGCACACACTCGCCGCACACCGAGCAATGGTGAGTCCTGTCAGGCTTAATCACCCTGCATTTGTCGCAAAACCGCGGAAAACCCTGGACGTTTACGTTGGTATTGGGCAAGTGGCGTGAGACATTTTCCAAAATTTGACGTTGTGCTTCCGCCGATTCCGTTACTGTAAGTGTCTGGAATTCAGCGTCGTCGATTTTGTACTAAAACTCAAGTAGTAAAAGGGGCCCCAAGCCGTTACAAAAACTAACTTTTATCGGGACGCGACCAATTTCCGTGAAAATCGTCTGCCAGTACGACCAACACAACATTATAAAAAATATGTGGTAGAATACTAGGAAAATCACTTGTTTTGGGGTCGATTCAACAATCGCTGAAACCGGAATTAAATCACAAAAAAAGCTACAATGACTTAACCAGTACCTAAACAAAGTTGGACAACGTAAGCATAGTACGACCATGCGATTATACAAACAATAAATAAAACTGGTATCCATTTAACAGCTTTGATACACCAAAAACATGGTCCTCTGTTGTTAATAGGTGTGGGGCCGGCCATTTTTCCTTAAGCTATTTTTGATTTTTTTAATGAGGCATTTCAAAGGCTAATGAGATCAGAATGGACTCCTCTTACACCTCCAGGCATCACAAAGGGGCGGGGCTCTAGGCATCTAACCTAAAAACACAACCCGACTATTGTGACTTAAATCAGGACTTGGACACTCACTTGTCATTTCTAACCCAATTAATTCACATATTTCTTTACAAATTTCATTAATTAAGCCCCGCACTAGCACACATACACACACATCAACAATTTTTTTGCTTTTTTAAGAAAATGTCACCGAAATGGTGCCACCCAAAAAAAAGAAAAATCCTAGTTATGTAACTAACCAGACTACTAAAAAAATAAAATAAAAAATTATAAGATAATTAACTAAATTATTATCCTATGTTTTAAGCTCGTGTATTAATAAAAACGTATTTTTTTTTCTATTTTGTCAATTTTTTTGTGTTGGTGTCATTGTGATTGTCAAAACGCTGTCATCTGACAAAACCCGTTCAGTCTGTGTGGTGTTGTTTGAATCTAAACCGATATTTTTGTGATAATTTGTACATTTCGAGTGGAAAAAGATGTATCAAATCGGTGGTGAGAAGTCTTTAAGTTAATTCAATCATAATCAGCAATAATTGCAACGAAAAATGCTTAAATAAATTCACCGTTGAATAACTCACCCATACATGGCTTGTTATTTGAATGAAAATGTTTATACTCACACGTTTACCCCACGAGAGTATCAAGTGGAGCTGCTGGACAGCGCGAAGAAGCGTAATACAATCGTATGTTCGAGTGCGAGTTCGGCAAAAGCATTTATAATAATAAAACTGCTCCAAGAGTTCTCTCACAAGATGAGGGTGTCTCGTGGAAAGCAGGCTTTGTTCGTGTTGGACGCCCAGAACGTCCCAATAATGACATCACATGTGAAATTACTAACTGATTTAACCGTCACGAGCATAGATAAAGAGGAAAATCACCCATCACTTAAGTCTAGTAATGTGATTGTTACCACAGCTGAAGTCTGTGTGTTTTTATGTAAAAAGAGTTTTATTCATTTAGATTGTTATACTTTAATAGTGATAGACTGTCTATACGGGGGACAGCAGTCGTTAGTTAGGGAAATTATGGCCCGATATCAGGGGATCCAAGCCCCCAAACCTCGAATTTTGGGCTTGACTGCCGGCCTTTTAGGCTCAGAGATGCAACCCGATCGTCTGGAGGCCGAATTACAACGCTTAGAAAAATTACTTAGTTCCTCGGTAGACACTTCTAGTGAAATTCTCACGTTGATACGCTTATCTTGTCGCCCCCGTGAACGTATAGTCGAATGCTTTAAACCCATTCCAAGCTCTTTACAAGACAAAATCAAGGCTACGGTAACCTCCTGTCAGAAATTCCTCAAAGACCACCGCTACGACCCTAGTGAAATCTACGACGACGAATTACTCGAAGAATTCAAACAAGTCCCTGACCCTAAAGAACAACCCCTGAGTTTTTTCGACGACTTCCTTGAAATTTTAGACGATCTGGGCCCCTGGTCGGCCGATCGAGCCGCCTATGGAATGCTTATCAAGATAGAAAAGCTCAAAGTAAAAGTACCTTACGAAAGACATTATTTATTGTTGTGTGTTGCATCATCAGTATTAGTTTCGATAAGGGCTCTCTGTGAACTCGAATTCCAAGACTACACAGATAAGGAAAAAGTATTTCGTTTCTCAACACCAAAAGTACTCAGATTTCTCCAAGTTCTAAAGCAGTTCAAACCGACGGGAGAAAAACCGGAAACTTGCGACAAACTCCCTGACATCAAAGATGCCAAAAAGGGAAAAGGAAAAAACTACAAAGGGCCCCGAAGACCGTACATTTCACGCACCCAAAGCGAAGACATGTTGTGCGCACTCGTTTTTGTCAAAAATCGCTACAAAGCGGAAGCCCTCTTCGCTTTATTATGTGTAAGTAAAGTACAGTTTTTCTCGCTGATTTTTTCACTTTCGACTAGGTTATGTCAAAAAGCGACGAGGAGTATTGGTGGGTGTCGGTTTCCTTCTCCGTGAATAAAATCGCTGATCCGGTGCGGGAGCCCCGCGAGGCTGAATCCGAACATAAACGTCAAGAGGAAGTTCTACGGAAATATCGAAGTCACGAATGCAATATTATGATAGCAACATCAGCACTAGAACAAGGCTGTGATCTTCCTAAATGTAATTTAGTGATACGTTTCGATTTACCTCAGTCGTTTCATAGTTACATTCATAGTAAAGCTCGAGCGCGTGCAAACGAAGCTTATTTTCTCTTGTTAGCGAATGAGAATGAAGTTAGCGATTTTGTTGAGAATTTAGCCGAGTATAACGAAGTCGAGAATACTTTATTGAAGAGGTGTTACAGTTTGGAACCTGATAAGAATGAGGAGTTGATTGCTGATGCTTCCTCACTGCAATGTAGACCATATCAGCCTTTGGCCGAACCGGGGGCTAACTCAGTTAGCCTCTCTAATGCTATAGCTTTAGTTAATCGGTATTGTGCAAAATTACCTAGCGATACTTTTACTCGTTTAACACCAATATGGCATGAAGAAAAACTCGAGAATGGTTATATTTGTTCAATTCGGTTACCTATCAATTCGCCGGTTAAGAAAACAGTGATTAGTCCTCCAATGATTAATACTTTATTAGCACGAAGAGCTGCAGCTTTCATGATTTGTCAACTCCTACACAAAGCAGGGGAATTAGATGATAATTTACAACCTATAGGCAAAGAAAATTTCAAAGTGAATGAAGAAGACTGGAATAGTTTGGCTCTTGAAGAATCAGATGAAGAAAATCTAGACCCTAGACCTGGTACTACAAAACGGCGACAATACTACTATAAAAAAGTTGCCGACGCTTTACTTGACTGTCATCCAGTTATCGGCCAACCGACTTACTTTTACAAAATCGTCATGAAACTGACTTGCCCTTTACCGGAAGAACAGAACACCAGAGGACGAAAAATCTACCCGCCCGAAGACTCACCCCAAGGGTTTGGGATACTGACCTCGAAAGAAATACCAAAGGTGCGCCTCCTTTTTCATGATAGTTTTGTTTAATTTCTTGGTTTTAGATAAGTGCCTTTCCAATTTTCACAAGATCGGGTGAAGTTAGTGTTGATTTACAATTGTGTTCACAAGTAATTGTAACGGAGAATCAAATTCGCAAAATTAGGGAATTTTTAAATTACACATTTACGAGTGTTTTACGTTTACAAAAGTACCTAACCCTTTTCAATCCCGACGCTTCGGCTAATTCGTACTTAATCGTGCCAACGATCAATGGTGAGGGCAAATCAAGGTGGCTTTGTGACGCTCGGCGATTGTGTTACAGACTCAGCCGTCGATTGGGATTTCATCGATTTAATCTACGCCAATTTGACGGTACTCCCCGAGATAATCCCCGAAGATGTCCGAAAGAGTTACGAGTTTGATCCCGAAAAGTACCGAGACGCTGTTGTCATGCCCTGGTACCGCAACCAAGACCAACCTCAGTATTTCTACGTGGCGGAAATTTGCTCGAATTTAAATCCGGCTTCGGATTTTCCAGGTTCCGATTATGCCACTTTCGAGGAGTATTACTTGAGGAAATACAACATACAGATCCAGAATAAAAACCAACACTTGCTTGATGTTGACCATACATCAGCCAGGTTGAATTTCCTCACCCCGAGGTATGTTAACAGGAAGGGAGTGGCTTTACCGACGAGTAGCGAGGCCACAAAACGAGCAAAACGTGAAAAGTTGGAACAGAAACAAATTTTAGTGCCCGAATTGTGTGCTATACACCCGTTTTCGGCCTCTTTGTGGCGAAAAGCCGTTTGTTTACCCTGTATCTTGTACAGAATTAACGCATTGTTATTGGCTGATCAAATCAGGCGAACTGTAGCGCTTGAGTTGAATTTGGGCAAGATCGAGCTTAATTCTGGTGATTTTATAACAATATAATGGTCATGATAATGTTGTTGATTTTTTAGAGTTCAAGTGGCCTCCGTTAAACTTTGGATGGTCTTTAGCCGACGTTTTGAAGAAATCTAAAGACGAGGAGAAGAAGAAACAGGAGAAAATTGAACCCATCATTGAAGAAATTCCACCCGAAATTGAGAAAATCGAAAGATTTGACCAAGACGACGACGAGGAAGAAATGATCGAGATTGGGACTTGGTCTAATGACATGGCTCAATTGAACTGTGACCAAGAGTTTCCAGTTGTGAGGTATGCCTCACCGACTAGTTGGTTGGATCTCCAAAACACTTACGACGATTCGTCCTTTTCGGACTCGGATTATTCCGGTGATGAATCCGAGTCCGAATGGGGCGGCCTTCGTATTGAATTCACCGGTGATAACGTAGCTGAAGCCGTCGATGACGAAAATAAAAAAGACGACGATTTCGAACTTGTTGACTACTCGAATGTCTGGAAAGTCGATGATGAGAGTGAAATCACACAAACGTTACGAAAACAATTCCACGATGCTTGTGCCCGAAACAAAGCCCATATTCTCTCATCGGGAATTCTAATTTCAAAGTCTGAACAATTCCAGAAATGTTCCGACTGTGATAATGCTACAACTAAAGATTTGCAAGTTTCGAATAGTTACGATTTTGACTTTAGTAAATTATTTATCGAGTTGGATAAACACGAACCGTTAAAGATTGATTTAGGGCTTCAGAATGCGAAAAACGAGTACGACATATCCGAAACTATGAGTTTCAAATTCGACGAACAACCGAATTTGGTCGAACACCCGGGTCCAAGTCCAAACGTGTTATTACAAGCATTGACAATGTCGAATGCAAACGATGGGATTAACTTAGAGCGACTTGAAACAATCGGTGACTCGTTTCTCAAATACGCAATAACGAATTATCTCTATTCGAAGTATGAAAATATCCATGAGGGTAAATTGAGTCACCTTAGGTCGAAACAAGTAAGTAATCTTAATTTGTACCGACTGGGTCGAAGAAAAGGTTTGGGGGAATATATGATTGCGACAAAATTTGACCCTCATGATAATTGGTTACCGCCGTGTTTTTACGTCCCGAAAGAACTTGAAGAGGCATTGATTGATGCCCAATTTCCGGCGAATTGTTGGACGGTGGCAGACATGGCCGCCACGAGAGATATGACTTTGGATGATATTTGTTCAATGGTCCGTCAAAGAGGCGAAAGTCTTTCACTTAGTAACATAATCCCTTACAATTTAGTGACTCAACATAGCATACCTGATAAGAGTATAGCCGATTGTGTTGAGGCTCTAATCGGAGCTTATTTAATCGAATGTGGGCCTCGTGGAGCTTTGCTTTTTATGGCTTGGCTAGGAATACAAGTTTTACCTCAATTGGAAGATGGGACTTATGGGGAAATTGAATTACCAAAGTCGCCACTTTCGAATCATTTTACATATCCAAAGGAGGAGTTAGATATGCTTTTGGATGGTTATGATCAGTTTGAAAGGCATATAGGATATAAGTTTCGGGATAGATCATATTTACTCCAAGCTTTAACTCATGCTTCGTTCTCACCAAATACCCTGACTGATTGTTATCAAAGACTTGAGTTTCTTGGTGATGCTGTCCTTGATTACTTAATCACTCGACATTTATACGAAGACACTAGGATGCATTCACCGGGAGCTTTGACTGATTTAAGATCCGCCTTAGTAAACAATACGATTTTCGCATCTTTGGCAGTTCGTAACGGCTTCCACCGCTACTTCCGTAACTTATCCCCAAGTCTCAACGAAGTGGTCGAAAAATTCGTCCGATTGCAGGAAGATAGTGGACATGCTTTAGTCGACGAATTATATCTTGTCGTTGAGACTGAAGAAGTTGAAGATGTGGAAGTACCGAAAGCTTTGGGCGACGTGTTCGAATCCGTCGCCGGTGCTATTTTCCTCGATTCGGGAATGTCACTAGACGCCGTATGGAAAGTTTACTACAACATGATGAAGAGCGAAATCGAGCAGTTTAGTAACAAAGTCCCGAAATCACCAATCCGCGAACTTCTCGAACTCGAACCGGAAACGGCGAAATTCGGAAAACCGGAAAAGCTCGCCGATGGGAGACGCGTCCGCGTGACGGTGGAAGTCTTCGGGAAGGGAGTGTTCAAAGGCATTGGGAGGAACTATCGAATTGCCAAATGCACAGCTGCGAAATGCGCGCTCAAAAATTTGAAAAAACGAGGCTTGATCAAAAAAATCGACGAAAGTTAAGTGCCATCGGTAATTCGAACAATTCTAGTCATTATTTTGCGTGTACCAAGGGTAAATTTTTAGTGTGCAAATAGGCCTTAAAAATTTCCAGTAATCTGTGATGTAGTTGCACAAAAATCGCAATGGCAGCTGAGCTATTTATGCATTTTAGTTGGTTGTGACGGGAGGGTTCGCAGATTTATCTTACGATGTGCATATAACGATCGTTTTATCACTTAACCATCGTTTTATTACTAAGAAATGTTTGTTCAAAAATGTGATATAACTGCTCGTTGTGATAGAAACGAAGATAAATTTTAGTTTCACTATATTGTAGAATTTCTATTATTTTTCGTTCATTTTGTAAATACTGTGTTTTTGATGTAATACAGACTCTTCCTAAAGACAGTTCTTCTTAATTTAATCCCACGAACAATCTGACAATGCGTGTTTACGTGATTTCCTGCGATTTAGATTAGGAAAAATTCTTATCTGATAAATATCAACTTTGTTTGTTAAAAAAACCACATTACCTCGGATTTTTTTGAATCATCTTTAGCATATCCGTCATTTTCTTTATTGTGCAATTACACAAAATCTTTTTTCTCGCAGATAAAGGATAAAATTATATTGTGGAAATTATCAGACTTTCCTCCCTTCACAACAACATTCCGAATTTACAAAAATAAACTACAACTCCCTATTCTTTCTGCGACCTCCAGGTTGAGTAGCACTCAAATTTCCTAATATTCGGCCTTCCGATAAGATAGGCAATTTTTTAAATACATTTGAATACAAAATCCAATCTTTTATCAAGCAAATTTTGAAAATTTTATTAAGTGTTTACAAGAATTATTCGTTGTAATTATAATCACTGCACTTGATCGCGTGATATCTGATTTAAAATATAGCGAAATTTCCGAATAAATTACCATTGGCATTTCTTGCAAAACGAGGTCTGAGATGGCCAAAAAATGGCGCAATACGGTTCAATAATTTTTGATCGTTTACCAGAATTATGCAACACGTTTCAAAACCGATGTTGTAATGAAACTTTGCTGTTTCGAAATACGCTACAATTAGGTAAAAGTGCCTTTTTGGCTCGGTATGTATCGGAAGGCGTCTTGGACAACCTCAAGGTCATCCATGTTTGAAAGGTAAAACAAGTTTAATACTTGCTATTTTAATGTCAGTAGGAGACCTTACGTTTACAATTTCTAATTTAAACTTTCACTTTATTTGTCTGGTGCGTTAACGACGTAAAATCAAAAAATGGTAAATGACGCTCTGTGGATTTTTTTCTTGATTTCTTATCTCGCCAACTAGAAATTCCACATTTGTAACTTGTTTCAAACAGTATGCATTTATCTTTGCTATCGTTTATCAGATCAGAGACCGTTGTAGGTGATAGTTTCCTAATAAAACAATCGAGCACCGTTCGAAAAGCGAGAGTAATCAGTGCGGTAGTGAACAGTCGACGGTCGAAGAACGTTCAAGGCGACAAATGTTTCCTACCTTTTGAAATAAATAAATAAAGTGTCAGTCATATACAAAACTCGGCCGAAATCATGTCAGAAATCGAAGAAATCAGAGCCCAACTCCGGGACCAAAAGCACGAACACTTGCTCCGGTATTGGCCCGACCTCAACAATGAAGAGAAGAAGCAATTACTCGAGCAACTCAAATCAATCGATATTGACAAAATCAACGATTTGTTTCGGAGAGCTGAAAGCTCGTACAAAGAGACCCAACGGACTTATTTCGACGACCAAATGAAACCTCTAGACCCGTCCCATTACGAATCAGAAGAAAACTCCACCGATGATACTCTAGACAAATACCGAAACCTCGGACTCGAGGAAATCGCAGCCGGACATGTGGCCGTCTTGTTGATGGCCGGGGGTCAAGGGACGCGCTTAGGAGTCTCCTACCCCAAAGGTATGTACAACGTGGGCCTCCCCTCTGGAAAAACCCTCTTCCAAATCCAAGCCGAACGCATCCGACGCTTACAAACCCTCGCAAAGGGGAAAACTGGAAAATCCGGAAAAATCCCCTGGTACATTATGACCAGTGGTCCGACCAATGAAGCCACCGAGAAATTCCTCCAACAACACAATTATTTCGGACTCGAGAAATCCGACGTTGTTTTATTCAAACAAGGACTCCTCCCTTGTTTCGACTTCGAAGGTCGGGCTTTCCTCGACGGGAAAGCCTCCATAGCCCGCGCCCCTGATGGCAACGGGGGGATTTACCGCGCGTTAGCCCAGAATAAAATCCTAGAGGACATGCAACGACGAGGGGTGAAATACGTGCACGTCCACAGTGTCGATAATATTCTGGTCAAAGTGGCAGACCCCGTTTTCGTGGGGTATTGCAAGTCGAAAGACGCGGATTGTGCGGCTAAAGTGGTGCAAAAAACCAACCCCGATGAGGCAGTCGGGGTGGTTTGCTTCGTCGATGGTCAAGTCCGCGTCGTTGAGTATAGCGAAATAACGCAAAGCACCGCGAGTTTGACCGATAAAAACGGCCGTTTGGTTTTTAACGCCGGGAATATTTGCAATCATTTGTTCACCGTGGACTTCCTCAAAGAAGTCGCGGATAAATACGAGGACAAGCTTAAACTCCACGTTGCTAAGAAGAAAATCCCGTATTTGGACGACGAGGGGAATCTTGTCAAACCGGCGCAAGTTTCGGGGGTCAAAATCGAGAAATTTGTCTTTGATGTTTTCCAGTTTTCCCAGAAGTTTGTCGCTTGGGAAGTCCCGAGAAATAGCGAATTCAGTGCAATGAAAAACTCCGATAAAGATAAAAAAGACTGTCCATCGACTGCAAAGAGTGATTTACTTGCTTTGCATAAAAAATACATTGAGAAAGCTGGTGGGGTTGTGAGATGCGACGAAGTGGAAATTTCTCCGCTTTTGTCGTACGAAGGTGAAAATTTGGAGCAAGTGCGCGGAAAAGTGTTCGATAAACCGATTATCTTAGCACCAGACGAAGAACTTACATGTCCGTAAAAAACACCTAATCAGATATTTTATCTTAAGTATTGTGCTCCACACATTATTTATTTTATTGGGTGAAAGGTACTACTGTAAAAACATATTTTTTTAAATAAATCATCCTCAATTTGGAGAGTCTTTTATTCGACAAGTTTTCTATAAATAAGCAACTTTACATTAAAGTTCAAGGCCGATTAAAGCTGTGAGATGCCAAATATGACAAAATAAACCCCACCCAATACACGAAGTGAATTGTTAATTTTCCATTTAAATGCAATATCATTTTAATATGATAGAAAAGAATTTTTGAAAGGCAAACTACTAATACGCACTAATTAGTTTTACGTAATGTGTTTTATCTTAAGGAAATTAAGTAAAACAACACTTTTGAAAATTCATTTGGCCAATACTGTTCTATTATTTTAAAGAATTCAAAGAATTTTTTATCGCTTTAGCGATTTCCTTGAAAAATTTTTGGTTTCCACCTGAAATTTTGGTCAAACATGTCGCTACCCGCTTTACGAGCCGTCACTGAAGGTTTGAATTTTATTTTTATATGCAACCAACCAAACATCAATAAAACACTAGAGGAATTTAAAACGTCCAGGAAATGCAAGACGAAAATAATTGAGTAAACAAAAACTGTTTGTGGCTTTTGTTAAAAATTTGTAAACGTTTTACATTTTTTTTTATTTTATTGTATAATTGGTTACATGTGTTGGCTTTTAGAAAAAATTTAATTTCATTATTGTTTTTTTATAGAATGATTATCTCGAAAATTAAAATAGTTTTTAGTGAGTTTTTTTTGTATCTCAATTTTTATTATCAACCAAACATCAATAAAACACTAGGATTATAGAGGAATTTAAAACGTCGAGGAAAAAGACGAAAATTGAGTAAACAAAAACTAGTTTTTGTTATTGATTTGTAAACTTTTTAATATATTATTTTTATTTTATTGTATAATTGGTTACATTATTGTTTTTTTTATAAAATGATTATCTCGAAAATTAAAATACTTTTTAGTGAGTTTTTTTGTATCTCAATTTTTATTATTTTTATACCGACTCTCTAATTTAGATATTGCTGTGGGATCTGGTGGAAATAACTAAAGGTTGGTATTGCTGATTGAATAGAAAAGAGATGGAGATATACGTATGATCATCTGTCACCACTATCACCAACCATATCACTTGTCAGGTTATAAATTATGATAACCGTGAGATAATGTAGACTTTACAATCGATAACAATCTTGCAAGGTAGAAAGTATAATGCGGAATTCAGTTTTTATCACCTTTTTCTCGTCCCGATAATGTTTTGTTCATAAAAGGTGAGCGTGATTATTGTTTAAACAACCGCTAACAGATGTGTTAGAAAATGGATCAAAATAACCGCGACAATAAAGACAGGAACATAGATTGGTCCCGCTTTGGCCTAGGATCAGAAACAGCTCAAAGGGTCCGTGCAAACACTAGTGGTTTCGTTGATTTATCTAACGATTATGGAGCTGGGGGCCACCAAGCATCCGGTGCTAACGAACTCTTCGCCGAGGAGCAGGTACTTGTCATAGTAAGCCCCCACAAAATCACATTGATTCAATTTAGGGTGACGTCCCTTGGTGGAAATCAAACTTTTTCATATCACAGCCAGTTCTGTTTGGCACTTGGGACGGTGTTTTCACCTCATGTCTCATTAACATTTTTGGGGTGATTGTGTTTCTGAGGTCGGGATGGATTGTGGGCCAAGCTGGCGTAATCAGTGCAGTATTAATTGTTTTAGCAACTGGTAATTAAAAAAAATTCTTACTCATTTAATCACATAATTTTTTCCAGTGTTTATTGCTCTTATCTCGGTATTGTCAGCAGTGGGCATCTGCGAAAGATGTCGAATTGAAAGTGGCGGTGTTTATTTTGTGATAGCACACGTACTTGGGTCAAGATTTGGGGGCTCTTTGGGGCTACTGTATTGCTTTGGCCAGGTATTAATCTTTTTGGGAAGCACAAGTTTAGTTGAAATTTTAGGCCGTAGGTTGTGCTTTAAATGTGCTAGGTTTTGGGGAATCAATGGCTGAATTGATAGGTTTTGGAGATTCCAAAATCGCAGTTAGGGTTATTGCAGGGGCGGCTGTTTTACTCTTAAGTGTGATTAACGTTGCTGGCGTTAAATGGGTCATAAAACTGCAATTTATACTTTTGTTAATACTACTTTTGGCCGGATTGGATTTTATGGTTGGCAGCTTTGTTCATACTGATGTCGGTAAAGAAGGTAACTTTGATCAATTAACACCTCGTTTCATTTTTCATTCATTTAGAGAATGGTTTTGATGGTTGGTTGGGAGGCAACTTGCATGAAAATTTATGGTCGAGTTACAAGGATGGTTATAGTTGGTTTACTGTATTCGGGGTGTTTTTTCCAACCATTACGGGGATTTTATCTGGGATTAATATGAGTGGAGATTTAAAAGCGCCATCTACAAATATACCAAATGGATCATTGGCTGCTATCAGCACTGGAACTTTCCTTTATTTAGTTTTTGTTGTATTCCTAGGGGCGACTTGTCATAGAGACGTTTTATTGACTGATTTTATGATCGCCGCTAAAGTTTCTGCCATTCGTGTCTTATTATTGGCTGGGCTTTATGTCTCCTCAATGTCCAGCTGTTTGGGGGCTATGTATGGGACTCCAAGAGTCTTACAATCAATAGCTTTAGAAAATGTCATTCCAGGAATCAGTATTTTAGGAATGGGGGTAACCACAACTAAATTCCCGTGCACCAAATTCTGATTTTCTATTTTTTAGAGAGGACCAAATAAAGTTCCCCTATACTCAATGGCAGTTGTTGCAATTGTAACACTGACATTTATAATGATAGGGGAAATAAATACGTTAGCACCAATTGTAACAATGCCTTATTTACTGACATATGCATGTATAGACTATTCATATTTTGCTTTAGCCCAAACTTTTGATATACAACATCAAAGAGAACAGCGATTTGATCGTCCGAAAATCCACCAAACATTCAGTGTGGAAACCGATGACGACCTCGACCGCCTGTTTCCCGAACGCACAAGACACAAAACTCTTCGGGTAAAAACACAAACCCAAAAAATCACATTTTAACCAACCCAATTTAGGGAGAATCCAACTCAGGTTCGCCTAGCAGCCCCGACGATAACATCGAAACGACACCCATCGCCCCAAAAACCCACATTCACTCAAAACCGAAAAACTGGTACTCCAACTTATGCAATCGGTGGTTTTCACTTTTCGGTGCTGCTTTAAAAATCATAATCATGTTTCTCGTAAACTGGGTTTATGCAATTGCTTGTATAAGTGCTGTATTTCTTGTATGGTTGTACATCGGGACTGCTAATCCAGCTGTTAAGCCCGGACTAGCCTCAGAATTTCGCTTTTTCAGATGGCTGAAAACGGTCATTTTGAGATGCATGGGGTAAAATTATTCAATGGGGCCTTAATTGGGACTAACTTTAACTTGTAGGAAAAGAGTCTATGACTACGAACAAATCGTTGTTACCCCCGTCCATCCAGGCCTTGATGTGACCTCATCACAATTAAATGAAGATAATGAAGATTTTTCAAATCGCCGACGTTATCACCAATCAGCCACTGTGCACGGCCATATGGTGGCCATAGACGACTAATCTGCCTCATTTTACTTAACAACACTAATTGTATATATTTTTGTAATTATGGACTTATCAAGATTAATGTTGGAATTATAACCGTTATTACCAGTCTTTTTTATGACACAACCTATTTTATTATTTAATTTATTTTCAATATAATTTAATGACAAATAACCGAGTTTCATTTACGTAGCAAAACAATCGAATTAAATTTGTGCAAAATTTTTACCGGTTTTTGTTGCGTGCGTAAGATAAAAAACATTAAATCGAAAAATTTATTTATTTTCTAGTGTGTTCGGACTGGAAACATGCGTATGTGATAAATTAATGATTTCTTGGAATCTAGTCAAAAATAAAATTTTTGTGGTTGCTTAAATTTTGAAAAGTTTCAGTCTCTTCTGATTTTTTCGAAAAAAAACATAAATTTGTGAAAAAATTCTAGCCAATGAAAGGCCATTTCGCAGTCCCCGTGATCACCTCATGGCCTTCCTTTCTCTCTGCGTCTGTCATAAATTTGTAAATACCAACATTATTTGCAATAAAAAATAAAATAAACAAATTTGTACATGACGACAAATAATTTTAAAATTAAATTCGAGTAAGTCCTTGTCAAAATTTGTTTAGTCGTTTAGTGACAAAAATTCGGTGGAACGCACAGCCGGTCGCGCTGCGTTTCGGAAATCTTTAGGTTTGTTGTCAGAAATGACATTTGACAGAGTGTAAATGTTAAACAATATTTTTGAGAAATTGTAAATTGGTGTTTTGCAATAAAATGAATTCGACAAGTTTGTACGTGACGACGAACCAAATAATCTTGAAGTCAAATCCGAATAACGCAACCACTTGGCAGGATTTGTATCGTCTAGTGCCGTACTTGCGGAATTCTTTATGTTGTGTTGTTTGTGGAAATTTGTTAGTGGACCCTTTAACTCCAAGTGTAGGCCGTTGTCAGCACCACCTTTGTAGAAGATGTATCGGGGGACGTAAAAAAATAAAGCCGGCATGTCCGTGGTGCAAAGATTGTAGTGATTACACCGACAATAAAAAGTTACGAATTCTCCTCCAGTGTTACAAGAAAATGTGTATAGCTTTAGTGAAGTCGGGTATATTTAAAAAATTGTTGGAACAGGCGTCGAAAACACAGACTGCGACGGGGGTTGAGCGAGGTGCGGGGAATTTAATAGCGTTGATAAAGGAGGGTGCAGCCTTTCAGGACGACTATGAAAGTAAAGGGGGGCTGCCGAAATCAACCTACAGCATCCTACCCTGCGTCTACACAAACTCCTCCACACAAACACTCCAATTGTCAAACGTAAACAATTCTAAAAACGTTATTAACTCTGATTTAAACAAGAATAGGACTTCCTTATACTCAGTTATGTACGCTGGTACTGGAAATAAAATCACCATTAAGCGAAAATCAAAGGAAATAACCGAAAGTAAACCAAAGACACTCCAAGTCAAAAAAGACCTGAGCGAAAAGGTAAAACCCATGACCCCATCATACTTTTCTACAATTTTCTTTTAGTCAGTTTTTAAGAAACCACCAGCTAAATGTTCAACAAAGCCAAAAAGGGGTTGCAGATGTGGTAACGCGACTTTAACACCTGGAAAATTGACATGTTGTGGGCAAAGGTGCCCCTGTTATGTTGACAGCAAAGCCTGTGTTGAATGTAAGTGCAGAGGTTGTCGAAACCCACACAGACCAGATGGAAATAAAGTAAGTAAATATTGGCGGCAATAATCAATGAAATAATTTTTTTCACTTGTATAAAAGAACTGAAAGCCAATTGCTTCTACTAATAGGTCAGGCCTCTTGTACCTCAAATGCAACAAGTACAATATCAATTACCTCAAAATTGCTCGCAACCAGTCATAGAACAACAATTATTATCTAATCTCGAGATAGAAAATTTCAAAGTGGATTCCCAACGCACGTATGACCGACGCCTCAACCAACCACACACCACATACAATGGTTCATTTTAGTTACTTTTACTTATTATTGTTGGTACTGAACACTCTTATTTTAGATGAGGCCGACGACGATGATGAGATTTTGAACGAAGACTCGGAAATCGTGGTGGATGTTTGACCTTTGAAACTTGTTCAAATTTTTCTCACCTAACGTCTAGTTTATTTGCTCGAAATAGTAAAATATTTTTGTATTTAATACAGCAATATGTCCGAACATTCAAAGTCTCTAGATTTATAGGAGAGAGATGGACTGCTGCTTAATTTCTCATTTCTAAGTTTATAGATGACATTTGTGCAAATAAATTGTCATAATACACCCGGATTTTATTTTAAAACACTCACCCTGTAAACAACGCTTTTTTCAATTTTAAGTTTCAAAGCCAACTAGCGCAAAAAAGATTTGAATTTACATGCGCATACGCAATGGCATTCAAAAGTTTAGATTTATAGATTATGCTTAATTTCTAAACTTACCGATCATTTGTGCAAATATCTAGTCATAATACAGTAATACACCGGAATTTAACAGTTTAAAACATAGTTAAACACTCACCTATGTTGACACAGGACACATTTTTTAATACTAATTTCAAAGCTAACTAAGGTAAAAAATTATTTGAATTTATATGCGCATGCGCAACAGGATTGTTAATAAAAGTTTATTTAAAATTTTAATAACAGTAAGTGCAGACGGGGACATTTACCCGACCCAAACAATAATAAACACTATTTTTGCAAGTATTTACCGAAGATAACAAAAACAAATTAAGTTTTGAAATGTTGCACATGCGCACTAGAGATATCTGTAGTGTTTCAAAAAAAAGAATGAGTGACAAGTGACAGTGACAGCAGTTTGACAGTGACGTTTAGTGCGATAAAAGGGCTTTAAAAAACGTAAACATGTTTGAATCTTCCGTCAGTATTATTTTCCCTACAGTATGATTAAATAAGTGTGATGTATCATTTAAAGTTTTTCAAGCGTAAATTACTTCTACTTCGACTTTTACATAATGTCTGATGATTTACACAATTCTGTACTTTTGAGCACATTCTCGAGTGGCAATAAGAAATATCGAGTGATTTTTCATAAAGGGACAATTGTTTGGGGCAACGGCAAACCACCGATCGGTAAAACCCGAAATTTTGAATGAAATCAAGTGATTTAACATTTCTAGAACAAGAATCTTTACCTCTTGAAAATGTAATATCAGTGCAACACAATTACACAAGAAGTCGACATCCGTCAGACGGTGAAATTCAAGACCCCAATCATTTCACAATAAATTACGCGAAAAAAGATGAAGAAAATAAATGGAAACACCACTCGCTAACTCTGGGCCATTCTGACCCTTTGCAAGTCTCCTCGTGGGTGAAAACGTTGCAAAACCACCTCCAATGTAAGCCTTCCAGTCCCACTCACGTAAATCAACTCAAAAATTGCAGATTTCAAGCGACCGAAACGACTGCTCTTATTCGTGAACCCCTTTGGGGGCAAACGAAACGCGTTGAAAATATACGAAAAGTACGGCAAGCCCTTGTTTCAAATCGCCGGGGTTGATGTCACGGTCAATATCTCGCAGAGGAAGAACCAAATTCGCGATTTTGTCCTAAACCACAACTTGGAAATGTTTGATTCAATCGCGTGTGTGGGGGGCGACGGCACAGTGTCGGAGTTATTCAACGGTTTGGTACTTAGGGAGTGCAAAACTTTGGGGATTGACGCGGATGACATTGAACAGGAGTTGCCGAAACCGAAGATCCCCATCGGGATTATTCCAGGTGCAATCCCGGTTTTGGGGGCTTTAATCATGGCTTGTTTTAGGGGGGAGCACCGATACGATCGTTTATTGTTTGCACGGGACCATCGACCCGACGACTGCTGTCCTAAATATTATTTTCGGGGATACTTTGGGGCTAGATTTGGTATCGGTTTACGATGAAAGCAATTTGTTAAGATTGTACGCTAGTGTTTTAAGCTATGGGTATTTAGGCGACGTTGCTTATCACAGCGATAAGTACCGGTGGATGGGTCCTAATCGTTATAATTATTCAGGTGAGTTCGTAAACAAGTCAGAGTTCACCTTGAACTGGCCGTGGCTAAATCGTGTGTGCTCTTATCTCAATAACAATATTTTTATTTACTTTATCATTGGGTTATCAGATCGTGACTTCGATTAATTTTCAGTATTTGCAGTTTAGAAGGGGGAAAATTAAATGATTGTGACCTTCGCAGGAAAGTCGCATCGCATCGTTCATAATAATTATTTCCCGGATTTATTTTTATAAAATATGTTAATGTTCAAGGCGAATACAGGTCGTGCGAAATCACCGACAAAAATTCACTATTATTAAAACTGGGCCCGTAAAATTATATTTTAAGCGTTTTTACGATAAATTGTCTATTTTTACGATTTTACTACCGCTCATTCAAAAACTCAAAAAATTCGAATTTTTTAAAACTTGACATAATAACGTTTATGCACTTTTTTTGAGTCTTTAAGACCTCTAGAAATGTAAAAAACGTTAAATGGATCAATTTTAAACTTGAATTTTTTTTTGATTTTTGTCGAGATTTTGGTCGATTTTTGGCACCCGGGGCGGTCTATTGGCAATAACTCCAGACTTATTGGAGGTAATTTCTTATATTTGGTACCGTTGGAGAGAAAATTTAATTTTCTATCATAAATAAAAAAGATCAGTGCTCTACGGTGAATAGTTATCGAGAAAATTTCTGATAAAGTCAAAAATATCGAGAATTTAAATCCGACTATAACTTCAAAACTACTACGAATTTTGCAGTTTAATTGACGCCAATCGATTCCCCGGAACATTTTACATGGGTTTGCGTCAAAATATTATATCATTGAGGTATAGTTTTTTCGCAATTTACCAATTAAAAAAAAAGGAAAAACTTGTTAACACTAGTGTTTTTGAACATGTCTCAGATTCAAGTGAAATCTCATCCGATAGATTTTGACGCGCTGATTACGAATTTGCCAAGCAATTTGCGCTATCTCCTTTAGTTTCGCCGTAATCGGCGTTTGAAAATTTAATTTTTTTTTGTGAGATATTGACTTGGCTTTAGCGTCAATCGATAGATTTTTTTAGGCTGATTACGATGGTGTTGAGCTTTTTGCCCTAAGTCTAATAGTTTGGTCGTAATCGTCGTTCAAAAAGTCAAAATTTTCAAAATTGTGAAACTTTAAACTTTAAAACTTTTGACTTTATTACTCAATATCTCAAAAACTATGCATCGTAGAGTATTTTAAAATACTAGTTGCATCGTGTTCAGCGCGTAATTTTACGTCTAGAAAACCATATTTCAAGCGTTTTTACGACTTTTAGGAAATTGACTATTTTACGATTTTACTACCGCTCACCTTGAAAAACTCAAAAAATTCGTAATTTTTTAAACTTGACCCAATAACGTTTTATGCATTTTTTGAGTGTTTAAGACCTCTATAAATGTAAAAAACGTTATATGGATGAATTTTAAGGTTAATTTTTTTTTTGATTTTCGTCGAAATTTTGGTCGATTTTTGGCACCCGGAACGGTCTATTGCCAATAATTCCAGGCTTATTGGTAACAACCTCTTATGTTTGGTACCGTTGGAAAGCAAATTTAATTTTCTATCATATACGAAAACGACCAGTGTTCTACGATAATTAGTTATCGAGAAAATTTGTGATAAAGTCAAAAGTATGGAAAATATAAATCCGCTTATAACTTCAAATTTTACAGTTTTCTTGACGCCAATCGATTCCCTGGAACATTTTACATGGGTTTACGTCAAAATATTATATCATTGAGGTATAGTTTTTCCGCAATTTACAAATTAAAAAAAAGGAAAAATTTGTATATAGAGCCTATACTTTCTAGCCTTATTCCATATTTACCATATTCCATATAACCATATTTCAAGCGTTTTTACGACTTAAGGTAAATTGACTATTTTTTTTGACGATTTTACTACCGCTCACCTTCAAACACTCAAAAAATTCGTAAGTTTTTAAACTTGACCCAATCACGTTTTATACATTTTTTTTAGTCTTTAAGACCCCTATAATTGTAAAAAACGTTTTATGAAACAATTTTAAAGTTGATTTTTGTTGAGATTTTGGTCGATTTTTGGCTCCCTTCAGATTCGATAGATTTTGATCGGTGTTTAAAAAGTACAAATTGACAAAATTATGAAACTTTAAATGCGTTTTTCTCAGAAACTATAAGATTTAGAACAAAAAGCAAATAAATATTAAAAAAAATGTCATAAATCGAAAACTATAAGCCCTAAGTCAAAACGGTTTGTATCCGGTTAATCATGCATATTGTGTCAGTTTTTGATAAGATTAAAAAAAAATATTTTTTTTAGTTATTTATCACTAAAAAAATTATGAATTAATTAAAATTGTTGTGTCCACATGTGAGTCAATAGCCTCGCAAATAACTCGCAGTCGTTAACCGGGGTGATTGACTCAGTGTAAACAAGGTGTTTACGTCGTAAATTTCAGGTTTCAAAAAGTTGATGGGTAACAGAGGTTACGAGGGTGAAGTGGCGTTTTTTTCCGAAGTAGGCGACTTGAAAAGTTCGAAATGTTACGAGAAATGCGACCGTTGTCTATCCAGAAGCAGCAATTGTGATAAAACCGAGAAGGAGTGGAGGACTTTGAAAGGGAAATTTTTCATGATCAGCGGTGCTAACATAACATGTTCGTGCAATCGCAGTCCTCGGGGAATCGCACCTTACAGTCACTTGGGTGACGGGAATGTCCACTTAGTTTTAGTTCGACATACTTCGATTTTGAATAATTTGAAACTGCTATTACGCTTGTCGAGTAGTAACCAGGCTGTTGATGACTTGCCATTTGTTGAAACTTACTCTGCTAGGGAATTCTGCTTTCGGGCTATCAACGGCCCCAGCAGGTGGAACTGTGATGGAGAAGTGCAGCACCAGACGAATATTCGTGCAAAGTATGTCGTATGTCAATCCAGCACTGAATTTTTAACTTATCTGATTTTTTTAGAGTACGTTGCCAATTGCTCACGATTTTTAGCCGCGGAACTCCCAAACCAATCGAAACCACGAGAAAATGCTGTGGTTGCTATTAAACCTTAGCTGCCTTATGTTAATATTAGATTCAGTATTGGTCATTGGTTGTGTAACGGAAAATTATATTTTATAATTATTGTATAATTGCTCACACAAGGTGATATGAACTTGACACATTATTTTACGTCATTCCAATTATGTATATTTTTTTATTTTGTAACAGTAACAGTATTTAAATGTTGAGGCCGTCTATACTTAAAAATTATTGCTCTATATGTTAGAGACTGACTTCATTCCATGTTTGTGGCGAAAATAAACAAATTATTATTTTTAAAGATGTTTTATTTAAATCTTCAACAGGAAAATTGACAGTAGATTGGCGTCGTTAATGAATTACCTAATTCAAGAGGTTGAAATTGTTTAAAGGCCAAAACTGGCAACGTACACTGACAAATTCAAGAAATGTTACAACAGTGATTATGTTTGAGGTAGTAAAGGGTGTAATTTCTTCGATTCGTCCCTTTTCATCCTCCCCAAGTCGATTGATGCCGCTGTGGGGATCCCCAAAGGTAAGGCTAGGAGTTCTTGCTCAAACTGCATGATATGTTCAGCTTCAACTGCAAAAAACTGAAAAAGATGCACCAAAAACCGAAAATTTACCCAAGATTCGATGAATTTTATTGCCATAAGCCAAATCAGCTTGGTACGCCACGACAAAAGTCAGGGGTACCATCGGAAGCAACGTGATAAATTTTCCTTTATAAGGAAAATACCTGTAACTGATAAAAAAAACACTAAGTTTTTGGCGCTAAAACGACCTTACCCGACTAACGCCCCCGCAAGGCTCATCAAATAGAATGAGCCGTACCAGAAAAAAAGTTCACGAGCCTTTGCTATTTCGAGGGCCACCAAACGGTCCCGCATTTGTTTCCTGATTTGTACTTGACGCTCAATCTGAAACTACAATGACAAACCAAGAACCAAGCAAAAGACCTACTTTAATGGTGTTCATTTCGGTGATAAAATCCTGATTACGTTTAAAATTCTCTTCCATGTTGACAGTGAAGTAATTTCCCATTTTTGCGGATTTGTTTGGGTTAGTCGAGCGCACACTGAAGTTGTAATAAATTCTATTGATCTTCTGGGGATAAACTGAAACTCACCACCACGCACTGTGACTAAAAATCTTTAAATAATAGTTTGTGGTTTAAGTCGCAATTTGTTTTGATTTTTAGGTGTGGAAACGGAAACTACTGTTTTCGCGTGGTTGGGTTTTGAAAATTGTCAAATTGTGATATTTTTGAGTTTGGCGGGTGGTGGTGCGCGCATGCGTGCGGCGCTGCAGGTCGACAACGTTAACGGCGAGACGGCGAACTAAAATCTGGGAATATGAAGGTTTCGGTTGCTTTCCGCCTCTAAAAAGTCCCGATTTTGTGTAAGTGTTTTATGATGAGTGTAGTTGTTTGCATTTATTGAAGAAGTAAAACATTTGCTTAAAATTAGTTAGTGGTGTGGTCTTTCGCTTCGAGAAAATCGCAAAGTTATCGGTTCGATAAGGAAAAATGGCAGCCTTACCACGCAGAATTATAAAAGAAACGCAACGTTTAATGCAAGAACCCGTGCCCGGGATTAGTGCAGTACCCGATGATAGTAACGCCCGTTATTTTCACGTTATTGTGACCGGCCCCGAGGACTCCCCGTTCGAAGGGGGCTTGTTTAAGTTAGAATTGTTTCTTCCCGAAGACTATCCAATGTCAGCACCGAAAGTGAGGTTTATTACAAAAATATATCACCCGAACATCGACCGGCTCGGCAGAATTTGTCTAGATATTCTAAAGGATAAGTGGAGTCCCGCTTTACAAATTCGCACTGTGCTGTTATCAATTCAGGCTCTGCTAAGTGCCCCCAATCCCGATGATCCTTTAGCGAATGATGTAGCGGAATTGTGGAAAGTTAATGAATCGGAAGCTATAAGGAATGCCAAGGAATGGACCCGCAGATATGCAATGGACAATTAAGTGGGGTCCTTCTAGGGGAAAAAGCAAAAGTAATAAACATAAATATTCTACTTGTTTTTATATTCATTATTCTTTTCGTGTATACTTTAAGTTAGCTCTTGGTGAAGTAGAATTACTATGTTTTTTACTGTTTCATTGATATAAACAGAAATACAATGTGAGAATACATTTAGGATTATTGTTAATTTATAATTACATTGTATATTGTCTCTTGCATTCTTTGTTTCCAGATAAAGTTTATTTAAATTATTTAATAATTCACTTAATTCCTCCTTAAACCCTAATGGTTTTCGTTCGTTTTGTGTTTTTCTTGAGTTCGTATTGTTTCAGTCTTATGTACAACTTAGCAAAAAAACAAAATATTCCATGCTTAGTTGCACTTGAACGATGGTTATGTAGTTTGATGTAAATAAAGGTATGTAAGGCTTTTTTCATAATAAACACTTTGCAGAAAATCGAAATTGTATCAATTCACATTGTTTTGGGAATCTCAATGAAACACGATGCCATATTTGTACATATTTATTTCTTACACGTACGTTAATCGCGTTATATGACGAAATAATTACAATTATCAAATGAAATTGTGATTAGTCTTTGATATGATCAGATCTGTTTAAATAGGACTAGGTGGTATTTATATACGTTATTGAAATAAAATAAATAAATATTGAGTTCCATTTAATAACACAAAAACAAAAATATTTAAAAAATTAAGCAATAAAAGTCACAGATAAATAACAGTAATTGTATAAAAAATACGAGTATTTAAAACAAGCTTAAACTAGGGGAAATAAATAAAGATTTTACAGTATATTTGAAATATATTGAATTATGTATTTAAGTACCATAGTAATAGACCTTCTTTAACAAGCAAGAAATGTTTTAAGCATGGAAGAGACGGTCTACTACACTATCAAAATAAAACATAGACACAGATAAATAATACCTATTGATGCTGACTAGATAGTGCTACATTGATTTTTGAGCCAGCATTAAAAAGTTTGGATAAATTGAATATTTCTTAAATAATATACAGGTCACATTCAGGATAAATCATCGCCACAAATTATCGTGATAATTTATGATAATGAAGTATACTGCTAAACCAACCAGTCTTTGGTTTATGCTCTTCACATTCACAACAAATAAATAGGGTACGCGACAAAGCAGATATGATCTATCACGAAAGCTCAGCGCATGTGCAGAGCGCAGGTCTTTGCTTGTATTGTCTTCAGTCTGTCAAACTAATACTAACAATAAAAAATATATTGATCTGCGACTCAAGCACGATCAAACTTAAAACAATTCCCAAGGACAGTTCAATATCAACTACATGTAGGCACTTTCTGACCTTCAATTTGTTCAAACTAGATGTACACAGGGTTCTCCTGACCGGTTAACAACCGGAACATCGAAGTCGGCATCGTCTTCATCAAAATCTACAAATATCGATTTAAGTCACCACAACTAGCGCCCTCTATGACTTACTTCTCCTACAGATGTTGCCAACAAATTAACAATTTTTTCATGCGGAACCGCGACGACACTTTGGTTGTTGATTTCGATTATCCGATGGCCAACTCTCACTCCACCCCTTTCGGCTATACCTCCTCTAAGCAAGCTGCATATCTGTCAAAAATAAAAACAGTCATTTGTCCTCAAACTTTCAATACTTACCACTCCGTTTTGAACACTGAATCCTAATTGATACTTAGTATCTGGTCTTTTAATCTTAACTTCTACAACGGGGGCACAAGGAACGACAGTTAATTTAACGACAGTCTGATTTTTGGAATTCTTTATGTAATTCTGGCATGTGGATAGCGGAAGTCCGACAAGACTCACTCCGTTGATTGCAATTATTTGATCGCCGATGTTCAATTGTCCGCACCTTGCAGCCGCCCCCGCCGGTGCTAGATTCGCAATGACCACAGTCGGTAACATAGACCCCCATCCCGATTCCACAATCACCACACCCAGAATCTCACCCTTGGCTTTAGGCACTACAACCTGGACCACCTCCTAGAGTGTTGCCCCCAATCCCCCCCGGCCACACAACCTACCTCTTTCTGCATCTCCTTCTTCGCAAACATCTGCAATTCGTCCCCGAAAATCTCCTGCGAGTTGAGCACCTCCTGATAGTCCATCTCCTTCACGAAACTGTGGTCCTCAATCCCGTTCGCTTTGAGGAATTCCATGTAAGCCACTTGGAAAGCCTGGCCGATTGATTGAGCAATGAATTGGGCTTCCTCGCTTTCGAACACGTGACAGATCATCTTTGGTGTTCTATTTATTTTCGGTGCGTCTTCCATCTCGTGCGGGACGAAGCGACGACGCGCCATTAACACCACTAAATCGCCAATGTCCGCGATGTAAGATATTGTTCGTAACGCGTGATCCATCATTATCTCTTTCAGGTCGGTATTCAACACCATTATCTTCTCCGTCGAGATAAATAAATCCACCTCAGTACTGGGCTGAGTCTCACCATCGGGCGCCTAAACGGGCACAAAACTTTACTAAAACCACTCGAGGACCACAAGGGCACTTACCAAGGCCTGGTGTTGCGGAAAGCACCAATGAAAACACTCAATTAGTACATTAGTAAAGACACACACAGGGCGAGCCACCCCTCATAGTATATTAATGAACGCGTTTCGTGGGGAAAATGTTGTGAAACTAACGCTATTTTTTCTATTTTGCGCATTTTACGTACATTTTTAACATAAAAAGCAATTTTTGAAAATGTAGGAACTTTTGCTCTAATGAGTTTGTGGTTGGTAATAAATGTCACAAAGTTTGAAAGTTCGATTTTCGAAGTGTCAAGTCTCAAGTATTTTTCAAAATTTGATTGAATTAACAATGTATACTGCAAATATTTCGTACACACCACCTGAAAAACAAGGAATCGCTGAAAACGCCGCTGAAAATCACCATGACCAACCTCTAGAAAGTAAATTGTACCGTGCTATCGAAAAAAAAAAAATAGAGTAGGCGGTGATTAAAATCCTTCAAATGTCACTCGTGATTTTTGACTTCAAATGTCAGCAGTGAAATAATGTTCGGTTTTACAAAAATGCTGTACAAGACGAAAATGGTGAATGGTCATTTTCGCTTCTAGTTTGTGTGGAAAATTTCCAGAAAAAATGGTTGTATCGACGCAAAATAGAAATTTTGGTCTCTAGTACATTTTTAAGGTTCAGGTGGGTCGCCCTGTAGAATTGCAGCGAGAGTATACAAACCAGTCGGTTAGTTATTACAATGGCCGCCAGGTGCATGCAGGTGATAGTGTGGGGATGATTTTCATTTACATAAGTGGTAACAGACCTTAATTTTAGTAACAGCGACTTCGACCATATTTTTCTTGAGTCGTTTTCGTCGTTTGCGCCCCCCTTCCTCATCCACCTCAACCGATCCGAGAAAATGCAGTCGAAAAACAGTTCCAGTGGCCCCGACTCCCAAAGGCAGGGAACTTGTGTTGTAGACTCGAGGTCCTAGAGAATGACTTTTCAAACATTGCAATTTTGTTGTGAGTGTACATCGAGTGACAAAATAGCAATGTTTGGAAAAGCTCACCCGATACAGGCTGTATGGCCGTTTCGGGAAGAGGTAACGGTTCGGGCTCCTCGGCATCGGCTTGTTGTTCGTCAAAAGAATCGCTCGGGTCGTAATTTTGAATTTGGTTGGATGCCTCCTGCAAGTTTAGCGTATTTTTTCACGCACTGTCTAGTCTAATAACAGAAACATAGAGGGCGCCGGTTGAGAAACAACAACAATCGACTAAGTGCAGATGGCTATATATACACTTTAATCAGAGAATAACATCCAAAGCAATGGAAGGGAGTGCGACATTGTGAAATCCAAGTATCAGACATGTAGCAGGCAACCAACCAAATAGAGCACATTAAGCGTGCACAACGGCACTGCGAAGTCGAGAGTGGGGGAAGGGGGCATGTGAACCGATTTCGGAGTCAATTTCCCACTCTTTAACTATTTTACAAAGGACAAGTCCATCTATAGACATGCCGGTTTCATGCCTTTTATCACCTCTGTACCAATAAATTTTATGCAAATGAAAATTTCCTCATTTGACCAGTTTTATCAAGTGCAACAGACTGAAATTGGAGGACATGCATTACCTTAATTCGTGAAACGGCCTCTTCAGCTTGCATCATTCGGGTTGTCTTGGTTGGTTGGCCCTCGCAGACTAGTTGCGTGGACCCCAAGTATCGAGCCCGAAACAGAACTCCTTCTATTAATACTGAACGTTGAATAAAATCTGAAAAAAAAAATTCAAACTTCAAACACCAACCCCCAAAACCGGAAATCAAAAAACTTAGCTCCAATTTCAGACTTACCATAAAGTTCCAAACGTATTGCAAGTTAAATAAAGTCGTTATTTTATAGTTAAGTCAAAAATAACCTACTTACCTTCTTTGTTTCTCCCTTTCTTTTTATTGTCTTTCTCCTGAAAATAAAGATGCCTTTAGAAATATTACTTAAATAGAAATGACGTGACTTGCCGAAATCAAACTGAAAATGCCTATTTACAAGTCAAGGGATGCGATTGACTTAATTCGATGATTATAACAAGTGTGACAAATAACGAGTTAAATTTAAAATAATAAACTCCCCCGTTATTCACCCCACTGCATGCATCTATGGCTTATTTATTTGACGTGTTAGTCATTAGTTTCTTAGTTGTGTGTATGTGGAAAAAGAATTATACCAAGCTAAACTAATCTAGAAGAACTTTATACATGCCAGGCTCACACCTTTTTTATTTTACTTGACGAAATGGATCCCTTCTGACTTTGGGGCGACTGGCTTTTTTCAGATACAGCTGTGGGTGAGGAAGGGTTTGAAATTTGAGGTTCGGAAGGAACAAGAGGTAATGTTCCTTCGTCCATTGCATTTAAGATTTGTTTAGGATTGGAAAGACTATGTGAAGGCATTATTGTCCGACTTTTAGGTTTTCTCCAACCCTACCAATACAAACACATATACGGTTAAAGGGTACGAAAAAATGGCCGCTTAAAGAACCAACACCATATCGAAGAAAATTACATGCATTTCACGCAATTTTTTACTACTTTAGCAAGAAAAATTAGTAGTACCGACCTGCATCAATTATTTTTTTATTATAAAAATGATTAATTGTTAAAAGTTCTAAAATAAATCGCCCGACCAACTCGTCACGTGACTTACCTTTTCATCGTAAAAACCTTGATCGTCGGTTCTTTGTTGCCCCAAGAGCCGATCTGTCTCCAAATCAGTGTCATTTTCTTCTACAAAAAACAAAATTACTCAAATTTCCTCCCTAATAAAAAAAAATAATCTTTTAATCGTCCCCATTTTAATGTGCATGAAGTAGGTTGTAGAATCTAAATGTCATTCAGAACAAATTTAATCACATCAATATTTTTTGAATTTTCGCATGGTTGCCACCCTTTTCAACGACTACTTCGATGCACATTAATATGAAAATTAGTATACCTTCTTCCCCACTGTTGGCCTTCCGATCAGAATCGCCACTTGCAGCCGACATTCCTCTTTGTCTTCAAATTATCATTTTACAAAATTGGTTAGAGAATAAATTATCTGTTACCTTGGTACCCAAATGGGACTCACAGCGTTTTCCTCCCGTTCTTCTTTCGGGTGACATTTTAACGGCAAAGTTTTCGTCCTCTGCAACGTTAATCTAATATCTTTAATAGCGGCTTCTACGTCATTTGTTTTCTCGTTTTGGAGCAACCGGTGAGGAGCGGGTGCAGGTGGCGGAGGGGTTTTTTCTAAGAAAAATTAACATTAGCTACCGTGCTAAAAAAATAGAGTAAAAAAATTAGAGTAGGCGATGATTACAATTCTACAGTTGGCAACACGTTGGCTGGGAATCTGGGCCACACAAACTGAAAGTGAAAATGACCATGTCTTGTACAACAATAAACATTTTCTGCTCTAAAGTGAACATTATTTCACTCAAAATGTCAAAAATCAGGATTGCCATCTGAAGGACTTTAATCACCGCCTACTCTAATTTTTTATTTTTTTTTATTATCAGTACCTAACGGATCCATTTGGGGCAAAATGTGAGTCTCTTCGAAATTATTAACGCATCCATTTATGTCATTTTGGGATTGGTTTACGCAATCATTGCTAGGGGAGAGTCCATTTTCCTGTTTATTGCCTTTAGGTTTGCATATCCCTTGGTTAATTTCGCGTTCGATTTCGGTTATTTGTCTTTTCATGAGCATTACAGTTGGGTTATTGTTATCAGTGTCACTGGCGTGGCCTGATGATAAACCGTCTTCAAGAACAGGCATACTAGAGTATAAGCGTAATGAATCACTTGGAATTGCTAAATCAGTATTTGATCCTGAAAACACGATTCGAATTCGTTCTCTTGTCAAAATTCCCCTACCTAACAGGCCACTAGAAGGTCCCATTTCATTTTCCATTAACATTAAAGAAACTTCACTATCTAAATCCCCACAATTCGAATCGCAATCGGTCGTCTCGGGCGATAGCGTAAAATTCCGACTATGCCCGACTTGGAGCCCCACTTCCGTCTCACCCAAATCCCCACTAGAGCCTGTACCTATAGAAAGATCGAGGAAATTGTTTTCGTACTCTGTCATGTCTTGATCCTGAAAAAACAAAACCAACATTTGGAAAAAAAAAACACACGAAAATTTTACATTTGTGACCGGATTGTTAAAACATTTCCTAGGAGAGTCAATCCGCATGCAAAAATCATTCTGTTCCCGACCTTTCGCCAGCCTTTGTCCCACGTACGAGTTACCCGAGTCGCCCCCCTGTCGCCGCAGCTCGTACTCCAAGTCCTGGAACTCCACCTCCAGTCGGTTCTCCTCCTCGGGAGGAGGACACTTGAAAAACTCCTCCAGCACCTTCCGAGTCTCCGAAAACTCGTACAAGTAGTCGAACGTCGACGTCGTCGTGCTCGTCGTCGTCGTCGGCGGCGGCGACGCCTTCTTCTGAAACAAATCAAACTCACACGTGAAAAAAATTAAAAACGTTAACGCTAAATTTATTTACAAATAGCAAAGTCAATGTAAACAAATAAAATCCCAAGATTTACACACGTGTCGAGCAAACTTTTAACATGAAAAAATAAAAACAGTGAAATTAAAAGAGAATAACAATTACACTATACAGGGTGTGTCAGACACCAAGAACATGGAAAAAAATGTTTTTGTCATAAAATTATTTTGACATTTGACATTTTTTATGTCTATTTAATCTTGTATAATCTTTTTCATTTTAATGTGCATCAAGTAGGTTGTAGAAGTCTAAATGCACCTTTAATGCACAAAAAGTGTCATTAATGTCATTCAGAATCACAACAATATTGACAAAAATCTTTAAGTTTGCTACCTTATGTATGGGGTACATATTTATTTAGAAAAAATAATTTTTAGGGAAGATTGAGGTTAGGATTGTTTGAATTTTCGCATGGTTGCCACCTTAAAAGAATCCCTTTCAACGACTACTTCGATGCACATTAATATGAAAACGAGTATGTTTTCTTTTATAATTATGCGAATAATTGGAAACAAACTCACGTTGAAGGAGTTGTCGTTGGTGGGGCTGGCGTCGTTTTCGTTGGGGCTGGGGGTGTAGACGACCCTTTGGGGGAAGCCCGGCCTGGGGGGGTAGACGCTGGGAGAGGCTAGTAGACTCTGTGCGCTGGGAAGTTGGGGGTGTGTGAAGTTGCTTTCCATTTGCCGGGGTCCGTACCTCCGGGGGGAGCCTTCGTAGACCGCAATTGGTAGATTTCCAATAACTTTGGTGACTTTTTCGTCATTGAAAAGCGTGGCAGTGTCGTCTCGTTTTTCCTCGTGCCAGTTTTCGCCAATATCGTCGAAAACGACAACCTCTCCCGGGAAACTCATCGTCAAGTTCGGGCTGACTTTGGTCTCGATATCGGTCTGTTTTTCATGCTGTTGGTGGGTGACGGAGCACACTTCGGATGAGAAGACCGTCTCGGTGTATTCGCGCGAGTTTTTCAGTTTTTTCGCTTCATTATTGCGCCCTCGGAGCTCCCACACGCCTTGTCTCATTGGGGATTTTTGGCTTTTCTTTTCACCATCTTCGCCGACGGTTGTGCGCGACTTTCTGACCGCTTTGCTGCGACTTTGCGAGAAGAGTTCTCGTCCACCGGCGATTTCGATTATTCTGCAAGTTTGGGTTTAGTGAATTGTCACGTGCGAGGTGTGGGGTACCTGGAATCGCGCAATTTGTACGTCCCTCCCGTGTGTTCACGCTCTATTATAACATCTTCGTCATCGGTTGAGTGACTCACGTTGTCTCGGGTGATGTTAGAGCTTTCGGCCATCCATCTGGTGAAATGAAACGATCAGAATCACACTCGAGGAAGGTATCACGTTTTGCGCCCCTTTTATTTCAAGTTACCTGTCATTGTCACTGTCGATATTCATGACAGTATTCGTGCTGTTTTCGCAATCATTTTCATGTCCCGGTAGTATTATTGGATTTAAGTTAATATCACTTCTTGGCCGACACTTCGGAAATAATTTGCTTATTTGTTCAGTGTTTTCACTCACATCCACATTATCTAATGTAAGAGTCAAACTTGTCATTGCTACTTTAAGAAAATTTCCATTGATCTATCGTCTAGCAAAACCTACGGATTATGATTACCACTTCTGGGGTCAAACCAAACGAAAAAAATTAATGAAAACACCCTTTTTTCGACTATTTAAATTGAAGGGGAAGTTTGTGAGTCACGAGTCGGGAAGCACTTTGTTTATTGTGCCGAGTTACCACCCGTTTTGAATTTCAATCATTCACTTCCGGTAAAACAAAAAATATAGATTTTTACGCACATTACTACCGACTAGTTTTCGCTCAATTTTAAATTGAATTGTTTGAGTTCACGAACCTCTTATCAAATTTAATATTTACATGCCGTCAAATAGTCGCGGTGATGAAAATTCAGGATAGAATTTCACACAACTGAGCAGTTCCAACCCAAAATCAATATTTGAACAAGCGGCGCAGAAAACTTTATTATATAACACGAAACAAACTTTAAATGCTTTAGCGACTTATAACATTAGAAACGGTTTTATTTAAGTTTTGTTTAATTCAGCTACGGACTTATTTGAAGTTTTCACAATATTTTAATGTTTAAATCGCGACCGACGCCATGCGTCTGGTTTTGCGACGTCGCAATATGTTTAGTCAATGGTAAAATTATTGAACGCATGTCATTATTGCCATAAATGTGACTTCTACAAAATTATAAGACATAAATAAAAGGGGGCAACTTAAACTATAACACAAAAAAACACAACAAATAAATGAAAACACAAAAAATGGTTTAGGAAAATGACGGACGCCACTGGTTTACAGTGACAGTACCACAATATAGGTTAATTAAATAATTGATTGAATAATTGCGGGTTACCTTAAGAATACGTGATGTACGGATTGTTAATTTGTTTCTTATCAGAATTTTTTTGTAACATTTTATTGATAAAAAACGTTAAACTACTAACACTAACTTGTTTAGCACAGCATAAAGATAGCCATGCATGACAGGATTGAATCACCATTGGCGTTTTTCTCGCTTAAACCTAAACCTAGCGCGGGAAATTCAAACAACAATTCAGTTTTTTGCTATTTTATTTACATTTAACATTAATTTGATGAATGTGTGGCTTTTGACATCATACTCTCAACCCTGTTTGCTGTTTCTCGAACCACGTCCGATAATTCAGGCAGTTCTGGTAGGTCGATGGTGATGTGAGCAGAAAGCCTCTTATAGACTGAGTTGCCATCGGACTTTTTTTTACGCGACTCTTCATATTTCAGCTGTTGTTTAAGAAAAATCGCATTTTTTAAATTATCCTGGATATTCTTGAAGCTCTCCTCTGCTGTACTCATCGCTTTGAGGGCAGTGACAGCGTATTCAATATCATAGCAATGGCCTTGTAACTCTTGGTGTAAATTATTAACGTCAACTCTTCTATCAACCATAGGATTTAGCGCCTTTCTTACATGTTCCTGGAGCCGGTAGAATGCCAAAGAGGGCTCATTTGCCACAATATGCATATTTTCCGAAATTCGCTCCGTGGCTAAAAAACAGCATTTCAAGACTAGAATCGCTAATTTGACAACCCAACCTTTCCGAACCTTAATGTCGAGGTCCGAATCGCCGTTAAAAGTCATATTTACGAAATTTGATTTCTAATCACAATATTTACATTGTGACAGCGCCGGTGGCAGAGGTGAAATTTCACCACATCTAGTAATTTTCATGCTAGTTTGGTGATTTTTTTTAAATGCAGTTATAGCAGGAAATTAAAATATTTTGAAAATTAAAAAAAAAAAAGTAGAATTAGCTTTTTGTTAGGGCTGAAATTACAATACTATTTTTTGCCACGTATTTTAATTTAACTTAATTATTTTGCCACATTTTTTTTTAAATAAAAAAAATAATTCAATTGAATTAAAAAATTTATTATTTTTATTTTTTTTCTAGCCTTTGATATGATTTTGAGAAGAAAACTCTTTTCTTTGGCCCGATTTATAAATAACTTTTTCTGTTCCGATCTGGTGAGTTTATTTTTTGTGAGCTGGTGACACTGCCACTTGACACTTCATCGACGTGGCTACGCGTGGCGCTCTGCGTGGCCCAAAATACCACTTCTATTAGAGTGATAGAGTGACAACTCGTGGTCGTTGTAGAAGTCAACATCTTGAATTAAAAGTGTCACTTTCAGTGAGAAAAATGTTCAAATCGGTTGTGATTTTCGCGTTGCTCTTCATCTCGGGCTTCTGCAACACTGAGGAGGAAACGGGGCCCCGACTGCTAGTCTCCAAGCAAATTCTCAACCGCTACTTAGTCGAAAATAAAGACATTGAAGTGAAATACACTCTGTATAATGTTGGAACATCGGCGGCTGTTGGGGTCCAACTAGTCGACAATGGTTTCCACCCCGAGGCTTTCGAAGTCGTCGGGGGGCACCTCTCCGCCAAATTCGAGCGCATCCTCCCCCAAACCAACGTCTCGCATGTTGTGGTAGTCAGGCCGAAACGTTACGGGTATTTCAATTTCACGAGTGCTGAAGTTACGTACAAAAACACTGATTCAACTGTTGTAAGTTTCCAATTATTGTTTTTTTATTTATTAATAATGTATGTTTCAGGTACAAGTTTCATTAAGTAGTGAACCGGGCGAGGGTGGCATTATTGCCTTCCGCGATTATGATAAAAAATTCTCCTCACACACTTGGGATTGGCTCGCTTTCACCCTCATGACCACCCCTTCGTTGGCCATTCCCTTGGCTTTGTGGTACGGCAGCAAGAGCAAATACGAAAAACTCGTCAAACCCACAAAAAAATCACATTAAATACTTGTTTTCTAACATTTTTATTTATTGTTGTATTTTTGTAATAAAGTTTCCAGTATGTCGCGATTGGGTATTTTCGTCTTGGCCCCGCCCCCTACTCTTCTCAATGACATTTGTCAAATCAAACTATTTTCATTTAAAAAAATCTGTTATTAAGGATATAACATAGCAATTATATTTTTATACAAGAAACTTACAATTATGTGCTAAAATATACAATTCATCACAATTTCGAGTTATGCATTTTCTGTATTTTCAATTTTTCTCAATTTTAATACAAAAATAATCCGAAATTAATGTATTTTATAAAAAATAATTGCTTCAATCCCAATTTTAGTCTAAAATGAAGCAATATGTGCTATTTCCAATCGATTTGGCACAATTTTAATCTGAAAATCAACCTGAATCAAAGTATTTCAACAAAATTTTCAAACCAATTTTTCTCGATTTTAGCAAAGAATTCATTTTATAAAAATATTTTTTTTAATCTCAATTTTAGATTAAAATAAAGCAATTTGTGATATTTTGAATTGATTTGGCTCAATTTTAAGCCGGAAATCAACCTGAATTAAAGTATTTCAACAAACTAATGGCTTGAATAAGTTTTTTTTTTAAATAAATAAGCAATTTGAGCTATATTTAATTTAAATTAATTTTAATTTACTACAGAATTAATTCAAAATTAAAGTATTTTTTATAAAAATAATTACTTCAAGTTCAATTTTAGGCTAAAATAAAAAAAATTGTAATATTTTCAATCGTTTTGGCTTAATTTGAAGCCGGGAATCAACCTAAATCAAAGTATTTCAACCAAATACTGGCTTGAATAAGTCTTCTTTCAAAATTTTTTTCTATTTTAATACAATTGGATTGAAATACTTTGATTCAGGTTGATTTCCGTCATCAAATTAAACCAAATCGATTCCAACTATCACAAATTGCTTTKWTTCAGCCTAAAATTYAGATTGAAGKAATTATTTTTATAAAATACATCAATTTTGAATTAATTCTGTATTAAGATCGAGCGAAATAAATTAAAAATAGCTCAAATTGCTTTATTTATGAAGAAAACTTGTATTCAAGCAAGTATTTGGTTGAAATACTTTGTTTCATGTTGATTCCCGGCTTAAAATTGAGCCAAATCGGTTGAAAATATCACAAATTGTTTTATTTTCGTCTTTATTTCATATTTTCGTCTTGGCCCCGCCCCCTACTCTTCTCAATGACATTTGTCAAATCAAACTATTTTCTTTAAAAAAAAATCTATTAGTAACAATATAACATAGCAATTATATTTTTATACAATAAACTTACAATTATGTGCTAAAATATACAAAATAGATTTTACAAATAAATAGTTATTTTCATTCTATAATTACGTGTTATCACCGTTCATTACAATTTCGAGTTATGCAACCGAAAGGAGGACTAGGAGTTAAAACAAATGAGTCAATACTTTAAAAGTTAGAGAATTATCACATGAAGATCAAGAGTGGAACCAAATTGGTGAAAACACTTCCTAAATAGTCACAGCCATACCAAAAGCAGAAATAAGATTTATGCAACCGAAGAACCAATTTCTGACATTAGCCTAACACCAATATCGTTAATATTAGAGGAACCGTAGGAAGAAGGTGAAGACACAATATATTCATCTCCTTGTTCAATATTTTGCGAACTTAGTAAAACCGGAGCGATGTATTGTTCACTAAACTCGGGTAAAGCCGTATTGTTATTTTGAATAGGTCTACAAGAGGGAAACGGGCTCAAGAAAAAGAAAAATGTAACAGTGACAATAAACGCAATGAAACTAACCGCACACATGATATTAAAACCTCCTCTAATGAAAGAAAAAGCTGCCATGATTAACTGGAGCAGTAAAATAGCGACCCGGACCATCCTGACGGCATCAGCATGGATTTGTTGGCCTTCCCCACACATGGTGATGGGTCTATAGACATAATAAATATTGTATTTATCGACAAAGTGTTTCAAAGACAGGTATAGCAACCCAAAGGGGGTTATCAAAGGACACGTGAGACTATACACTGTACTGATCGTAAAAATAAGCAAAGTCCAGGCATAGTGAATCCCGAAGGGAAATTCCGACATGATTTCCTTCCTTATACTTGTCTTTTCTGCTTCTGATTTGATACGAAGGAGACGAAACGCGTACATTGCTAACTCGGGGAACCTCAACAACTCTAAAGCTGTTCCAATCAAAGCCGAAGTGATGACATAATTAATGAAGAAAGCCCCCTTGTCGGCTAGAAACACACACTCCCATCGCACCGTCAAATTCCCGGTTTGTAGGGACCACTCGACGAAAGCTTGCGCACTTGTTAACCCCAACGAGGGGAGAATAAGCACCATAAAAAGCAGAAAAAAGAAGGCTTTGTGCATTGTAGCATGGTTTTGTTTTGATTTGGTCCAATGTGACATCCATTCGTCCGAATAAGCCACAAGGACTGGCATTAAAGCCGACACAGAAAGGAGCAAAAGAGTTGGAAGAAAATCAGAAAGAAGAGGAGTCAACTTACTCAGAAATTTATCTTGTGCGCTAGTTAAATTATTAAAGACATTGACTACAATCACTGGAGTTGTTAAAAAAAATAGTATTAGGAAAAGAATTGCGTTGATGAGGATTGCTTTCGAGTACCAATTCCGGTACGATATTTCTAAATTCTCCCAATTGATATCCGACGGTGAGGGCGCTTTTGTGATCAACCAATGGCGTAGCGAGCCGGGAGTGAATGATTTGATCACGTGATGGGCACTCTCTTCTGAGTTTAGAGTAATAAAGGCAATCCCCAAAGGACTCTCTAGGACTTTTCGTCGCTCCGCGACGACCAAATCCGTGAGTCGTGCCTCCTCTTCGGTGTAATACTCAAGTGCGTTTTGTGTTTTCCACGGACAACAAATAATACACCCGTAGGGTTGCACCTTCAAGTCCGGTTTGTTGTTCAAAATGCAGTACATCTTAGCCTCATGAGTGAGGGCCCGTTGTTTTTCAAGTATCGTCAATTTCTTGATCCTGTAAGCAATCTGTATGTCTTTTATCTCAGTGTCTGGAAACCTCACAGTGAAATAATTTTTAATATCATCGGTATTTCGATGTGCGTGCGAGATGTGTGTTATCATAACAGTCCGTGACGTAAGTGCCGAGGCACTGGGGATCCGACCGGAGCTCCTCCGCATGATTAAGACAGTCAAAGGGACGAAACAAAAGCTAGCGACGACGTGGACCCACAACCAGTTCGAACTCGGTTCCAGATTGCTCAAAGTGGTGTGCCCAAAAGTAGTTTTACCGCCTTGAAGCTTCCCTTGGAAATTGATGGGGAGGATTACGCAAAGTGCGAAGACTGTTATAGTTGTAGACAAGAGAAGGAGTTGTTCTTGAAAGGAGAGATAGTGTGACGCGTCAGGACCACATCGTGTGAAAATCCGCTCTTTGCTGATTTTAAAAATTGAGGGGAACCAAAGACAGCCCGCGTCGGGGATTAATGACACGTCTGCGCTTGATTCCTCGACGGCGACAGCGTCATCCGTGTTCTTGTAGAAGAGTTGTGTCCATTTTTCCGTATGGACGAGGGCTAGTCGGCCGTAATCCCAAGCCCGGTTTCGCAAGATGGCAAAGAGGAGGATTAACAGAACCCAAGTGATGACGTTCAAGAGGATCGTCTCGGGGATACCTTCATATACGTTGCTGATAACAGTCGCATTTGCACGCCGTGTTGTCAAACATGTGTCGTTATTGACCGAGCCGATAGTGTGACGGTTTTCCAGAAGATGCTTCAACATTTTGTCTATAGGAAAAGTGCGTCAACAGCAAAATTAGACAATTACGACCATGACTTACATAAAAATTCCAGTACACACGACAAGCACCAAATTATCTATTCTTCCACAAACAAACTTGCGATTGTGCTAAATTACGTAAACTAAGTACATATTCCCAACTTTCTACTAAAATAATTTTATTATGAAGAACCACAGCAATAAAAATGACATTTCTACATTTCAACTGTTGACGTATAACACTGTCAAATGTCAAAAATTTATCTTTTTCTAGCACACATTTTTGGTCAGCTTCTATCTTTGTTTAACAACACGCGCATGCGCTATTAGATAGTAATCTATGTTGGATTTGTTCAAAATCTGAAACCTCAATCATCAACCATCAACAACTTTTGGAAGTTTTGATTAAAACAAGTGTTTTCTATAGATAATAATAAATTATTAGAAGCAACATGACGTAAGTAATATTTAACTTCTAAACCAGTCTAATTAATGCTGTATTTATGTGGCACATACAGCCCATTTTGATATATAGGTTAGGAAATGTAAATGTAAATAATTGAAAAAAGGATCAGTTTTTACCGTTTATTTTCTTATCTGCATTTAAAAACTACAGTTTTTGATCATATCTTTTCAGTTTGCCGGATAAATTCCTAGTCGCCTTAAGCGAACTAAGACAAATACAAAAGCGAAGACTTAAAAATAAGATGGAAGCAAGAGAAATTATTGCGGACGGCAAAATTATAGCCAGAACCGAAAACGCCGTGCAAGAATATAAAGGAACTGTTGTAATTGAAAATAATTTTTTATTTCATGAAAATTCGAATAACGTGAAGTCGGGAATAATCCACCAAAGTCAGGTAACGGTGTGCTACGTTAAGAACGTCACGATTGAATTCGAACTAAATGATGGATCTGTATATAATAACTATTCCTTACAACTTAATTCGATTGATGAAGTAAACAAAGTCCTGACAAAAATGAAACCTTTGCCTCTGTCAAGACCAAATACATACCCAAATGATGGAAATGTGTAAGAAAAACCATTACTTTATTATTATTTTTTGATATTTTATTTGCAGGACTAGTTCTGACACCGATTCGGACGATTCGGGGGCCGAGAAGACGACAGGCGTAAACAATTCCTTCGATTCAGACACACCGTCAGTTAACAATGATGAATGACGAGTCTGTGAAATAGAAAAAAGTTATCAAAATTTTTCAACCGGGAAACGTGTATATTGTACAATACTTAAAAACTAAATATAATAGGATAAATATAAGAAATGTGTAAACATAATTAAATTTTGTTAAATTAAATAAAATAAAACTTTTAAATTATAATTTTCCCAAAAAATTTAAGTACCAAATTTGATAAATCTGTCAGCTTTTTTTATCATTATCCGTCATGTATAACTCTCCAAACATGTCTTAAATATTTCAGTTAGACATTCATAAAAAAAATAATGAAAACAAACACATTCTTTTTTAAACATTTAAGAATTTTTTTAAAATGCTTTTTATCTACTTTTACGTTGGTAGATAAATTTTTAATAGATGTTCCGGATTGAATAAATAAAACAATATGTTGTATATAAATTTTATTGTACGTTCATCCGACAAGTACAAGATCTAATGCCGAACTGGCCTCTCGACACATAAGTTGTGTAAGAAGTTGTACGAATCATCATTGACAAAAAAAATATATCGGCTTAGATGACTAATTGCTGCCAAGATACAGACAAAGAGATTTACAAAAGTTGGGTAACGAATTTACAAAAACCAGTGAGTCAGGAAATGTTCTAGAAAATAGTAAAACGTAATAATTAGTAACTGACAAATAATAAATCCTAACGCTAAATAATGAATAGTAATAATAATAATAAATATATAACAATAATAATACTAATATAACACTAATAATAAATATGTAACATAGAGTTAAAATTCCCGTCTTTCGTTTTGACCATTAAAAAATACCGCAAAACGAAAAATTTTCTTTTGGTTGGCAACGCTGGTTAAAGTTTTTAAAATATTTGTTTCTTTCTAACACACATATTTGTTCTAATAACATCTTTGTTTACCAAAACGCGCCTGCGCTATTTATTTTAACAACTGATATGTTGGTAATGTTGGTATTTCTGTTGCGTTCAATCTCAACCATCAACAATTTTTGGAAGTTTTGGTTAAAACAAGTGTTTTCTATCGATAATAATAAATTATTATAAGCAGCATGACGTAAGTAATATTTAACTCGTAAAACAGTCTAATTAATGTTAGATTTATGTGACATATACAGCCCATTTTGATATATAGGTTAGGAACTGTAAATTTAAATAATTGAAAAAAGTATCGGTTTTTACCGTTTATTTTTTTATCTGCATTTAAAAACTACAGTTTTTGATCATATTTTTTCAGTTTGCCGGAAAAATTCCTAGTTGCCTTAAGCGAACTAAGACAAATACAAAAGCGAAGACTTAAAACTAAGATGGAAGCAAGAGAAGTTATTGCGGACGGCAAAATTATAGCCAGAAGCGAGAACTCCGTGCAAGAATATAAAGGAACTGTTGTAATTGAAAATAATTTTTTATTTCATGAAAATTCAAATAACGTAGTGTGCTTTGATTGACCAAAGTCAAGTAATGGTGTGCTACGTTAAGAACGTCACGATTGAATTCGAACTAAATGAGGGAGCTGTATATAATAACTATTCCGTACAACCTAATTCGATTGAAGAAGTAAACAAAGTCCTGACAAAAATGAGACCTTTGCCTCAGTCAAGACCAAATACATACCCAAATGATGGAAATGTGTAAGAAAAACCATTAATTTAATTTTTTTTTCTGATATTTTATTTGCAGGACTAGTTCTGACACCGATTCGGGGGCCGAGAAAACCACAGGCGTAAACAATTCCTTTGATTCAGACAGCCGTCAGTTAACAATTACGAATGACGAATCTGTGAAATAGTAAAAAAGTTATCAAAATTTTGTTAAAATAAGATTTTTCAATCGGAAAACTTGTATATTGTACAACTTCCATACTTAAAAACTAAATACAATAGGGTAAACATAATAGATTATATTTTATAAAAATTAAATAAATAATTTTCTTCCCAAAAGATTTAAGTTGCTAAAGTTGGTGAATCTGTCGTTTCTCAAAATATTTGTTTCTTTCTAGCACACATATTTCTTCTAATAACATCTTTGTTTACCAAAACGCGCATGCGCCATTTATTTTAACAACTGTCATATTGTGTTGGTATTTCTGTTGTGATTCTCAATTGTTCCAAAAAATGTCAAAAAAATAAATTTTGCTATTGTTACTCCGCGTCGGGTCAAAACTTAAGACTATTTAAGGTCCGGTCATGACGCCAGGACGCCGCCTATAGTGCAAGACTGTTTTGGACTTGGGGGTTTTAGGTTAGGTTTTGCGATGAATTCGCCTTTGCCTCCGCCGACAACGCAGCGGGACTGCATGTCCGCCGCCACCAAGCGGTACAAATACCTGCGAAGAATGCTAAAGTTTGACCAGATGGACTTCGAGTTTGCCTTTTGGCAAATGCTGTATTTGTTTATAGCCCCCCAAAAGGTGTACCGGAACTTCCGTTACAGGAAACGTGAGTTGGGGAGTTTGGGGCGAAAGTGAGACTAATGGGGTTTTTGCAGAGACCAAGTCGCAGTTTGCGAGGGATGACCCGGCGTTTTTGGTGCTATTTGCCGCCTGGCTTTGCAGTAGGTGTTTGTTTTTCCACAAACTGTGTTAATATTTACGATTTTAGTCACTTCCGTTGGTTTTGCGATAGTATTAAAGCTGGGATTTGGACAATTCGTTTATTTTCTTTTGTATGTCATTTTTGTTGATTGCATTGCTGTTGGAGTGATCACAGCTACGTTTTTTTGGTGATTTTTGCGCATTGTGTTACATTTTCGTAATTCAGGGTGTTGTAGGTATGTCCTCAATAAATATTTTAGGCCAAGTACTGAAGTACAAGATGTTGAATGGGGGTACTCTTTTGACGTCCATTTAAATGCCTTCTTTCCGCCATTAATATTGTTACATTTCTTTCAGTTGTTTTTCTACAACGGTAATTTATTTATTATGCGTTAATTGAATGACAGTATTTTCTTCTAGGTTTGATAAGTCACGAATGGTTCATTTCTAGATTGCTAGGCAACACATTTTGGCTGGTGGCAGTACTGTATTATATGTTTATAACATTTCTAGGTTACAGTTCCCTGCAAATCCTAAATCGTACCCACTTGATTTTAACACCAGTCCCCATAGTTCTAATATTTTATATAATCAGTCTAGTGGCTGGTCTCAATATAACCCACGTTTTGATGACGTTTTATAAACATAGGGTTTTATAGTTCTGTTACTGTTTTCTACATCTAGTCTAAAATTATTTTAATTATCAGTTTTTGTAAAAAACTATGTTTCTCAATAAAACACAAAGTTTCATCACGTTTTTTATTTTTTACTCCTTGGGTGCCCTTCAATACAAATCATGTTATTACGACATTCGTAAGAAATCCTGCATCGGTCACGAATTTCGTCAGTGGTTAAAGTTGGCACTTCTTTTTCCACTGGAGATTTATTTTTATTACTCTTAACTGTAGTATCCAGAATTCTTGAGCCAGAATTCAGTGATTCTGAACTAGAACTAGCAGTGCTATAGTTTATGTTATAGCCTTTCATGTAGTAGCCAGAATCATTATCTTCAAGATCCTGGCCAGTCTCAGTACACAATCTACAAAAATGTATGTCAATTTGCCCATTTTTCACGTAACAAACCTGTTCATTGTCACAAAACACCGTTGTTTTGAACGGTTTGAAAAACTGTCAGTTTGCAGATGGCGACACAATTGTCAGTTTAAAAAAAGGCGGCTAAATGAAAAATCATTTATTAACACCAATTACATAAATTAACATTATTACAACATATGTAGCACAATTTTAGAATATTCGTAATCGTAAACATATGAATTGGGCAAAACAATTATTACTGCTCTTGATATTTCTCATCATTTTCAAGTTGTCTGAATTTTGGCACTTGGTGATTTTTTAATATGCCTACAGTAAATTTCGTTTTAGCTACAAAACTAATCAATAAAAGATATGAAATTTTCCAATATTTTAGAATTGTAAGCAGTAGTGATTGTTTTGTGAACGAAAGTCTCCTCATTCTACACTTTTGGACCACGTTGTATATACACCTACAAATATGAATAAAACGTATCGAAAAAATATTTTGGTCATTTCAATTTGGAGGCCATTGTTTTGATTACACTCTAATTTTGCTTTAAAGAGAAATGATGAGCAAATAATAATGGTGTGATTTTAGATTTCCGTGTTCAAGAATGACATTTATTGGTCTAGTGTTCTTATCAGTCAATATTAAAATAAAATGAAAGGAAAGTGCTGATCACATAGATTGGTGAGCAATAAGCGATTATAGTCAGTTATTTCGAATAATTGAAACATTGTTCATAAGCTCGCAGTTCTTATAGTAACAACTTGTAAATATTTTATAAATTCACAAACATTAACTATTAAATATACATATATGACAAGAATAACACTTAGTGAATGTGTATAACAACAACGATAGGTATACAGAGTGGATCAACTAACTAGTTGAAACACGTTACTCAACGTGCAGGCAATACACGGTTGCACAAGGCACATTATACACTGCTTTTAGCTACGATATACTATAGTTGGTCACAGATAGCAATGGCAACATTAATTTAACCCAGAACTTCTCTTCGTGAAGGCCCATCTGACTCAGGCGAGGACACCTCGTACTTACTATTGGCCGTTATCATTTCAGTCAAATCGGAATTATCCTTAACGAAACAATATTTACACCTCATTTTGGTGTCATCGTCTACCCTCACCGACTGCATTATGACACACAAAGTGATAAATGAAACAACAAAAAGAACCGAGGGAATACTAATGGCAATTATTAAGTCCCTCCAAGTCCGCTTCAAGTCATACCGAGCAATTACCATGAAGGAGTTGTTCTAAAAGTGATAAATGAACGACTTTTGACTAAAATCGACCCGTTACCTTATTATAGAAGCAGGGATAGCGTGACTGTGCCGTTTGGTTCTTTCCATCACTTCCATGGGAATTAAGGAAGTCTAAACATTCCCCTTTTAAAGTATTTACGCAACCGTCGAGGTTTATATACAGTCGGGAGGTGTTGTATATGGTGAGGGCACTTTGCATAGGAACGAATTTCTCCAAAGGGTCCAAAACGGCCTTCCAACGACCAGTCAAGTTCCAAAACTCTTTGAAAGTCATGACAGGCGATGGAAGGTCTTCGCTGTTGTACAAAGTTCCGTTGATACAATCACTAGCACTGAAATAAATAACGTTACGATAACAATCAGACGTTTCAACTCTACTCTACTTTATATAGTGTTCATCAATATTGTATCGAATTGTGTGACAAGAGACCATAAAAACTTCTTCATTTTTCCTCGTCCAAAACTGCGTTGGTTCAATTTCGTTCCCTTCTTCGTTACCGTTAGCGATGGTTGACGCTACCCCCGACTCGCAAGACGCTTGATACACTTTATTCCCCGACGTGATAAACACATTTTTCCCTAACGAAGTGATATTCTCCTTGCAAATTCGGTCGCAGCTGAACCCCCGCTTGATTTTCGTGCATTTCGAGCCCTTGCATTCGAAAATCCCGTTAAGTTTAGCGTTGTCTTTGTCGCTGTCGACGGTGAAACCGTCGGCCCGGTAATGACACTCGTAAATCTGCGAGACATTGGTGCAATGTCCCAAGGAACAGTTGAAAACCCCCTTGAGGGAGCTGCACTCCGTTCCGTTATTACAGTTGTGTTTTTTCAAGTCGTTGGCGTTAACGGGGGGGCAATGCGAGGTCCGGAAACGCGTACAGTTTTGTAGTTGGACTGTTGTGCCGTTTTGTCTCGTCGTTGCGTGGATTTGTGGGCAAAATCCGGAGGTTTTTGTTAGACACCACTCACCACATGAGGCCCAGCTGCAATTGTTGAGCATACTCGTGTTTATAGTTTGGCACATGACAGGCCGTTCTTCAAAACCGGAATGGAACGCTCTATAGGAAGGAATATAAATGGCCACCGTTAAATAAATAAGCGATACGCAACTAAATACGACAACCAATTGGCAAAAGCAGATACAGCCGCAGATTCGCTTGTCCTGTTGGGGGATCATACGGGGCTTACATTTGTTTCGGCGGCCCATTTTTGACAGTTAAAGGCACCAAAGGGGTAATTAACGTTGTACTTCACTACATGACGGAAGTTAACTAAGGAGGCGAACGACGTCAAGCGTCGGGGCGCAAGCGTCATCCTTGTCCTCGAGGGAAATACCACAAGTATTGGATTTTTAAATGTCAAGGGGAGGAAGAGAAAGAACACGCTCAATCGGCTATTATTATTTATTCACATCTTTGTACTTATTTTAAATTGAAATATATGTCAGTTTAATTAAAAGTCTACAGTTTGTTATTGGTATCAACTCAGATTTAATTTACGTAATAGTTGCTTTAACAACGATTTATAAAAATTATGATTGTATCAAATAGAATTGTTGCGAAGCGAGCGTGACGAAATCTTGGAGGGCTGCTAGCTGTGCTAATATGAGTTTTCGTCGTAGTCTTCATCCCTGACAACAAAAAACTCAATGTACTTTTTAATAGTTTCAAAAAGCACACAAAGAAAGAAGTATAAAAATTAATATGAATGACGAAAAGTGAATCAAATTCCAAGTCAATTCCACAGGTTTAATCAAAAAAATTACATAAAAGTGGCAAAGCACTTTCGAGAACCACGTTTCATCAGAGCTTAATTACAAAACAAATAAAAAAAATACTTGGTTCAATTTTTATAAGACTCGCCTCAGGCCCCTTTTTTTGTCGTAAAAATTCACGCGTGGTTGATACAGTCGACCAATTTTGTTTTCGAGGCAGCAAAGAGTAAAAAAACACCTTGTTAAACTGGTCAGTTGCGTCTGGAAGTCTGGTTTGGTTATGACTCGTGCCCGTCTCGTGCCGTTGTAATCAGGGTTGGCTTAAGTTTTCATTCTCTTGTGTGTGTAATTTTTTAATTTTTGGCAAAACGTCCTCATACCTACACGTGGTTCTAGCTCGGTGATAAAAATTTAATGTATTTTATACAATAAATTGTTATTAGCTGAAGAGGACATTTTTTTTAATTTTTATTTTTTAATTTGAACTAGTACGCTTTTTATGTAAATGTTTTTGAACCAACCCTGCATATCCAGTTAGCCAGCGGTGGTTGCAATATGAGGCAACCGGTTTGCATTCAAATACCGAATTGATCGTATAAACTGTCTGTTTCTGTCACATCTCTGTCCCTCTGCCTTAAAGATCTTAATTCTACTATACCTTAGACTTAATTTTATTCACCTTTTGTGATTTATATTAGAAAAAAAAAGATTGAGGAAAAGGATGCTTCCATCAAATTAAAAAAAAATAAGATAGAGTTTAGATGTTACGCAAAAAGATTTCAGTTTAAAAAAGAGTGATGAGGGTTTAAAGAGACTAAAAAATCAAAAAGATTTTTTTTTCTTAAGAAATCTTATCAAGATTTTGCTTAATGATTTTTAAAATAATTAATTCAAATTTTTTTTCATGATATTATTCAAGTTTCCTATTTTTGTTAATCAAGTATCTATTCAAAAACTCAGAATTTTAATTAATTTAACTAAAATGAAAGTTAGAGCAATAAAAGAATAAACAGAAAATCTTTAAACAATCCGTAAATCCATATTCCTTGACTTTATCACTCAATATCTCAAAAACTACTCAACGTAGAGCATTTTAACATGTTGTTCAGCGTGTAATTTTACGTCCAGAAAACTATATTTCAAGCGTTTTTACGACTTAAGGTAATTTTTTACGATTTTACTAAAAAAATCAATTTTTTTAAACTTGACCCAATAACCTTTTAGGCACTGTTTTGATCTTTAAGACCTCTAGAACTGTTAAAAGCGTTATATGGATCAATTTTAAAATAGAAAATTTTTTAGATTTTTGTCGAGATTTTTGTTGATTTTTGGCATCCGGACTGGTCTATTGCCAATAACTCCGGACTTATTGGTGATAACCTCTAATATTTGGTACTGTTGGAAAGAAAATTTAATTTTCTACCATATACAAAAAGGATCAGTGTTCTACGATAACTAGTCATCGAGAAAATTTCTGATAAAGTCAAAAATATCAAAAATATAAATTCGACTACACCTTCAAAACTATTATGAATTTTGCAGTTTTCTTGACGCCAATCAATTCCCCGGAACATTTTACATATGTCTAGGTCAAAATATTATATCGTTGAGATACAGTTTTTTCGCAATTTACAAAATAAAAAAAGAGGAAAAATATGTTAACACCCCCCCGTTAAAAACTAGTGTTTTTGAACATATCTCAATTTAAACCTATCTTATCCGATATATTTTGATGCGTTGATTACAAATTTTCTAAGCATAATACGTTATATCTTCTAATTTGGCCGTAATCGTCGTTTAAAAATTAAAGATTTTCAAAATTGTGAAATTTTAAACGCGTTTTTCTACAAAATTATGAGACCTAGAGCAAAAAGCTAAAAACCATAAAATTTGTCTGAAATTATCTAGCTAATGGCGCAAACCGGAAGTCGCTCCGGGTTATGGTTTCGGATACAGAACCATTTTATTTTTTTTTTTCAAAAAAAATTCATATTTCAAAAACTTTGAGCCCTAGGTAAAAACAGTTTATCCAGGCGTGTGTCCGGTTAATTCTACATACAGTACTAGTTTTTCATAAGAATCAAAAATTTTTGATTTTTTGATCAGAATCGGATATAGCCTTATTATTCCTATTATTATTCTTAATATCTCAAAAACTATGCATCGAAGAGTATTTTAACTTGTTGCATTGTGTTCAGCACGTAATTTTACGTCTAGACAGCAATATTTCATATTTTTACGACTTAAAGTAAATTGACTATTTTTACGAATTTACTACCGCTCACCTTCAAAAACTCAAAAAATTCGTAATTTTTTAAACTTAACCCAATAACGTCTATGCACTTTTTTGAGTTTTTAAGATCTCTAAAAATTGAAAAAGCGTTATATGGAACAATTTTAAAGTTGATTTTTGTCGAAATTTTGATCGATTTTTGGCACCCGGAGCGGTCTATTGCCAATAAATCGAGACTAATCTTATGTTTGGTACCCCCCTTTAAAAATAGTGTTTTTGAATGCTATCTCCTCTAGTTTTCACGTAATCGGATTATAAAAATTAAAATTTTTGCGAACAACACAGGAAAAAAATGTGATAGTGAAACTTACTCGGCAGGAAAATGATGCATGTATTTGTTGCAAGTCTTGCCACAGCCTGGACAGTACCAGTAGCTAAGAACTCCAACAGATGCGGCGAATAGCAAGTTAGGTATGGTAATCGAAAGTATTAAATGTTTCAATGTTTCATCCCATGAGTATCTTGCGACTACGATATCAGGATATACTCGGCTATAATAACAAGGAAAAGGAGTGCCTGCAGTGCTGTACCCATACTGTCGAGCAAATTCGGTACAATTGACAGAAGGAGGGTATCCACAACCTTCTGCATTAATCAAAAACCTAGTATCGACAACGTCCCATTGGACATTGAACGCCGGTTTCCAGTCTCTAAAGGGAATTTTCGAGTAATTAACGTAGATTTGATGGCAGCGAGTGGCTTCTCTCGTACACCCTTCGCGACACGAAGCCCACGAACAGTTTGTCAATCCCTCAGCGTAAACATGTTGAGTCCCGACACAAGTCACCGGTTCTGGCTCGTAATCCGCCATCAAACTTGTTATCGCCGGATCGACAATAAAAGGTATAAGAAAGAGAAATGCAAATACTGAGATAAAAGCAGTGATTCCAAGACATAACGATGTATAAAACTTTGCAGTTTCTGCAATTGAGATGAGCGTCAACGGTTTTTTCTCCTCACTCATTTTTCCCAAAACGCTTTCCCCTTCAGTCTCGATCTAGCAAAAGGGGAATGCCTGAAACATCAAAATTAAACACCAAACCCAATCCCGGCCACAACATACGTGATTGATCTCAAAGTGCCATTATCGAGTTCCCTCCGCCTCGATCCGTCATATTATTCGCCGAAGTTGTCTTCTCGAGAGTCTCCCCGTCGCTAGCAACGCAGCTCTGAAAACGCATTTTAGCATCGTCTCCAACCACAACAGTGCGTTGACATAAAATAAGGGTGAGACAGGATACAACGAAAAGGACCGTAGGCAAAACGGACGCGATGAGGAATTGTTTCGTGGTTGTGGCTAAATCGAATCGGGCGACCACAACTCCAGGATTGTCATTCGAGTAGAAGCAGGGGAAACGGGCACGAGCGTTATGGTCGGTACCATCTTTGCCATAAACGCGGAGAAACTCCTTACATTCATCGCGGAGAGTATTGACACAACCTTCAAGGTTGATAAGGAGTTTGCTCTCGTTGGCGATCAACAAATCGGGTTCAGGGGGGGCTATTACGCGTTTTTCGTCCAAAGGAACAGTGTTAAACACACTGAGGTAACTCAGATACGTGAAGTTAGTCAAATCGTTCAAGACATTATTTGGGAGGAGAGAACCGTTGACACAATCGACGGCAACTACACCTCGAGTGGTGTTAAGGATGTTGTAACAAGAGGACATCATGATATTGTCTTGGGATTCGTTCCAAACTTCTTCTCCACTGTCTAAATCAATCGCACGTTGACATTGTGACAGATAAACTTTGTCACCACTTAGTAATATCACGTTTTTGTTTCTGGTAGGGATATCAACACATCTTCTGTCGCAATTGTATGGTGTTCGGATTCGTTCACATGTTCCTCGATTGCAACTATATAAACCGTTCAAATCAATACAAGTGATTTTACCTCTTCGGCCTGAACATTTCAAAGGTGGATCAGTATCTTTGAAAATACATTCGAAAGCATCAGTTATATTGATACACATACCAGTGGTGCAATTGAAAGTTCCAGTCAAGTTTTTACAATCGTCAGCAATGCAACGACTCTTCTTGGCATTTTCTTGGTCAATGCCATAACAAGTTTTATTAGCTGTATTTGTACAGTTTGCTAAAAGTAGATTTGAACCGTTGTGTCTAAGATTGACGTAGATTTGCATGCAAGCTCCGGATGTTTTACTAAGACACCATTCTCCACACGATCCCCAATCACACGCTTCGACTTGAACAGCTCGTGTCGTTGTGCACATAACTGGATCTTCTGATATTCCCGATTTGAGAGCACGAGTCGAGGGAACATAAATCGCCACAGTCAGATAAACAATAGCTACACTACTTAGAACTAAAGTCATTTGACATAAACAAATCGTTCCACATATTCTAGTGTCTTGTGGAGGGATAATGAGGTCTTCGACCGGCACTGGCTTCTTTTTCGGCATTTTGCCTTTAGAACATGACGGTTAGCAACACTTCATGGTCGGAACTGGTATAGAAAATTGGTGAATGCGCCGGGTGTACGCGCGCGTCCCGAATCAATAGCCCACTGCGGCGTCTCCTAATCAATATTGCCCGCAGAAGTTGTAAAAACAGCTCGAAATCGGAAATTAAGCACAAAGGGTGTAAAGAAACGTGAAGGGATGTGTTTGTGAAGCTTTCAAGTGCAAATACTTACGTGGAAGGGCGGTTTTGGGTCGGAAGTGGCACCTCACATGGAGGACGGCGTGCTAGTGGTGTTTAGGTCGTCTGACGGGGACCGGCGCCAAAATCGATACTGTAAATACGGACTGCAGTGTTCAGAGCAGCAGCACTTCGTGCATGTGCTCCAAGTGGCCAAGACGAGTCACCACAAGCAAGTGTTAAATAATGTAGACTGAAATTGTCGAAAGTGTTTAATTGGATAATGTGTAATGTCTGCTATGTAGCCGAAATAAAAAAACGTTGGGGTTGAGCGGATTCGCGGTTTTGCTGTGAGCTGGCCGCAGCCGCTCGCGCCTGAGTGTGGATGCAGATGGTGGGGTCCAGGGAGTCGTTTTATCTTGCACCATGGAGGAGGCGCCAGAGATCAAGCAAACTTGGCAACAAAAGTTACTCTTCTACACTACCGCATTCTTCGTGTTGCTTGGCACTTTTAGCTTGTTTTCATTTCTATTCCTTGTGCCTTTCGTCATTGATCCGGCTTTTACGACTATTTTTATGGAGTTTGATGAGACTCCCGTGTTATGTATGACAGTAAGAGTGGATAGACGGTTAGGTGTCTCTAATTGTAGTTGGACTTCGTGTCGTGAAGGATGCACCAAAGATATTTATGACTGCACGCAAATCCTTGTTCATTATAAAAAAGTACCTCCCGATTACAACCTGACAGCACCTCCGGATATCCGAACTCCTAGAGAAGAAAGAAGCATACCGGAAGAGTACGACTACGAGAAGAGCTTTTCCGAGGAGGAGGAGGAAGAAGAAGAAGAAGAAGAAGAAGAAGAAACGGGTCTTTTGGATGATGATGAAGACTCCGAGTGGTATTACCGTGAAGCGCGATTACTCCCAAATGTCAAGGGTTGTGGTTATCCTCCGATGCTCAATTGCTCCATATTTCTAAAGTTATACAAAGGAATAGGTACTAATTACACGTGCTATTACAGTCGCGTAGACCCTAGTATGGTGATAAGTCATTTGGACATGTGGCAGGTCTATATGAACTTGGTCTATGCTATGGCAATACCAATTCCCTCCTTTATCTTGTCCGTAATATATTTGGCAATTGCTTATTTTAAAATATACAATGACGATGAAGAGACAGCCCCATTAGAAAAAAATGCTGAAGCTATGGACGTAGAAGGGGAAAGTGGACCAGATGCTACTCCTGTCCAACCCGCAAGTGGCGGAATAACCCCAGCTAGTGAAGCTTTCCGCGAGGATCTAGCCAGTTTTGGACATCACTTCAAAGTGGCGATGGTCGACGAAATGAGCCGTGATAGTTTTACCGAAGGAGTGCCATACTCGTGTTCTATAGGAGGGTAAATCTCCTTTAGCTCCCTTTCAATCTACTTTACCCCAAAGTTAATTTTGTTACAGGAATTTGGCAAAAACAATGACTACAAGCATCTCGACCACAGGAGGTCCCATAGCTGATATTTAATTGCTGTCACGTCTTGACATTTCTCAGGCTTGTGTGTTTTATCTTATTTTGATAAGGCTTAGGATAAACATACGAAATAATTTTTTTAAAATGGATGTGGTTGTCTCTCCGCCACAATCAACGTATGTTTACGTGGCTTGAAGAAATATTTTTTAAAAGTAGTGTTTTAGGCCGCTACAAATGAATATGAATAACAGCTTCAATTATCCAAAGGAGCGAATCTGATTTCATATTACGAGCTGCAAACGTGTATAAATTATCAAAAAAAAGACATCAACCGGGTCTCATGTAATTGCACATTCAACGAAATTTTACCAAAATTTTATTTCTAAATGGTCAAATTTCTAGCTGTGTAATCGCGTAATTCAATTCTAATTCTAATTCGTTAACGAAATTTAAAGCAATACTATGCATTCGTTTGTGGAGTTTCAGTAAAATTGGCTCCTCTGGTTGTGCTACAGCGCATTTATCTGTTATCAATCTCATAACATCCATAGTTTAACACGTCCGTGCGTATACCACGTCATTTTGATTGTATTTTTTTCTCGATATTATTGTAAATATATAGATTGTCTTTAATATTGTTATTATTACTCACATTGTTAAAATTTATAAGAAAATGTTTTATTGATTTGTATATCTCATGTACAGTTCGACTTATGAAATTTAATCTAATCGTGCAGTGAAAACGTGTTTATTGAACATTGTTCAAGATTTTGCCTTCTTATTCTTGTAATACGCATTTGTAATCTAATATTTTTAATACACATAAAATAGATGATACAATCAAGTCAACTCTTCTATATGTTTACAATGCATGTTTTCAGAATAAGGCAATTGTCGCGTGAATTTTATCAAATAATTCAATCAGATCGATTCTTTTTCTTTTATTAGAAAGGGACCAAGGCATATTGCACGGGGATTGTTGCAAGCATCGATGACATATTGAACTATTTTCGAGCACATGCACTTGTCAACATATACACTACTTGTGTGAACTTGTGTTACAACTAATTTTAGGCAAGTGTCAATATCGGCAATGTTCTTCACAACTCTATAGAGTCGATAGCTTGATCATTATGACTCACTGCTGATCAGTTTCTTTTACCTTGTTACCACCCATTTATTTAACTCATTTGTGATACTTAACACTGCTCATCTAGGAAAATAGATTTCAGTAATACACATCACAAAACTAAAGCGTCTTTTTCTACCCCAACCCTATTCCTCCTAATTTGCATTTTAAAACTCTAGACACGCACTTGCCCAGTTCACGGTCACGTAACTACTTCACGAAATATATTTATTTTTACTACAAATATTACAAATTAATAGATTGGTGTTTTCCGTTTAATTAAAAGAAAAGGGAACTTGAAAAGGACCTTGAATTGCATACGATAGGGACATTATTTATAACAAGAAACTATAATTAGAAAAATCAATTTATTGGGTTCAACCAGAGATATGTGAGACCACAAATAATTAAAAAATTACTGTTTACCCGACATGACACACAATATTTTTCACTGTTAATTAACCGATATTTGATTAAACTCGAACATTACGTGCACAGGCAAACTAAGTAGTAAATTAATTAAAATGTGCGGACTATGAATAAATTAACTGAAGTGACAAAAACTGATTGAGTTTTGCTATTAAAAAAATAGTGTAGTGATGAAATAAATAGGAATTGGTTCAAAAATCAGCGTTTACTTTGCGTTGGTCTTAATTGAAGTGTAGTGAGATAAATTTGAGGTGATTGGAGTTAATTGATGAAGACGGAAGAGAATCGCGTTGCAACCATGAATTCAAGAGCGCTTCTTTGGTTGCTTCAGGTGTTTGGTAGTACCTGATGGTATTAGTGGTGAGCAACAGGTGGTTTAGAGTTGTGAAAAGTGTCAAGGAAGCAAATGGTCGTGTTGAGCGTATTTGAATGCAAGATTTTTCAAGTAAAGTGTCCCCTCCACCGATTAGAAACGCGCTATTAAAGTAAGTGGCCAGTCAAGCGTCCGCCATTGCCTGTTGTCCGTCTACCTGTGTCGAGATGGCTGTCCAAGTCCTCACCATTTGGCGTGAAGATGCGAGGGGGTGACTTGCGGGATGTCGGGGTACCATGAGTCCAGGTGGCACGAGGGCTGCTTGGGCCGGTGCGAGGAGTGCACCACGTGCCATCAGTCCGACGAGGGCCTGTACAAAAGGTACGCGCAAGGGTGATTGCCCCCAGACTACGAGTGTGTTTCAGGTTCGTGACTGTGGGCTCGGTGCGGTACGGCATGCGGTTGGGGGCGGTTTCGCCCCCGCCGCCGGGAGCCGGCCCGCGTTACCGCTCCCAGTGCTGCTGGCCCACAGCGACTGCTCCCGGCGGCTACGTCTCCCGGATCCCGCTGCTCACCGCGACGCCTATTAATAGTTTCGATATAATTAGTTGCGCAAATAGACTGAGGATCAACGAGGAGGCTACGTCAGAGCTGCCTCAGCAGACTGTGCGCGATCATGTACTCTACTCCACCAAGTGCCTGAAGAATCAACTCAAGCGCTGTGCTTTGGTAAGGCCGCAGATTTATGCACGATTGTGTGAAAACGCCGAAGAAGAAGAGTTCAATCTGGATCGGCTTCCGAGGTTCCGCTTCGGCGGAAATCGGACCACTACCAATAAAGTCAGAGATTTCGAAAAAAGAGCCAACGAGCAAAGACTCAGAGACTTGACTGAAAGACTCAAAAGAGGACCGATACCACCCCCGAGGACCAGACACCAACCCAAAACACCACCAGAGGAACCAATCAGAGTTACACCACTACGAAGTGCCTCCTTCTCACAAGTAGACTATTCCAGTGATGATAAAAAATACGTCAGGCGAAGAAACCCTGTTTGTGATACAACAAACCAAACAGTTGCGACTCTACCAAGATCCAAAAACCCAACAAGATGTGATAATTTCAAAGAACCTGAACGAGACACTGATGATAACACCTTAAAACAATCAATAACACGTAGCAATACCATTTCAACTGGTACTTCCAACACACAAGAGAAGAAACGTGATAAACTCCGACGACGTAAAGGCATTTACATTTCACAATGGCCCAACTCTTCCGAAAATGTCATTCCTCAATTTGTCGAAGACGGCGATTTTGCCTCTTGTTCGGACCCCCCGAAACTTTTAGAAGAACCCCCAGATGATAAATCACAAATAATGTGGACAAGTCCACAAGAGGAACCTTTAAGTCCCGAAGAAAACACAACGGTACCAGAATGGCCCAAAATCTCCCGAGGGATGTTCCTCCTCCGTTCAGACTCCCTCTCAGAGGGTGAACCAGAAATGGGCAAACAGGATCAAATTTCCTCCATACCATCCGATGTTTCCGACTGTGAGAGTCGACTTAGCACGGGGAACGACCCCTGTAACCCCCGACGGTACTCCAAACGACCCTTACGAGGCCCCTACGGCCAAATGCTTGAAGCCGAAATGAAAAAACCCGAAACTGGTCGCAAAAACCAACTAAGTAATGACCTCAAATTCCTCGAAGATTTATCGTTGCAAAATCGGGATGTTAAGTTGAAACATAGATCAAGGTATGATGACTCGAATAATTTAAGTTCGCCGAAACAGTTGCTAACGTTATCAAAACGGAAAGTTAGTGCTGATAGTTTAGTTGTTGAGAATGATCAAAGGTTGGTTGTTAATCACCAACGCACCACTTCGAGTCCCTCCAAGTTGGAGGGTTTTGCCAACGCTGATGTTTCACAAGAATTACTGGAACAGTTGTTGAGGGGGAGTTCCGAACAGCTTGCCACGGATGCCAATTTACAGCAAAAAAATGTAAGTGAGATGTCAATAGATCGTTGCCCTACAAAATTCACCTTGTAATCTCGCAACGCTAAAGTCAATATTTTCTAAGCGGCCACGTGTCTTTGCGTTTCTATTCATGAACTGTTATTGACTTCGTTTCACACACACAAAAAGTGGAAACCTGTTTTGCTACCGATTTTTTCCGAAAATCGCAATTGAGCAAATTTACTTTCACTCAGAATTCTCATATTTATTTAGCGATTGCGTTTCGGGCCGTTTTGGGTTTCACCACACAAGTTTGATTAGAAAAAGATTTTCTTCAAGTATCGATTTCACTCCTATTCAAACTTCTTCCTCCTTAAAGGAAACGGAACGTCAATTTCGAGCTTATCAATAGTAATAGATTCGTATTTAAATAAATTTGTAGCGTGTATAAATAGAACTGTATAGAAAGTAAATGATTTTTTTATGATGATAGTCATAATAATGACATCCAGTGTTTGTTGACTGGATTTTTATTATTAAAACAATTTATTAACACGACTTAACTACCAAAACAACACTGAAAATTTAAATAAACAAACAAACTCTTTACTACCCGAAATTTAATTCTTTTGAATCGATACACTATTTAACAACCCACACACTCGGACACGTTTTAATCGAAACTTTTTCCGAGTTAATTTCCAAGTTTCGGAAAGTTTAATAATAACAGTCATGTGGCGGCTAACTTTCCCAACTTATTTGTTCTATTATTAAATGAAATGTGATCGAAATTGTTATTGCGTGATCATCAATTTTAATCACGAAGCAATTAAGCAATTAAAATCGGTGCACTATATTAAGAAATCCTGACACATCGTGCCCCCATTTGAGTGCGATCAAATTTTTCAAATATAAAAATGTTGGTAAAAATTTGATGTCACGAATCTGTTAATTAGCCGACCGTTGTTTGAAGATGCTTTGCGTATTGCTTAGCAACGACGCTGCTAACTGTTGCGTCGCGACGTCTCGCGTCGGCGCAACTTGCGTTCGTATATACTTCCATGACCATAAGGTGTGGCAGGGTAGAAATGTGATGTTAGTCGAAATGAGTGGTTTAAATTCGAGAGGCGAGTTGCGATTGCGTTTAGAGGGTTGTTCAACAGGTGAAGAAAGTGAAGATGAAACACAAGTCACCCTAAATCTATCAAACACGTTAGCGTTTTCGGTAAATCTAGCACACGGTTAACGTATTTATTTCATGTTTTGTTTACCGTTACCTGTTTATATTTTAGGATACGAGAACGCACGTGGTTGTTGAGCTTTACGATAACGAGAGGACTTATGTCGAAGCTTTGCAGATTTTGGTCACGGTAAGTCGCATTTTGCGCGTCTTTTGACAATTTCCATCATTCTATTTTAGAAATATTTGGAACCACTTAAAAGCTCAGAAAACGCCAATCTTCTAGATGCGACACTTGTTGATGAAATTTTCTACCAAGTAACTCGGATTTTTTTCAATTCAAAGCAACTCATTTGAAATTTCTAGATACCGTTTTTGTTAAGTCACCATCAAGCTTTTTTGGAAGAATTAAAAAAGCGTCTGGAACACTGGGACATTAAGCAGAAAATCGGAGACGTCTTTTTGGAGATGTTTTCGAAGAGTTCGGTAATTGAGAGTTACACTAATTATGTAAATAATTGGAAACGTGCAAGAGAGATTATTAAAAGTGCCCAACAGTCTAAACCGACTTTTGCCCGTTTTTTGGAGGTAAGTTTGTCCCACTTTTGGTTGTTTTTTCGATCATAGATTTCTAGACAACAGCAAGGGAACACAAAGGCAAGTTAGCACTTGATTCTTTATTGATCAAACCAATACAAAAATTTCCAAAATACGAATTGTTACTTCAAAGATTGATCAAACACACTGATGTTAACCACCCGGATCATAGTTTGTTACTAGCGGCCCAAAAAGAAGTCCATGATCAATTACTGAAAATCAATTGTACTGAAAGAGAAGCTTTAGAGTTGGAGCAACTTCGTGAAATTGAGGGTTTGATCGAAGGCCTAATCGAGTTGGTGTCAGCCGATCGTCAGTATTTGAGACATGATTTAGTCAGTATGGCCGCTGGTGGTGGTACTCGCAAAGAACGCGCTTTGTTTCTCTTCTCGGATTTGTTACTAGTGACGAGTATTAAGCGAAGGAGTGGAACCATTCGACGGCCTACTGGTCAAGGAAGCGTCACTAGTACCCTCGAAGCAAACAAGTACAAATTACTTATGAAAATAGCTTTAGAAGATTTAGAAATCGTGCGTTCGAAAGATGACAATTTGAAACAAATGATGATCGAAATTGAGAATTTATCCGCGGATGTTGGCATTTTGAACCAAATTAATGAATTAAGTTGGTCGCTACATTGTAATCATACTCAATTAGATGATCTCATTAGAGATATGTTGTCATCTTTGAATAAGCAATTAATGGAGCAACAGAACAGCGACTCGCAACTCTCTTGTCTCGAGCTTACTTTAAACACATCGTGAGTGCGAAAATTTTTGTCACGATTTTATAATAAGCTTGTTTTTTCAGCAACGGTTTGGAAAATATCTCGATTGTTTTTTCCAAACCTGAAAAACGCGCGTCTTGGGAGGAGTCTTTCAACGAGGCGAAGCACAAATTAGGTGAGCAATTTCGCGCCGACTTTTCTCAATCTTAATTCAAATTCTAGCAATATCGGGTGATAGAAAACCAAGTCCGGAACTGTTGGCAACAGTTCCGATTCGGAAAACACGAGCCGGTCTCCAATTCACCTGCGCTGCGCCCACTTTAGGCGACAATGGCAAAGACGTGTGGGTTTGCAACAGCGATGGTTATGTAGGTCAAGTGTGCATTTTAAGCCTCCAACCCGAACCCACCGTAACTTCCTGTAACGGTGTTTGTAACGCGAGGATTTTGTGCATAGCGTCAGTCCCTGGTGTCAGTTGCAGGTAACTAAACCCCACCATGAAACAGATTTCAACTCATCGTAGTTCTGTTAGAGGGAACAACAATCGGGACGACAACGAGGAACACAAGACGATACAATTCGATAGTAGCTCCTCAAGTGACGAGGATGACGAAACTGACAATGAGGAAGTTGACGAACCGCAGAAAATTTCCGAAACTTCTGATGTTTCAAGTGCCGATTTGGACGATATTGACAGTCAACAGTCGACTATTTGGTTGGGGACAGAAGACGGTTGTATCCATGTTTACAATTCCAGTGACAATATTCGTATTAAGAAAAACAAAATTCGGTTACAACATGGATCATCGATACTTAGCATAATGTACTAATGCTAAATTTTCTGTTACGTTGTAGTTACTTTGAATTTTTAGTTATTTGGACAATCGGGTTTTCGTCTCGTTGGCTAATGGTGACGTTACTATTTATGACCGGGATGGATGTGAGTCTTATAGTATTTTTTTTTGTTTTTGCAATTTTGATTGGTTTCTTGTAGCTGGTTGGAATGTCAACTCTCCGACAACTGTATCAGTCGGTTCGACAAACATGCCGGTGTCAAAAATGCTTCCAAATGCGGGGAAATTGTGGTGTAGTTGTGGCAACACGATTAAAGTCTTCAACACCCAAAACTTAACCACTGAAAATCATTTTACGGTTAATAATGACAGTAATAAGCCAATTTTTTGTATAGTCCTTTTCGGGAATGGTCTCTGGTTGTCTTTGCAAAATTCGGCAATTGTCAAGTGCTTCCATACTCAGAATTTCGAGCAATTGTGCGAAGTGAATGTAGCTCCAGCTGTGACTAAAATGTTAACAAGTGAGTCCCTCAATGTGTCAAAACTCCTCTAATTGTTTTTCCAGGTTGTGATGATATAATCAGACAGCACAAAGCGGCCTGTTTGCGTGTCACGTCTCTTTTGGCTTGTAAAGACTTGTTATGGATTGGAACTTCAGCCGGTGTTTTGCTAACAATGCCTTTGCCCCATATAACATCCTCTACGACGAAACTACCAAACGTTCCAACTGTCACAGGAGTGTCTCATGGCCACACCGGTCATGTCCGATTTTTGACTTTCGTTGAACTTAATTCAGGGGTGTGTGAGGGGCAACAGAGGAATTCGTACAAAGGCAAGCCGGAGCAGCGCAGTAATTCGAAATTACTTGTGATATCGGGGGGAGACGGTTATGAGGATTTCCGCAGTTCGAACTTATCAGAAGTCGCAGGTCGGGAGGATTCCACCAATCACCTCCTTCTGTGGAACATTTGATCAAAAAAATTCTTGTCTAATTATATGAATGTGGCATATCTGAACCGTTCTATGTTCGAGTGATAAATGCATTTTTGTAAAATGTGTGATAGTAATATTAGGTTTGTGCATAACGGCATTGTTTGTTTGTGGTGGTAGTGTTAATTTCGCCTAACTTGATATGTTCCTAATGTGTTATTTGGCTGCGATAATTGCATTATATTGTTTATAATACAATTATTTTGACAAAGCCCAGATGTAATTTAATATGTTATTTTTTTAATGATGCCTATATTTTTCCTTACATCGAACGAACTGTTTTGTAATAATAAATTTTTTAAAACATTTGCAGCACAGAAAATTATCTTAATTGTATTGCTCAAATATGGCAAATTCTATACTTGTTGGACAAATACAGTATTTATTTTTATTTATGCACACATTTTTTTCATTACCCATATCCAATTTTTTTTCATCAGTTATTGACTATTTTAATAGTAAATAGTTTTCTGTAGTGTGTTAGTTGGGCCCCTGACTAACAGATGGTATCCACTCACACACTTAAAAAATTCAAAAATAAAACCAAAAAAACTTTGAAAGATTTATTTGCATAATACGACAAGATTAATAAATTTGAAAAATGAGCGTTAAATGGAACAGTTGTGTTTTTTGAAAAGTAATCGGTGTTTAATAAATCTCATTCTGGCAGAATTTGATTAAATTGTTGTTGAAATGTTGCGAGTTTTGTTGAAAATTAATTGGTGTCGTCCGATTCTGTTTAGGTAGTTAAATTTTATGGCGCGGCGCGTCACAAACAATGTAAACTGAAGAAACCTCTTAACTAGCCCTGACAACCCTTGGAAAAAGGTGTGGTTGTATCAAGCGAGGAAATGATGCTGAAACGGCAGCACAAAAAATTCGGCCATAAATTTACTTGTTTGTTAGCATAATCTCAGTAGTGCAGGAGAATATGTTAGGAAAATATTGACGGAAGTGGGCAATTGAGCTTGATAAGAATTTCTGCATCACGAAATGTTGCTCGAATTAAGATTTAGATACGTTCCTATTCTGGATTCTGAGGCGACAGCTGCTCCATACAATAATTCTCCCGAGAGACGACTAGATTTGTAGCAGTTGTTAGTAAAAGCTTTGTTTGCAATGTTTTGGACCCATAAAACTTATTAACTAAACATTTGAACTTTTCCAAGAATGGGCTTTTGATCTAGCGACAGTCATTAAAATTTTTGGTGACTACGATACTTAACTATCGATGTAACCCTCGTTTGATTATCTCAACGACCACCATAAACTACGTTGTTAAACACAAAATAAAAGTAAAAGAGTCGGCAATGCGGCGCGATTCAACTAGAAAAAGCTGAATGGATGTGTGGAGTCAATTTTTGCATCCTCTGCTCGAATTTATAAGGAAATTGTTGGCTCGTAAAACATACTTAGTGAGTACCAAAAGGTCACGCGGAAAATTACAATTGATAAATGTGTTTGAGGAGGGAAATGGATGAGATGCAATTTATTGCAAAATAACTTATGCATTCCTGATGGGATTTTCAAACCCTTTTCCTATTTATCATATTTAGCTCTTCCAAATATGGAGAGCCTAGGGGTTGCCGCTCCCTACGCACGTGATATTAAGGATAACAATTGTTTATCTACTAGCCCCTTGTAATAATAAGAAGAACTGTCGAGATTTTAGATATACATAGAAAATGATTTAGTAACGTGGGAGAACAACACAAACTTTGATTCCTAATCTACAACAAACTACAAAAGAACAGGAAGTATTGATTTCAATTAGGAATTTCAATTTTCCCAGCTCATATCTTTAAAAGGTGCGGTTTTACTTGCAAAAAGCCCAAGTGAGAAAAATACTAAATTACTTGTCAAATGTTAAGCCGTAAACTAAGGAAGCGTAAAATACGGGACGTTGTGATTATAATCGGTTTGATTTCAAAGTATTTCAAAATATTTGTGCGATAATTTGTTTATTTTAACTTTAGTAGCATCTGAATACGCCATATAAATCAAAATAAATATATGCAAAATAGCAACGTCTGGCCTTACACAGGCTAGAAATAAGAGCTACTAAAACCAAAATTCTATTTTTATTGCACCTCAATTAACTCATCATCAACTCCTCATCAACTGACTTTCTTCCAATTTCAAATCAATTACAAAATATTGTCTTTGTGCATTTGTTATTAGGCGCTTTCTCATTTGGAAAGTTGCTATTTCGGTTGATTCATTAGGGAAATGGCGAGAATTTTGCCGAGTGTTGATTTTTGTGAGGGCTTGTTTGACGATCTATTTGAAGAACAGCGACAACGAGACAAAACAAAACTGAAACGCTCTAAGATAAAAGGGTGAAAGACAGTAGCGCATGATTTTGTTGATATATCAAAGTTCAAAGTTGGCATTCAGACACGCTAAAACGCAAAGAAGAGTTTACGCGAACTAATCGATAAAAACAAATTATTTTGGTAGTTCATTGAACTTGTTGTTAACTAAGTGTTTTCCTATATTTGCGATTTATAGTTGCAGGCGCCAATTTTTCTCTTTCATAATAATTAATTCAGTGAATCGATCTTAATTCGAGTTGAGGCGTTGAACTGAAAGATACTAAGTTTATGTGTTATAAAAGACAATAATAAATATTATTTGATTGTTCAAGTGGCGTATACGACTTCACAGATGCTATTTATGGATTAAAAATTCATTATCAATTTATTTAAGGGGCCATGATTTATACTTAAATTGGTCGTAAAAATTACTCGTTGAGAGCTTTTATCAAAAAGTGTGAGCAACTTACAAATTGTGTGCTTAAAACTTATCGAGATATGTCGTAACACTCTCTCACAAAATAAGAATACAACATAAAGATAACGTTTTCAACACATGGCAGCCTTTTTGTGCTTAATACTTGGCTTATGTGAGCTTTTCTTTGACACAAATCCGAAAAATTTATTACTGGATTTTTCGACATAAAGCGAGCCTCTATAGAAGGGTTGACGTATTTGAAAAATGTACTGATTTAATTTGGCGATAAAGGTTTGGTTTATAGTGTCACCTTAAGTATCAAATGACATAGTTTTGGCTAATTCATTATTGTACCTGACAAAAGACCGGTCATAAATTTCCGATAAAAATTTCCCTTCTAAAATGAAAAAAAGGGTTATTTATTAGATCATTTCGTCTCGAAGTTATGCAGATATTTCAAAAATCGTCTAGAGAAAAATTGAAAAAAGTGCACATCTGAAACACCGAAATATAGAAATGTTATAGTTTTTTTATCAGCATTATTGCTTGTTAATTATCGATGATATATAGCAAAAAGTCGGGTGTCCCGATGCAGAAAATTTCTTTGAAAGCTTCCGCTAGACACCTAAGATAGCTATCTCATTGTATTTAAATCGGAGTTTTTCGATTTGAAATTTCAAATATCAATCGCAACCAACTGTCTGTTTACAAATTTGGTAGCCGCGGCTACGAATATCAAATCCGAATCGTTGAAATATTTTTTCGTCCATATAGGCGCCAATATTCGCAAATTTTATTTATTGAGTCTAAAGCTAGTTTTATAGTCTATTAAAATACCCATCAACGATTTATCCAAAAACTGAGTTTCCTGGTCACGTAGCCCCACTGTGGAATTTTTCTCGCTTTGAGTAAAACACCACTCGAAACCCAAGGTTCTCTTATTGCCACATTAAATCAATTGAGCCAATTTGTGTCACTCCTATCAAATCTGAACCACCAGCTTGCTGCAATTACTTTAATTTTCACTTGGACCACAATCCCATTAAATCTATTGGTAAATATTTGCCGGCAAAACCGCTCATTTTTTAGCACAATTAACAAATCATCTGTTGTCATCATCCTTCATTGCTCTTAATTACATGACTTAACCATTTTACTACTTTTGCAAAACTATAAATAGTGGATCAAAGTTTAAAATATTAAAGTTTTGCTAACCAATGGACTTGGTTCTATGACCCCTAATAAAACAAACTTAAATGCCTCAAAACATAAATTTACACAAGTTATTTGCAACGCTCAAGACGAATAGGGAAATCGGAAATGAACTCCAGGTCATGAAAAATTCAACTTAATTACCACATAATTAAATTAAATAATTAATTACGCTGCAAGCTTTTGCTTCAAGCGCTATCATGTATTATGACCAAAACAGTAATAAGTGTATTAACGATGAAATTATTTGATGCAATTGGGACTAATTTATTTTTTAATTTCTCATTAAACATAATTAAAATGTTGTAATACATAGTTTATTCAAATTTAAAAAATGTCGAACAAAAAAATTCTATGTGCAAGCTAAGCTAATTTTATCAAGGGAGTGTAAATATTTGTATTAATACCAAATAAAAATTCTAAAAAAACGGGGAAAAATTTCCCACAAGAATTCCACAACTGTCTAAAAATAATCGTTAAAATCTAATATCGAAAGATTGATACCTAGAATTGAGTTCTGATTGTTTTGCTAATTAGTTTGGAGCTTAATTTTTAGTTGTGTGAATGTTGTTTGATACCTTATCTTATCTATCAAAATTTGGGGGTAGAATGTGCCTCGTAATCAGTGACGTTTGGTACTTTGGAAGTATCAGTCGAGTATCAAATTAGATTTACTGCGCGATAATTTGATCAAGGGTGTGTAAATATTTACAGAAACAACAAATGATCTTAAAAACGGGAAGTCATTTTTAGATTTGAATATCGGCTTCAAGAATGATCCTTGTTTCGAGGATTCAAGATAGACAGGTTTAGATATACAGGGTGTCCATTAGTGATTTTTAAATGGTGAAATTTAAAAAAATTGTATAAGACATTGATAGATACTAATCTAGTGCACCACCTAACATTATTTTCAACCATACGAAACAAAATTGTGTTTTTTAAAATGTTTCTTTGCATTTTTGGATGTAGCTTTTTAAAACAATGTTTTTACGCTAAACTTTTATTAGTCGATTTTGTTTAGTTTTAGAAATAAGACGTTTTTTTGACGAAAACATGCATCTTTTAAAAATTTATTACACAAATACTAAGACAGCTATTTTTATTTAACAATTTTTTTTCTTACTTCTGCAAAGAAGAAAGTACAGAATTTAAAGCAGTAGCAATTTTTTAGTGTTTTGCATTTGTAAAGATTAATAAATTAAGAAGTTTGTTAAAAGTAAAATAACTTAAAAAAATTAAAATGGAACACCCTATTTTTTGTTTTTGCATCTAATAGATTAAAAGATATTTAACATTCAAAATTAATTGTAGCAACAATGATTATCAATATCTGAGCATTGTTGATACTATGGCAACCATAGTAATTCCACCACGGATCACTTATCCGTTGATTTATCCAGATATTGTAAAATTTGTTATAAATACTGAAATTCGAATTATTTTATTGTAAAAATAAACAATAATGAATTCAGTTTAACACAAATATGATTATTAAGTGATATTTCTTCCATCTCTTGTGACTATTGAAACAATGGTATTATTTTTTTAATATTTAGTGTTAAATATCTTTTTAGTTATTGATTATAAACATCTAAAAGTAAATAATTTTAGAAAGACAATAATCTTTTGAATGCAAAAAATTGAGTGTTCCATTTAATTTTTTTAAGTTATTATTAATTTTTTATCTTTGCAAATGAAACACACTAAATAAATGTTAAAACCTTATAGGTTGTACCTTCTCCTTTGCGGTAGTAAAAAAATATTTCCAGATGTCTTAGTTTTTGTGTACTAAATTTTTAATTTATGTTTTAGTCAAAAAAACGTCTTATTTTTAAAACTAAGCAAAATTGACCAATAAAAGTTTAGCTTAAAAACATTGCCATAAAAATCTACATCCAAAAACGCTAAGAAACATATGGTGTTTTATTTAAAAAACACAAGTTTGTATTATAACTTATTTATGAGACACGGCGATGAACTAGATTAGTATCTATCAACGTCCTATTTAATTTTTTTGTAATTTTACCCTTTAAATGTATTACCGAAAATTAAGGTCTTCCAGTTTGGGCACCGGTTCAAAATAGGTATGGCAAAATATTATGGTAAATAACTTCGAGAGTTTTAGATCTATTTATTTCCTATTTTTGAAGTTTTTTTTTTCGATTTTCAAGAAAGGCAATGTTATTATTAAAAAACAAGTGATGATATATTATATTTCACAATAATCGTCAAGGTGTGCTAGTTTCGGGTTTCGGTATGACGGCAAAAGTTCGCAGAAAAAGTCCAAGTGGATGGTCCTGCATCACGTAGATGTGGTTATAGATATTGGAAAAGGTGTTAGTAATCGGAATTGCGGTTGGTGTATGAAGGAGTGTGAGCTTAAAGCGATGAAAATGAGTTTGTAGAAGTGAATCCTGTCACGTCCGTGTGCGTCTATAGAGAGGGGAAGTATGTTATATGCGAGTTGGAGTTAGGGTTGGTGTCATCGTCATCGTCGGCATCGTCGGCATCGTCGTCCACGTGAGCGTCCCGTCGAAGCTGGTGCCGACTTCGTCTCTAGAGTGTGGAGTTTTCGAGTCAGTAGTGTCAGTTGAGTTGGGTTTCAGTGTGTTCGCGGCTGTCGAGCCAGTAGCACGCATGAGAGAGCGTTTGCGTTATCATGAGAGTGTCCCGCGTTCTCGAGTCGCGGCTGCCGTGGCGGCACCGGCCCGGTAGAGAGTGACAGTGAGTGCGACATAATGTCCCAGTCATGGTGAAGGCGCTGTTCCTGGGGCTGTTAGCTGCAACGATGTGTGGTTTCGCCCGCGCCGCGCCCGCGCCCCAGCCAGATCTTCCCGAGACAACGCCGCCCCCACAGCCCCAGCCCCCTTTCGAGGACCCGGCGGCCCGCAGCGAGCGCAGCACCAATCTATCGCACGTCACCGGCACCGCCAGAAAAATACAGATGTTCATCAAGAATCGCCACCTGCAGCTGCTCCCCGACGGCACCGTCAACGGAACCACCGACGACACCAGTGCTTATAGTGAGTCCACCGCCAAGGGTGCCCTACCGCTGGTGTACCACCACCGGGTTCAGCGGCACGGCACCCACGACTACGCGCTCGAATTAGTCTACGACGCTCTCCCGGTCCAGGTGCTAAAATAAGCGCGACCTAACCCGACGACGAGACCATCCACGAGATGATGCGGTGGTATTGCGTCCACGTCGCAAACTGGACATGTGATCGACATTGCGATGCGATGCGATGCGACGCGATGCGACCATGCGATTTGACCAATAAACCAATTCTTCGCCGCTCTGACTATACCTCACTAGGTCACCGGATCTATTTTCATACACCACACCACGCTGCTCACAGCTCTCGTTCCACGACACCCCCAACAATTAAAAACTGCAATAAAAGCTCTTAAACTAAACCACTTGCAAAGTACTTCCTTTCGAAGGACCACCATAAACTATACTAAACCATTTCCGAAACTAAGGTGACCAATTCAAAATTCAAAATCAGGACATTAATAAAAATAATTATAATAAAATTCCAGAACACCAAAAGTAGGTATTACTAATGTTTCTGTATAAAAACTTACAACATAATAAGAATACATATACATATTTTTTATCTTTGATTTTACGCCAAAACTGCAAATGAAAAACATTTTTTACTTCACCTGAAACGAGCAAATCTGTACTAAAACTTCATTATTCTGATTCAGTGAAAAGAAAAGTTAATTTGTCATTTTGACAATTAATTTATTAATTAAATAATGATAGTTCTTGTTAAAAATGATTTTGGTTTTTATCTTAAAGCCGTTTCTTTGAGTTGCTATTTATTAAAATTATGTTTTTCACAAACATTTTTGTTATTTAGCTTCCTCAAAGTGACATCATTGTCAAAATAATAAAACCGCCTATGTGATAGGACTTTAAAAGCAGAGAAAAATTATTTAAGTCCAAAATCAAGAGAAAAATTAACTTTTCTTTCTACTGAGTTAGAATAATGAAGTTTTAATTACAGATTTGCTCGTTTCAGGTAAAGCAAAAAATGTTTTTCCTTTGCAGTTTTAAAATCAAAGAAATTTTTTTTCCTCTTGTAAACTCAATCCGGGGACATACTGCAGGATACAAAATCTTGACATAAAAAACAAAAACAGGTTTTAGGTCCTAATCTAATATTTAACATATTATTTTATTGTTTTGTGATAATTTCATTTTTTTTGTATGAATTGCTTTGAGAGCTCTTTTATTCTCTGCAAATATAAAAAAATTCGATTCAAGCAAAATTAATAGTTAATTTGGTCATTATAAGCTATTTTTAAGTATTTCTACTTTCAGCTGAGTTTTTTTACAATGACCACATTTGAAATGACGACAAAAAGAAAACTTTAACTTGAAATATATTCTCAAAAAATTGCATACTTAGGTGTGTTCATGTTCTGACTAAATCAGGACCTTATCCTAAACGCTTCTTTGAAAAAAAATAATTGCCTTTATTTTTTATATCCCGAAAATAAGATATATTATGGTTTTTATAATGATCAGTTGCGGAAGCTAGTTAATAGAAAGAAATTTTTAACGCGAAAGCAAATTAATGATTTTTTTTGGTAATGGATACCTTTTAAGCTTAATCTTGGTCAATTTTCAAAGTGTTACGTTTTAATTAATTTTTTCACGTTATAATGCGTTTTGGAAGTGATTTGCATCGGTAAAAATGTAAAAACAATTTTGGCGATTTTCCCATAAATGTAATAAAATGCCTTAAAAAGACCCAGAATAGATAAAATATCACTCAAGACCAAAGACAAATTTAGGTAAAATAAGAGAACCACGAATGCAAAAACGGGTACATAAAATTACCTATGCTGGGCATTAAAACGTTAAAGACGGAAGATTCCGCGCCGGTCCAAGACCCGCAACTTTCCGAAAAAACTTTCAAAAATAGCTCAAATAGAGGACACAAGTTCCTTTTTCGAAGCTTGACGCGTGAGTTTGGTATTTTTATATGAAAATAGTATTTTTGATACCCGCGGTATCGAAAATCCTTTTGGCGTTTTGAACTCGGATGACCCAATCAAATTCTTGTTTATTGAGCTGTTGCTAATCGAGATCTCGTTCCCTTGAGCGATCTGAAAATGCACTGTTGGCATTGCTCCTTATTTTTGGCCAACCCACCCCATCAATTTTCCAAATCCAGTTATTACCAGTAATTCAATCAAATCAAAGATATGGGGTGGTCTTAACATTCAAGAGCGATTAACTGATTTATATAACGTGGACACGCAACACGATTACGGAATTAGTCTCCCAGATGGATTGAAATTATTGTCAAATGAAGACTATCTAATTTTATTTTAATTACAACGGTTTCAGATGATTTATTGTTGATGTAACAACAGTCAGTCGGTTGTCAAAGCACTTCTGCATTTTATTGTGTCTGTACAAAACGGTAATGTTTTTAACGGCGGGCTTGTGTTTTAGTGCCGTATTGATGTATTACAGCCTAATTGCTTACAGGAGGAATTCTCTCGGATGGTATATTTAACCATCAGTTTACAGATTAATTTGCCTAGTTCAACAATAGAAACACTAACATCACTGTTCAATTAGTAAGAATTTCAACTAACAAGACGCTGTGATTCGTTTTAAGTTCCTGGGGTCCTAACATATTAAAGCGTTAAAACTCTCGAATGTAGTGGACAAAGTCCTGACCTGCAGGTTCTGCAAGCCTTCACAATTTTATGTCCCGTTCAAGAGGAAATAATTAACTCGCAGGTTAATTAGTTTGATGGTTGTCGTGGAAGCTTAAGGTATCAATTAAATTTGTCATGTATTTTTTGCAATATTACGATTCAAACACAAAGTTTGGACGATTTGAATGGTTTCGATTTGTTTCTTCCAGTGAACAGTTTTGAAAGGTTTGTGACCGCGTTGCTAATTTTGAGGGACAAAAAGGTACATTTCCATTGACTGCACGGTCAGTATTATAAGATCGCGACTCGATTAAAAACTCGGTAAACCGGCCGGACATACTTTTACCTTGCACTGCCCTAACGTGCTATTCGTACCGAAAATTAAATTTTTCAATTATCTCACTCATAATGGACGAAATTCGTAAAACACCGATGTAACGGTTCATTTCGGCAATTCGGCAACCATGCACTTGCTTTTAAAAGGAAGAAAGGATTCGACTTAAGGGCATCGAATATTTCAAGTGAAAGTTGACCGGAATCACTATTATTTTATCAAAATTGAACTATAATCATTTTTGATCGAGATCCGCTGTTTACTTAAACAAAACACTTATCTTATACATCATCCTAAATTAGATAATGTAATCATAACGTAAATTGAGTTGAATGCATTATAAAGACTCGGTTTCATTAGGAGAACGTGCGCTCTTTCTACATTACAATAGATCATCATAAAGATCCTTCGAGGTGACAAAACTCTCTATTGTTGCACAAAAATTTCTTTGGCAAATACTCGTCGCTGCATTTTTCTATTTTTACTGACGTAACTGGTGCCAAGAGAATAAAAAAATCTCAACTTTTGACTTTGATGAATCGTATTTATCTTCAATGTTTATGCTCTAATTTTCTAATATCATTACGAAGGAATACAAAATGAGTGTCTTGTGTATTTTTGACAGGCATTTGGATAAGAGCTGGTCGAAGGGTCCATGCGAGTACTTAGAGCAGTGACATGTAATGAATGATGACCATATATTAGTAAGTTGATTGTCTGGACCTCCGGGTGTTCTTAATCTTGAGACTGTAACGTCGTTTCTGATCACTTCCACCCTTCAAATATCAGCATGTGGTCATGTGTTGTTTGATTACGATTTGTCTGAATAGTTTTTGACTTGTTACATAACTGGATACAGATCAATAATTACACACTGCAAATTAACAGAGTGCCGAAAGCCTCTGGCAGAGCAAGAAATGAATATCTTCAAGAATGTGGTAATTAAAGAGATTAATAGAATTTGGAGCGGTTCCAACTCCGTTTTGATGACTTTATACCATTGTATTTAATTAAAAATTCGAATTTTTTTCGTCTGGACGTTGATATCTCTTTTGGTGGTATATGATGGATTACACTTGGTACGTTTCTCCTTTTAATTAACGGCTTGGAAGCATCGGTTGGGCGGACATTAATTTCTTAGCCCACCAATTGATGTATTTATTTCTTTTCCTAACCGGCACTAAATCAACCACGGACAAAAGGAAAAATCGAATGGTCAAAATAATGACTCGTGCAAATTATAGGAAAAGAGATTTTTACAAATAAGTTGAACTTAGATAAAACTATTTCAAAGTTCAAAGCTCTCTTATATAATAGGTAAATAAATTTAATCAGTTAAATAAACTAATACACTATAAATAGCCCTCAATTTTTAAATTTGTAACATTTGATAACTGAAATTTTTCCGCAACTAAATTTTCAGTAGCCTAACGGGGTAAACGTGAAAGCTGTTCTAGATCTACTTAGGGGATATTTACGACTGTGTACTTACTAAACATTATCTTTCATGACCGGTTGTCTGTGTCAGCACTAGACTGTTAAAACAACCCTCGCTTTATTCGATACTATCACCAAACATTGTGATTTATACGCATTTGGAAAATTTTTCTTTCTATTGGCAAAAAATCAACGATATCGTAATATTTTGTTAGAATAATCAAATTATCGGTAGTATTTTTCCTAAAATTGTTGCAATAATAAACACTTGAAAGACGTGACACAAAAATAGTTTTGATTAGATACTTCCTTCGTGGATAATGAAGATTATGGTTAGGTTGTGGTTGTAATTTCCGAAATATTTGAATAAAGTACGTTTCGCTTCCATATTTGTAAAGCAACGTATCGATTGATTAAAATTCCCGAAGGTCTTCCTTTCATTGTATTTGTCTTGCTCATTATGAAATGTTTAACCCTCTAGATTTGGCTCGTTTCGTAACCATTGTGGTCACTTTACCAAAAGCCAAATACCGAATCAGATAACAACTAACTCCGTTTTGTCAA